ATTGAAATGCTTTTGATGTGAGATAAACTTTTAGACATATCTAAATATCAAATTTACCTAAGAATATCTTCTTTTTTTCTTGGTTGAATATTTTGATGGTTTGCCAACTCAAGACATGGTTTAGACACATTCTCTCTTCTCAATTTTGGATGGATTGGCACATGCATTTATAACATGACACTATTTCTCTTCCTCAATTTTCTATGAGTCACTTAATGCTTTTGTACATCAAAACACTTTCATTTTCTTCATCAATTTTGAATATGTTGACACTTCTTTTGTGGGTCAAAAAATTTCCTTTCTTCCTCAATTATACATGAGTTGATGCATGCTTTTTTGGGTCAGCTTTGTGTCTATTTCTTTTACACTACTTGATTGGTTGACACATATATTTGTGAATAGATGCATTTTCTCCTTCATCTCTTTCACTTTCTAAATATTGTTCTTCTCAAGTATGTGCTAGTTATTTGATTTATTTTTCTTCTTAGGTATGTTCTAGTTGATGTTTATTTTTATTTATTTACTTGATTACTTGTGAACATCAAAATTATTAGCCCAATAATTACCTCGATATTGTGTAGACCCAAGTTAGTTTATGTTGACTCAACTTGAGTATGTGTCAGCTCACTTAATATAGAACCAAAAGAAGTAATTTGAAAACACCTAAAAGTTGAAAATATTTTAAAGATTTACTTCTACCTAGCCTTTATTAGGGACATTAGAGGGCTTCTGATTATTTATGTAACCTAGAAAAAAGTGAATTTCTATTTCATTGAAAATAAGTAGGAGAAAGACAACTTATTTAACAAATAAATTTTAAAGTACAGTCATCAAATAATTAATTAAAATGAATATATAACAAATAATTGATAAGGTTTCAATTTTCTTTGAAAAAGTTTTATTGATATATGGGATAATGACATTAAATTAAGTACTAATAATGTTTGAAGGTTCTTCCTTTGCTTAGCTATCTTGAGATGTCTAGTCACTAATTTTTTTGTCTGCATTCATTTCTTATGTTGTAGAATCAAGTTAAGCTTTTGTTTTGAGTCCCTTTGTTATGTGTGTTTCAATGATTTCCAACACAATGCTATTTTAAGAAAGGCAATCAAGTGCTGATATGGACATAATTTTTTTATACAAAGTGTTTAGTTTTAAAATCATTTTTCCTTAATTTCTGGAAAAATAGTTTGATTTGAGATTATGATTATTTTACAAGTATGTTTACATTGTTTTATAATAGATAGTAACTTCAAAACATAACGTATATGTTCATGAAGTTTGCAGCATGACATTATTGAGGTTTTGAAACTCAAATAAATTTTGATGATGACAAAATTTTTGACATAAAAGGTTTTTTTTTTTCAGTTAGGATAGTGTATTAACGTTGATGTTTTAACATATGAGAGATATATTATTTCTATTTTATTATATGAGAATTAGAAAAAATGCTCCATCAAGATCAATAATTAATGTGTAAGATGACATTATATAGTAGAGTATAGTATTAATGTGCTAAAATATTGGGCCACATTTTAGATGATGTTAATGTGTATGCCTATGATTTAAAATCATACAATAGAATGTGATCAATATTAGAAGGTATCAATAGAATAGTTGTATTATGATAATTGATGAGTCTTCATTATCATGAGTTAAAAATTAGTAAATATTATAGTTTTAGTCTTAACTCATGATAAATAGACTTATATTTGTGTTAAAGTGTGAAAAGTGGTTTTCAGTTGAGTAATGTGAATTTTTGGGTAATTATGTGATTTTACACGAATTTATATAATTTTTATAGTCTTATTTTGAGATAAATAAAGAATAAAAAAATAAAAAATAAAAATAAGATAAAATGAGGGGAACCCATTGGCCAGCTGGGCCCACAAGCGGGTCAAAGGCTTAGTCGGGGAGTAACCACGAGGAAGGGCTCGAGTGGCTTGGACCGATAGGGGCACGTGTGCGCCACTCCTCTTCCACGTCACTAATGGCCAGCCGACTATAGGGCAAGGAGTGGTCGTACATGCACAAGAAAGGGACTTGCCTTCAAATATAACATTACTATAAATTCGCCTGAACATTCGGCACATAAATAATGTGGGACTAAACCTACATCACCTTCCTAGAAAAGGCGGGCAACTGACATGGATTCGAATCCTCCTAGAGTAAAAAGTCACATATTTTTATCTGATTATCGTGACTTTTCTATAGATTGTCGATGAAAGATTAAACAACAAGAATCGTTGGATCATCGGCAAAAATCTCGTCAACACAATTCGTAGAATATTGCTACTAAAATTAATGAATGATTCACGATAAAAGGATCACAAATCCATCAAGTAAATCATCTTTGATTGATCAACGAATAAGTTGTCATCGAGAAGAGGACGATCCACCAAGAGACGAGTCGCCACCTCCTGAGAGCATACAAGATACGATGAAGAGCCTCCTCTTGCTGTGCAGACTTGAGGATGAAGCTCCTTGACATACGCCCTACCTCCATCTAGCTCTTCTCTGTCGGGTGACAATTATTGGAGAGCCACAAAGTCGCTATTTTTCTGTTCCGCTAGGTGACAGTTGTCGAAAATGATTTGACGACCCATTTCATTAATCTCTAGACTTCGCAAGGAGATCTAGAGATTGCCCACATCATCTTTGTCCAAGGAGAGCCTTCGAGGACATAGATATTGTACAATGATCCTCTCAAACATCAAGATTCTAGTACATCGTCGACATATCACCATCTCAACGTCGGAACTCTGTTTTCTTGCTTTTAACTTATTTTACACTTTATTTAGTGATATTTTTTGTGATTTTAATTTACTAAAATATACTTTATTCAACTATGATTCTTTCGACTTTTACAAATCTTAATTTAATTAATTAAATTGTCTACAATCATTTACGTAAGAATTACCAAGTAGAACTCTATTTCTACCTGATTCATGTTCGCTAGGTGCAGACGTCATCTTGATGTCTGCACCCTTATTTCCCTTTTTCATAAATTTTAAATATATTTCCTTTTTATTTCTTAATATAAAATTCCTAGAAAATTATATTCATTGAGGAAAATTCTAAATAATTACCAGATATTATATTACATCCTTGTGATTGACCTAGAAAATTAACATTATTTTTTGAAAGTTTTATTAAGTTATAATTAATATATTTGTTTAGAAATACTTTTAAATATTTGAAAATTCATATTTTCTAATTTTATAAATTTTCGATTTGCGTGATTTAATACACAAAGACTAAGTCATGTCAATAATACAATGAGAATCATTTATTTGATGTTTGTAAGTCATTAATGAAAATTAATCCATAGCAACTATTCAAAGGAAATGAAGGAGAGTGTTATTTTCATAAGAGGAAATTTAAAATTCAAATTATAGGAGAGAAGAAAGAGTCAACAGGTGATTATGCAAAGCTCAAGATAGAAGCCTATGTGAGCATATCTTTGAGAAGAATTATGTACCTTAGCAATGACAAGTAAATCATTCCAAATCAGGTCACATTGAAATAATGCTTTGAAGTGCTGAAGTTAGGGCAATAAATTATAATTCTAAGTTAATACATCAACACTAAAATGGAGGTCTGGAACTAATGATTCTGAGGTTCAACTTAGCCTTTTCCAATAGACTATCTGCTCTATATAGGTAGAAGGCTCTTATTTGCAATTAGTGGTTTTAAGTAGCTATTAATTTATTAGAGAAAAGCTAACACTTGATGTTCATATTGTTTGACTCTCTAAAGATGTTGAACTAAGATGATGCATTTTTAAAGAATTGAGTGGGGGAATAAAGGAGTAACCAATATAGACTATGAGCTACTCTAATGTTATCACCTTCATTGTCCATAAGCAGTCAAATCACCTAAATTCTAATGTCCCTTATTCATTGAATCTAATTTGTTTCCACCCTTACCCACCTGAAAACAAAGAATTAAATAACCCCACCCCTCTTTCTTTGTGGTCTCATCAAACCCAACTTGTATTCAGTGAAAAGTCAATGAAACTAATTTAATTGATTTCTTGGTTTCGTATAATCAATATAGAAGATTAATTCAGTCATTTTCTTTGTAAATAAAATATTAAATTTTCAACATGGGATTGAAAAAAGTATAAAGTTAGACTACTCATAATTCAAGACAAAATATATATTGAAAATATCAATCATATCAAAATTGGCAAGATGGTTTTGACTTGTTCAACCTTTTAGGCTGAGAAAGGTGTAACTTTTTCCTTCTTCTTGAAACTACAAGAAAGATACAAGAATTCTGAGTGACAGGGAGCTCTATGGCTCAGGGACATCCTTCCACCACTTTGAGGATTCTAACCGTTATTGAGTAGCTACCTTTAGTGGATGACTGTAAGGATCGCAGCCTACTCAACTTCTAAGCGACATCACCATCTCTCTCATGGGTCAACTTACCCATACGCATACGTGGAAGGGACAGGTGGAGGGACGTTATCTAGTTTGGACCCATTTTGTGGTTTCATCCATACATGCGCCTAACCTTGACTGCTGTCCATGCGAAGTTGGAGCTTCGCAAGCACCAGCCACCAGCACTTATGAAGTGATACAATCAAAGAAAGTATGAAAAGTGTGTGCTTTTCTTATAGAATAAAAAAAACCTTAGATTTCAGTAGAGAAATCTAGCTTTGGAGGTTTTAATATCAGAAAAAAACTAATATTCATTTAATTAGTTGAAACATAGCCACCAGCAACCGACGGAAGTCGCCTTCTGCTGCTGCTCTAATATTCCGCGACGAGTACGTCGAAAGAAGAAGAAGAAGAAGAAAATACCTGAGTACCGGCTGTCGCCGACAAGGCCCTCTCCTTTCTCCAGGCGAGTGGTCTGTTCTGCATCAAGATAACTTCCGCAAGGCGAGAGCGGCGGAGAAGGCGACCCTAATTTTCCTCCGTCACAGCCCGTCGTCTGGAAGCAGAGGGGTGTCTGCTTCGTCTGCTAAAATGGGTGGTTTCATGGATCACTCACTGAATGGGGATGAGCGATGGGAGCTGCAGAGACTGCAGCAGATCTGCATTGGGGAAGCTCAGCGGGGGAAGGGAGAAGTGGCCGTAAGTGGAGCTCCCTCGCCGCAGCTCCTGCATCGTCACGAGGGCCGCCACCGTGTTCTTGAGGATACTCCAGCGGGCCACGGATTCAGGGGGCGCTCTGCTCTGGCTCTGCGCTCCCTCCCCTCCAGGCTCTGCTGCGGCGGGGCGGGGGAGCACCGAGTCCATGGTGTTCTCGCATTCCTTCACCAGCTGCGAAATGAGGTCCGTGGTGAAGAAGGGCTGCGTCAGCACCTTCTCGATGAACGGAAGCCGCAGCAGATCCCCGGTCCGCTTGTCGTACTTCTTCAGGATCTTTGCCAGCCCTGTCGCGGCCAGGGCAGATTCGATTGATTCCTCATCATCGTCAGCGATCATCCAATCCAGCTAGGAAAACTTGAAGGACGAGCGAGGAAAGAATCTAAAGGATATGGGATGTGGTGATGATGATAAGGGAGGAAGAGGACCCGTGTAGTTGACGTTGCTGTAGTTCACGAGCAGAACCATCTCCCCGTGGAGGTCGACGAGGCACCTCCTGATCTTCCCCATCTCCGCCACGTACTCCGCCGCCGACGGCCGTGCGCCACCAGGCCCCACCGTCTCCTCCGCGGCGCGTATCCTGTCTCTCATCTCCTGCGGGGAGAGATCGCCGATCCGGATCAGGAGAAGGAAGCACCACTGCCGCTGTCCAGCAATCTATTCTCCTCCCCTACCTTGTGGCGGATGACGAAGTCCTCCTCCTGCTCGATGAAGAAAGCGTTGAGCTTGTCCACCTCGGCATTAAGCATGCGGACAAACTCCACCACCCCGGCTGCCCTCCCCGATGCGTCGGAGGAGATGAGGCGAACCTGCCTCTTCAGATCCTTGTATGAGAGGAACTTGTCCCGCCACCCCGGCAGCGTCTCCTCTACCTGCCGCTTCAGCCGCTTCCCGAACTTCATCCTCCGCCGCCGCCCCGACCAGGCAGCAAGAAGAACCCCACACCCTAGGCCAGTTTCCACCACCACCACGGGAGGAAGAGAGCGTAGTCGTCTTCAGAAAGGAGAAGAAGATGGATCCTAAATGCCCCTCCCCTTCCCGCATCTGCCCCTTCCCGCATCTGCTCCTCCCACGGCACGGCGTCGTCTTCAAAGAGCGAGGAGGGGGAGGACCAGCAGCAGGACCGGCTGGGGCTGCCGAAGGAATATGTCTGGGGATATGCCACGGGCGTTCAATGAGCAACCGGCCGGAGAAGGACGGGGCCGTAGACTGGTCGACGCAGTACGTAAGAGTGAGAAAGAGAGAGAGCGAGAGAGAGAGAGAGAGAGCGAGAGAGAGAGAGAGAGAGCGACGGAGACACATTCCTCGGAATATTCGGATCTGACGACTGGGGCTGTATGGTGACGTGACCACCCTTGCTCCCTCCTCTTCAACCGGACCGCACCGATCTTGGGAGGGAGAGAATCTGCTGCAGGATTCCGCCGGGGGGTGCCGTTCCTCGGACTTGGGTGTGTGGATAGTCAAAGGGGGTTCGGGGGGGCCCACGGATACAGATCTTTGGGCTCTGAGAGCATTGACTATTCCCATCCGGGTCGCTCTTGGGGTCTTTCTTGCGGGAAAGACCCTCCTATCGAAGATCATTGCGTTTCCTTCCCCAAGAGGGGTATCCGTCCAACAATTTTAGGGGATTTGAGAGCGGCGGCAACCATCTTACTCGTCCGAATAAAAGAAAGAGAACTCGTCAGGACCTCTGCTAGAAGATGAAGCCCGATGATCCCCCTTTCTCGGAGAAGCTCGGCTACTCTTCCTCGGCGCGTCCTTGGAGATGGCTTCACCGACCATCAGTGCCGTCGCCACTTCTGCCAGATTCAGAACGGCCTTCAAATGGCGAGTTATCTACTGGATGACGGACGGTCCGGTCCGCGGATTCACAGGTCTGAGCTTGCGCAACCAAGGCCGGATGCAGATGTGCCTGCGACAAATGAAGCCGACGCAAAGCTGCTCTCCTTCCTGCGCATCATTGGATCGGGGCACTCGGCGGCTGGGGTATTGGATGAACAGCGCCGTCTTCTTCAGCAACTCGAGTAGGTGCTAGAATCTGACGAGCGACATGGCCCAATTAGTTAGTACCCATGCGCGGGTGATGTAAATATTTTCTGGATTCACAGAAGCATACAGCTGATTCTCCATCGAAGAACCTAAGACATTATGTTACTATATATCAGGAGAATCGAGGATTCAGGATTCGCAAGAGCAGAATATCCTCAAAAGATTTTTACGTCAGTAATTAGGTCGAAATTTTCAAAACTGATTCCAAGACTCGGCTGCAATATAGACGAAGACAAGCCCGGTGATAGATACCTGTAAATCGTAATTGTCTCTTGAAGTCTTAGCGTCAAGCAAGGTTCCGGTCTCCTGCTTCTGTTGTTGTTGTTGCTGCTGCTGCTGTTGAAGAAGCAGCAGCTGCTGCTGTTGCAGAAGCACTTGCTGCTGTTGCAAGTACATCTGCTGTTGATGTTCCTGGTGGCTCAAGATCAGCTGATTCTTCTGCTGAATGGATTGGTGCTGAACATACTGCTGTACCTGGTCTTGTCGTGGTTTTGGAGAATCCTGCGTGGGTGAAGTCTCACGTGAGTCGTCTGGTTGACATTGTGGCTGTGGATGATGCTGCAAATGCGAATCCTGGGCTTGGCAAAGCTCCTGTTGCTGCCACTGCCGCTGCAAATGATCCATTTCCATTTTGTTTTGTAGATGCCGCAGCTGAAGGATGTTCAGCTGAAGATGCTGCTGCTGATGTTGCTCATCTTGTTGTTGCTGTCGCAGAGGATCATGCTGTAACTGGGCATTTTTCTGCTGCGGCCCAGGTTCTTGCTTTTGCTGTACCTGGATGCTACCTTGCTGCAGCTGCTGCATATAGTACAATTGCTGCTGGTAGTAATGCCACAACTCAGGGGAGACACCATGGGCATCGTGCAAATGATTTTGATATAGTTGATGTTGACTTTCATCCACACCACTCTGTGGTAGACTCTGTGGTTGCCAGAACATGGACCAGGGAGTTAACCCCGGGGCCGCAGTCATCTGATACTGGCCCTGCATCTGGCCGCCCATTTGGATATTTGGTTGCCAAAACTGTGGCTGATATGCGTATGCCTGAGATGGGAGAGCTTGTGGATTAAATCCAGCGTAAGGAGGATATTGAAATTGCATAGGAACCTGCCATTGTTGATGCTGTGGTGTTCGGGCATATCCTGGTAACCTGGGTTGAAGCTCAGATGGCTGCCCGCCATAATGCCATTCAGACGTCTGAGGATATTTGGGATCAGCGGCCTCTTCTGCAGGCAGTTGACTTATCTCAAAGGTGTTTACTTTTTCTTGAGGAAGATTTCGCTCAGGCGTGCAATTGTTGCCTGTGGGACTCTGCGGTGTTGCTGGCATTGTAGATGCTCTGTGTTGGGCTGTTTTAACCTCACGCTTGTTTTCCTCATAAGGGCCCTGAGGAGCTCTATTGCCTCTGTGAGGAGAGATTGGGTTGGACTCAGCTTCATCGGCCAAACATATGGAAAGGCTCTCAAGAGATGGTCTTAAATCATCATGAGACTCACAACCCAGCAGTAGGGGAGTTTGATCCTCTTCACCGCGTGCTGAGGAAGCAGGAGGACCAAGAGAAGAGAATGAATGATCTTCTTGTTGCAGCATACTGGCGCTTGTTGGTGGCTGAATAGCTTGCAAATGCTTAGACTGCTCTTTTTCTTCATTGGGTAGTCGAGAACGGTCTGGCTTTTCATCAGTGCTGTCACTAGCTACGGCTGGATGAGACTTGGTGACCAGTGCAGTGGCCCCCTCCAGGAGGGCAGGAGTTTTCTTTGAAGAGTGGGCATCGTCTTCTTCAGTTTCTTCTCTATCTATATGACGTGTCCCAGGCTTATGATCATGATCTCCTGCACCAGTTATCTCCTTAGTCTTCTCCAAGAGCTCAGGGCCGTTGGTAGTAGCTTTTTCTGCAGGTGGAAACAATTTCAGGTGACGAGCCCAAGCCTTTCTGACTTCATGTGCCGTCCCACAAAGGTCCACAAACTGTTTCGAAGATAATGTTGAATGAGAAGATTAAACTTAAATATCCAACTTTTTAGAATGATGCCCTCATAAAAAGTAAAATGATTCCAAGATGCACAGAAATAGAATGTTAGCCCCACTAACACAACTTTGTAGTGACACTAATTATTCGGGATTTATACATTAAGATGAATTCTGTGAAACGATCTAACAGTGGATCATTCCATTTATCAACTAGGACAGATTCAAGGCAAATCCAGCATCAACTTTGACACTTCAAATCCTCAGCACAGAACCCTAAATTATTTCATGCAAGTTTTAATGGCTGCTGCATCCTTTGATAATTCATGTTTAGTAATACTACGATACAAAGATTCTATGAAACCTTAATTAGTTAAATCCAAATTCGAGTGAAGAATATTGCAGAGATATCATGAATTATCAAAGAGAAGAATGATATAAATGGCATTGGATGGCATACCTGCAAAAATAAATCAGACACGTCCTTTCTGTCGGTAAGGCTTAATGCAAGGGGCACACCTGATTCTGGAACTATGGCACGTTCCACAATCGAATCTACACAACCAATTTCTCCTGTCCCTCCATGGATAGACATAAATGTAATTAATCCCTGTAAAAGTAAAAAAACAACAAAGAAATTGATGGTCCGATGACGAGCAGATAGCACCCAAAAATTCATGTAAAAGCTATGATTATAAGGACAATAAACCTGTAGATTTCCTAATCTAGTAGACAATCAAAGTATTTCAGAGGAAAATTAAATACTGGAGAAAGATCATAACAGAAAAATCAAGAAAATGACAAGAACAGAAACGTAGAAAGCTGAACCGCCCTTGAAAGGGCAAAAATATAATCCGTAAAGGTGCCCTTTTGCTGCTTTGGCGTGCTCTGCTTTGCTTCCTCTTTCTTCGTACTTGCCCCTCTAGCAATCAGCACAGCTCTTCCGTCTTTAACAGGCACACACACATGTAAGTGCTTAGAATACTTTAAAGTAGCCTTCTATTAAGCAGCAAGCATTTTACAACACCCCTGCTTTATATACCAGACTCCTAAATCTTTTGGAGAAAAAAGTTCGTTGACAAGAGAAACGGGGGGCAGGAATTGAATTTAATTGACACCAAAAGAGAAAAATGATTTATAACCTCAAAAAGTGATTTGCAGTGAGGCGCCCTTGATATCCCTTTGATAAAAACTTCTCTGGCAGCACCTAAATCACCAGTTACCTGAAAGATAATAGGCATGAGATAAAATCGAAAAATAATTCTACTGAATATACCCAGTAGGTACACAAAAAAAATGCCCCATCTGTGGATATAATTTTACTATCATATTTTTCCTCAGCAAGCTTTAATATTTATCACTTTCAATTGATCAACGTGAATCTACACGGTAATTGACGACGTGAATGGCCTTCACATAAATATTTTGAACTGATTTCTGTTTTTATTACGTTTTCTTTCTAGGCAGGAAAAATCAAGCAGAATAATTATGCGGAACCCCAGGTCAGGAAAACAATAGAGATACATCCAGAATTCAGTTCAAAGATGAGCAGGATAATGAGTATGACAACTGTCTCCCAATTGTCAACTGTCTCCTCGTACATTATTGTCATGGAATTCCGAAGCTGGAACGAAGCAATTCATGATTGCATGCATAATGAGAACTCAAACTAAATTTTTTGCGCCAAATACAACAGATTACTCTTTTGGATCAATTGCGATCACGGTTATTCACAGAGCATTGACTGATCTCTTAACTGAATCATCTTTCAAATTGTTTATGTTCCCTGAAGGTTTACACAATTTGATTCATTTTCCTATAAATATCCAGCGGTGTTAAAATAAGCCAGGATCAATTCCAGAAACGTTCATGAACTAAAGGTTAATGTAAATATATTTTTAAGATGATGGATAATCTTGATGAAATAGAATCAGGTTATCCCTCAAGAAAAATCTTAATAAGAGTATCCTTCATTGTAGAAGTGTTGTTACTGAATCTACTAGAGCATAAACTCACACTGTCTCCGATTAGTATCCCAGTTAATCATTGAGGATATAGGCCCATAAGCCCAGATTATGCTTGTTTTTTATAGAGTGCCCTAACAAGTTCATTCATCCTTGGATACTACTAGGCAGGGATTATCATTCGTAGTGAATCATTAACTCAAGTTGAAATAAAATATTTAGTGTTTGACATTACCACTTCCTCGGTCTACATGAATATTGTGTTTGACATTAACTTGATGTCTTCTTCTAATCTAACGAAATCCACGTCATATTGATAAAGGTGGGCTAAGATCAATTCCACATCAAAGGCAGGCCGCACATGACATTGACGGTATGAATGGTTGTGTTCAACTTGCCAAAGGCAGGGTTCTGGTGCACAAAAGAGTCAGAAAACTGCAATCCGGGGCACCAACAATTAGGGTATACTGGAGATTCAATAATTTATGCAAAAGTGTTCACAATGAAGACCAGGCTTCCTTTTTGTTATTACTATCAAATTTAGATTATCAGGACATCAGGTTCAGTTGCACTCATTTTCATGCGAGCATGATGTTCACATAGAAAGTACATAGAAACAACCAATGTACATAGAAATCAGTTTTAATTCTTCAAGAAAGAAGGCGGCAAATGTGCAACAGCATTTTATGAGCCCCAGTTTAAAATAACTATCCATCTCAAGCATAGTAAGTCCATTCTTCAGTCCTGTAACGTGGTTATGTCACAGACATTTTAGTAGTGTGCAAAGATAGAGAATAAAATTTCTTTCAAACTGTACTAAAGTCCCTACCACGTATGCAAATCTGGCAAAGTGCATATGGAGAAGACAAAAAACGCGCAGATCCTGCTTATCTTTAAGCATTTCAATTGCTTTCTCGTAGATTGAATAAGCTGCTCCAACATTTCCCTGAAAAAACGAACTTCTCAGTGATCATCTAAATTTTACTTGGATAATGTTTCACTTTAATACAAGACATTTTCTTACAAGACGTTTTTCCATGTTTGCCTGTTGATTGATATTGTCAACAAAATTGGGCAGAAACTCTGTTTTGCTGTAATCCAAGGAACTACGTGCACCAGCTGCATCCCCTATGCGCTCCTTGACCTTTGCACAATATTCATGAAACTGTGGAACCCTCTGCTCTCCATTAAGAACCATTGTGATTGCCATTGCATAAAAGCTATCTAGTATATCAACTAATTTTAAGATTGTCAATGACCTTTGCAATAAAAGGAAAGAAACGTGAGCACTGCGATTGAAATGGAAAACTATTTTTACCCATCCTTCCATACTACATGCAAGCATGTTACATTTATCTGGTTACCTCATTTTAGATAATTTGACTGACTCCATACTGGATTATAATTTCAAATGAGCTCTTTCCCCTGAGTGAATAACCCCAGTTTCTCCTCCATTATCTCAGTGTCTTACAAGAGGGGACTCAGTCTTCTCTTCTATCTTCCAATTTCTACATCTCTGTACGACATTTCTTTTAACAGCTGCCCCTTTATATACTTCATGTAGTAAATATCTAATTCAAGGCAACTAGGATTAAAGAAAAATATCTACTGCAAGCAGAGTTCATGGCGGTAAAGTTTAGATAACTCAAATACTAGAAACCTGACCAACCCAATCTAGATTGAGAGTGAGAGAGGCTGATTTAATCCTCGATATCATTCTCCATCCCTGCATCACAATGCCTTCCATTCCCACAGCCCAGAAGCAGCACAACTGCTTCACTAGGCACACCAACCCTTCTACCTTGCAACATACCCTGCTACGATACATTTATTAGAGATGATATTAAACGTCATTGACATGGAAATGCAGTAAAATGATATCCGTTCACTAGTATCACGTATGGATACAGAGATTAAAGGAAGAGCAATAAAGAAGGAAATCACATTTCCCAAGAAATCTGAAAGGTATTAAGAGATCGTGGCTTTGCTTCATAGTGATAAAAAATTTAACCAAATCGGACCAGCATCACAATCTCCTACAGTATCCACCTACACTCTTATTTACAATCTAGCATAGTGCATACTTCTATCATTTATTTTCTTGTACCACATTGCTCATCTATGATCATGCAATTTGATCCTTTTAATTGATAGTATACTTATTCATTTTAGATATAAATTGTAAGTAATTCACAATTACATTTAATAATCTCAGGATTTAAATATTTTCTAAATTTTCAAAAAAATTATGTTTCCTCGGACAGCAGATTGGTCACTCCATTCCAACCTGGGATTGGATTAGGACCCCGCAGATCAAAAAAAAAAATTCCCAACTATCCAGACCTTGACCTAAGAGGGCATCCACAAACTGTGTAATTAGAGATTAACATTCAGGGATATCCAAATCGAAAAGTTATGATAAAAGAAGGCTTGCTTTCTAGACCCACTTTCACTCAGTCTCTCCATACTGTATTGCTAAGCATCATGGTTGATATATCTCCTCAGTTACATATAACCCAGCACAAATTCACCATCAACAAATAAATCATGAGGAAATTATTAGGACACAATCATTGCACTAGAAATGGTTGAACTTAACTTGACCTAATATATACAAAATTGAGAACTTATATTAGGAATGAAACAGGGCCATTTAGTTTTTTAAAACTTCTTACCTTGAGAAAAGTTGTCACTGCCCGTTCAATTGCATGAGTTGCAATCTCCCTACCTCCACTTGCTTCCATAAGTTCAATGTAGCGGACCCAGAACTCTGGGTAATTAGCACAAGGAATTAAACATCTCTCGTAGAGTTTTACAGTCTGTAAATAAAAGCAAATAGAAATTACAGATGTTCACCAGAAAGGAAACAGTAACTAAAACAGAGATGAAAAATAGAGCAATTATACCCAATCAAAATCCTCTTGTGTCTCAACAAAGTCAAGATAGTGATTCCAGGTTTGAAGCTGACAGCTATCAAGCGGCTTTACATGGAAATAAGGCCTTCGAATCCGAGATTCAAACAAACTAATCTTTTCATCAATCTCAGATGATCTCCGATAGAAATATTCCCCAATTGTCAAAATTGTCTTGAGCGTTTGACCTCTATAGAGGGCAGCTGGCTGATCAAGAAGAAAACTGATAATACTTCTAATTCTTGAATCATTAACACTGTGCAAGTCTCCCAGCTCACTTGCTACTGAACCTTCTGTTAAATCCATCCAAATATTTTGATATTTAATTTCTTCTTCCAAGCTGATAACAAGCTTCTTGAAGCTGACCGGTCAGATAATAAACATCCTACTCAAAATATGAGGTATGCCTATTAAAATTAGAAATAATTATAAAAACATAGCAATCATACCTCTGGTAATAACTATGCAATTTTTTGGTTGGAAATCTCAAACTTCTAATGTACACATCAACAAGGCGACTCCATTGTTTATGAGAATGTTCAAATGCAAGATATTGGTCCCATAAATTGTTGCAAAGGTAATCTTTTCCAACAAATGTCAAACCTCTTTCATACAACCTGCCCACACAACAAAATTAACAAAAGGAATGGAAATCTCCGTTTTTTTCTTGGTTTAACAACAGTTAGTGTAGGCTGGCACAATAGGACTCATGAGCTCACCCCGGTCAACAGCGATTTTGCAGATGATGATGACAACATTGATGAATAAAAAAGTGCAACAAGTAAAAGGGGAGTAATATATAAGAAGAAATATTTTTAACTCTATATAGCCAACAATGACCTTTCCACCTTGATTCTTTTCTTATGAAGAAAATAAAATAAATTACCATTCATTTACCAAATGAATGTTAACGAGATCAGTGGGAACGTAATTTAATGACTGGCTGAATATACTGATCCGAAATGACTGTTAGTCCAAAAAAGACAAAAAATAAGGCAAAATATAAACCATTCATAAAGATAATTTAGCAACAAGAAATATGAAAATTAAACCACAGCAGAAAAAAAATAAAGAACAACATTCATACTGATCCAAAAACCTGTTCAGAAAACTAAATGACATCATTAACGGAATTTGTTAAGATGAGGTTACTTGTGAATTTTATTTGATCTTTAATTACAGACTATGTTTTGTCAATAGGCCCCCTTCAAAGAAGACTATTTCAGCATGTAATCTCTTCAGAACACCTCAAATACCCTGGCAAGGAGGATCACTAAATCAAACGAGTTGCAGCTACTTCTCAATCTTGTCGTAGTATTACGTCATCAGCTAATATTCGTCTTCAAGAAGATTCTTTCACAATTTAGGTGAGACCTGCCCCACTCCTTCACCAGAAATAGGTACGAAAAATCTCACTCTCGGTATTATTACATATCTTATTCGTGACTTAAATTGTTGATCACCCAGGATCGTCCAGTGTTCTTCATTTCCTCTCACTTATGACTAACCTTCCTTCAATCGTAGGGTTATTAAGATTTTATATCGTCTACTCTCTTCTTCCATAGCTAGTGAATTTTTGACATTTGATGACAAAGGAAACAAGTGAAAATAGTCATCAAAAAAGATGCCTCTGTCATCTATAACCTTGTGAAATTTTGGCTTTCTTGTCTTTTACAAGGTAAAATAGTACTTAGAGACAAAGAGATGCATCAATGGCACAAACATCTTGGCTGCATTGTAATGTTGTTAAGATTTCCTTTGCACAAAACTCTTTTAGAAGATTACTGTCCTGTTCTTCGATATCAAACATGTCAAATTACTAAGCCTTGAACAACTTAATTTTTCAGTGCGCAATCCTAATTCTTTTCTTGTTAATTGTCAATATTACAACACGTTCATTGACCAACTTTATCATTGACCTAGATTAATTGCTAGTTCTATGTACTATGATTTTAATTCGTAACGAGATGTGCTCAGACAAGTAAACATGCTCTCAACACTTTCTTTATTTCTGATAATGTTTTCAACACCTATGCCAACTAAGAGAGCATTATGCTCTCTATCTGAACTCGTGAAAAGTGCCAGTGGACAGCAAAACTTCAATCCAGTTGGCATAAACTGTGATTTTGTAATCATCAAAAGCAAGCATGAAATTAAAATATTCCAAAAAAGATTATGCTCATCATGTGCTTGTCAATTCACTAACAACCTTACTTATACACCTTTATTAGTGACAAATGTTGAAATTTATAGAATATCACTGATGTCGCTAAAATGTTCTGCTTTCACATCATCAATCGAATAAATAAGCATCACAATTAATGTTTCTAATAACATAACCATGATTATTTAGGCATGAAATACCTTCGAACATCATCAAGGTCTTCATAAAATTGCATACCGAAGCTGCAATAATTGGCCCACAAATTAACAGAATACGTAGCTACTTTCACAGCTTCTTCATAAACTTCTACTGCTTGGTCAACCGAAAAACGTGCCTTATGATTTGCGTACTTCTCCCAATAACCATAACATAAAGGATACTCCGATAAAAAGGATTCATAAACTCTTGATATGGCACTATTGTCATCCTGTAGTTGTAATAGAAAACATAAAACTAATGTCACTATGTTGTGTCATGATCACCATTCGATCCAAACAACATCAGTAATCTAAACCACAAACAAGAAAATTAGTTCACTTGGATTCAACCGAAAAGGCAAGGTAGTTTTAGAGAGAAATTTCTAGAGGAATAAAGAGTTGATAAAAAATAAGACAACAAATAAAAATCTTTCAGCCTGTAAGCCGTTGACTTTTGAAGCCTAATGTTCTTAATGCCTGGTATGCAGTGTTGCACCATAAAATTGCTCTTAATTTGCATTCAGTCTGATTTTTGATTTCGTACATAAAAATTTATGCATCATTCTGCAGAAAGTTGAGTTGAGCGTTCACATCAGAGACTATTTAAGGACTAACTCTTATAATTTCAGGCTCTGAATCTAGTCGGTTTTTCAAGTGAAAAAGAAGGTAATAAGAGATCCACCCTTCAAATATATCATTAGCATTACTTCTCTAGCCACAGTGATTAATCACTAACAACTCATGGATGACAACACCCTATCCTTCCCAACGTTGGCCTGAATAATTTTTCATTCCTCTGTCAGCTAGAGTTTATATCTCCATCAAAATGTACTAAAATGCACGCAGCTAATCCATGTTGATTAATTTCCTAAGCAATGATTTCATCCTAGATGAGCAAAACTTGGAGCTGATCAACAGGGATTACACGATACGAAACAAATCCTGAAGAACTGACGTCCACATCAAGCAGCTTCCTTGATAACAAAGATCTCAGTGAATACTTTGACACCATCTACCTCCGAATCATATATACTTGTTTCCTGTCTTTCAGAGTTAATAGTGCGATGTGTAAATTGAATATTCCTTGATATTCCACAATTTTTGAGTAGTTTACAACCTCCAGGAGATACATTGTGCACCATCTTTGTGAAGTTGCAGCTTCATTTCGACAGTAATAATTGCCATCCAAAAAATAAGAGATCAGCTTGACTATTTTCCCAACTTGAGCAGCCAAAAGTATCTCATCATGCATGAACAGCCCAACATATGAAGGTAATCTGCTAGTTGGACATAGGGAGAAGCGAAAAGAACCAGGAGATCCTGACCGCATGGTGCCCCACGAGAGTGGGCCATTGCAACAACAGCTGTGTCTCCACTGTGGGGATAGCTTATGGGGAATATATCCTAGTCCATGTACCAGATAAAATGGGGGACCCGATCAAGAAAGCTAGAGACGAGTAATTTAAATTTATGAGAAACCTTAATTTATGAAGACTCCCTCAGGGGATTTAATGGTTATGGCAGGTAGACTACCTCAGCAAGTAGTGAGACTAGATGTTTGGCTAGCTCATCAAGCTACCTATACCTGTCTGGTCCAATCGTTTAGCAGCCCAGGATGCACGCCAGTTTCGCACGACCTGGAGGAGTGACAGAGTGGTCAAGACAGTGGCAACAAAACCAAAAAGCTTGTTAACTCTACGAACGTGGGAAGTTGGCTTTCCCATTTGTTCCACCAGCTCTCTAAGCACACGTTCCAAGGTTTTCTGTCTTCGTAGAATTTCAGCCTCAATGTTTTTGAAGCATCCCCTTCTCAGTGGTTGTCCGGCTTCATCCAACTCAGCCAAAGGTGTACAATTCTTCCTGAATCCATTAAAGGCTCCCGCTTTAAAGCCAACTACAGCTGCAAAATGGATGGCTATAAAGCTGTAGTTTTAGGGTATTTGACTAGTCAACTGATGGACTAAAACCAATTCTTCTTAGAAGAAGTCAATCGATGATTTGTTTCTTCTCCAAGGTTCTAATACATTACTCAACAGTCCGCCACTGGAAACACCACTTTCTGCCCAAGTTGAATGTGCTAAGCATGATAGGCTTTATTTATTAATCATGCTGCATAGATAAAGGCTGGGGAGGGTCTAAAGTGGATCTAACTATACATATTCCGCCATACCCAATCACCAACATTAACAATAAAGAGTATGAATTGCTCATGCTAAGTACGGAGTACAAAAATAAATGGATTGCCAATAATAATCACACCCAATTAGGGGACCTACTTTACAGTGATTCGCATCCAATGACGAGCTCAAGGAGTGATATTTTCAGCAGTATTCATGCCAATTTAACAACTATAAATAAATAGATCTACCCTATTGTGCTATGCAATTTTATATAATTAAGCAAAGCCTTATTTACTACAAAGCTCACACAACTAGAATAGACTTACACATTCCAGAAAGCGTGGACAAAATAATTGGACTTTAAATTGATTCATGTGAGAGATTTTTTCTTTGTTTCTTTAAACCAAGAACCATGGTATCTTCAAGCCCCATTCGAAAGCTTTATAAACTAGATCCCTCCCGCCAAGTATAACAGTTATTCTTGAAAATCCGTGGGAACCCAACTAGGTACTGTAAAGAAATTCAACAGATTGTTCATGAGCTTAAACTTGGCTTCGTGCACCTATGGTTTTTATTCCAAAGAATATCGTATCACAAAACCAATAGGCCAAAAAAACAAGGATCCAGTCAGTCCATGGGAGTTTCTTCTTTCCATTGGAAAAGGTAAATTGGCATTAGTTGACGGTCTGCTTTGTCAGACCCTCCCTGTAAGGGCTTTCTTGGTATTGAATGTTCTTACGACGGCCTAAGAGTCTATTAAATAGAGAAGGTGATACCAGGATAGTGCAAAATTAGGCCTAGATGACTAAACTACGTAAAGCTCGCCAATGTTGTACTGGTTTCCTGCATCACAATAGTTAAATAGCATTAATTGTGAACAATGAGCCATATGTTGGGTACTTCATCTTTCACTTCCTCACCGCAGTTCTGATTTCTCAGTAACTGTTCTTACAGATTTGAATGTATGGTCTGTATGCAACTTTGTAACAATGAAGCCAAAGGAAGAATAAAACATACAGCGGATGTTTCCTCAATCTCCCATATGAGCGATGTCCAGGAAGAAAAGTCCATCTGGTTGCTAGCAATTAATGTCCGAGCATTGTCTTTCATGGAAAAAAATGCTGCACAGCCATGACTGAGAATCGTCAACGAGTTGTATTCCGACCATAGCAGTCCATTTTATAGAACATGAGATCAAAAAAATTCCTTCAAAGAAACAACAGAAAAAGCGGTTTTCAAGACAGATAACATGAAGTAGCAACATGTCTGCTAAATATGTATATTCGTCCTAAAGAAGTTATTTTTGTCATTTGAATAACTGATATAAAGTTCTTTATCTCCCATTTTGCCAAAAGATCACTCCAAACAATGCCATGGAAAGCGCTTATGAGCAAAGATGGATGGAGTCGTTTTTTGAATCCTTTTTAGGCTGTTCCGTTTTTGGTATTTATGCAGCACTTGTTATAAGATACAATTAGCAGATTTTAGAATGTGAGACAATGAACTGGACAGGAACCTGCATTGGTTATCCGAACTGCGAAGGAACTGTAAGAAAATTGCATACGTCTTGCAAAAGGTCGGTCTGAAAGACAAAAAACTAACCACTTTTAGGAATGACTGCATTCGCAAAATGGTTGAAAAGTGAAACCTGGGGGATCTCTCTATTTCCAAGGCCACTGTAAAGTGAAACTTGAGACACACCACGGCTATGACCGGGTACCGAACGTACCCCAGAAATAACTCCAGCTTAACATCATTGGGGTTCCCATGCAGAACGGATGAGTGACGATGACACCTTGGAGGATGATCCTAAACCTCAGAGAGCGGAAGATTATTGACCGCTCGACTCGGGATGAGCCCTGGCAAGAAATTATGATGCACGAGACCGAAGAGAATAAGACGTTAAGATGTCGGCAACAGAGTGAGGCCTCTGAGAGGGTGAGAGAAGAGGGGTTGAGGGGGCAGGAGGAGAGCTGGGCAGAGAGAACCAATTTCTCGCAGGGCAAGAAGGTCGCGGGAGGAGCGTTTCCGGCCTAAACCAGACAATTTGTGCCGAAGCAATAAACTTTCACAAGCGTACTGTAAACCCCCCAGCACTTCTTTAGTCTTTCCCCATAACCGGCCCCGCGAACGCACGTCATCCGGAACTTCAATTCTCATAAAAGACCCAATTTTTAGGATTGCGCCAGGAGACCCGCGGTGGATCTAGACCTCGTTGCCCTCGACAACTGCGTGAAGTGCACGACACCTGACTAAACTACACTGGCGACTGGGCTAGCGGTACTTTCTTCCAACTCTCAAGCCCTTCACCTAACACTGCCCCTTGCCCCCCCTACAGAAAGGTTTAAGCTTTCATAAGGGACATTATAGAACCGTCTTCAATTGTGGAAGTCATATACTTAATCAGACACCTTACGTAGCATGTGACATGGAGATGCATCTGTGACTTACCAACATACACCAGAGAATGATACCTTGTTATATAGCCCTGAAAGTTACTAAAATTGAATTCTATTGAATTAATATGGAAGCAACATAGACCATGCTCATATTGTGATGAAAATTGAATTTATTTGTTCAAATCTAGTTGATGGTATTCGAAATTACTGTGTTAACATTTTTCTTAGATATTATTGTGTGCATAAAAATAAAATAATCACATATATAGAATTTAGTCCACTTTTGACGCAGCTTGAGTTGAGTAGGGATGAAATCTCATCTATGGATTTACTAGAAATATTTTTTTTGTGAAGATTCCTTAGTCCAAATCAACAGAACTTAGAAGATTAAACAATTTAATCCACAAGGGGTGATCTTCAGTCTACAAGATTTAACATTTTACTTAATCTGCAAGGGAGTCATCATACAAAAGTTTTTAAGTTCTAGTTTATAGAAAAGTTTAATTTTATATTATTTTTATTTACATAATCAATAAAGAAATGATGTTATACATCATATGGATCTGCTCTATAATATATGATATGATTTTTAACAAGATTTCAATACTAAATTTAAATATGATTCAAGTTTTCTATTTCAAAGTCAATCTTTGAGTTTGGGATTTTTGGAACTATAGGTCTAAGTGAAATATTAAGAAGAGGGGTCGTGAATTAGAGCTTCTAAAATTTCCACATAGTTTTCTATTTAGGCCAAACCTGTGTATATGTGTCACAACACATTGGCACACTTATATTATTATATTTTTTGTTAATTATTTTAATGATTTTTACACTATTAAAAAAATATTGAAAAATAACTTCATAAATTCACCCAAAAATCCAAGAGAAATATATTTTCTAAATTCTAACTTCATGTTTGATTTTTTGTCAATTGTAAAATATTTCTCGATGTTATAAATCTTGGATAATCATCTTAGTAAATAGATTAAAAATCAGAAATATATTCGTATGACACAATTATAAAAATTATCAAATTAAACATAATTCTCAAACCAGCACTAATGCATTTTAATTTTCACAATTAGTATTTTGCATTGATTCATGTAAAAATTACTTCAATTCTACCAAAGTTATTATTTAAAATGATGTATTATCATTCTCCTACTTGAAATTATTAATATTTTTATTAAGATTTATATTCAAGAAATAAAAAAGATCTACAATAACCACTTTATAACCCATATATTATCAACATTGATAACCTGAAACATACATTATGATTGAGGATCAAATTATAAACTAAGGTCCCTTTGTCAACAACATTGTAATTCTTTTTATTTGTCTTTTGTCCCCCCTCATCATGATATTTTCAAAAGAGGAGGGGTGATGCAAGACAATGTAATGGAACTAGAGATCTGAATTCAATGATCACAATGTTTAGAGATATAAATAGAGAAACCTACTTGTTTAAGCCAACAAAACGAGATAACTTAGAATTAATTACTCCCACAACTTTGAATCAATATGATCTTTATTTTTCCTAAAATTGTGATGTTGAATTTTAATTGAGTGAATTAAATCTTAGTAAGAGATGAATTATCCAAAAGTACTTTGCTGACTATTCTATTGCCTCCCATGGATCAAGAGGAAGGCTAATAGAATGAGAATCAAATTTGGTTTAGAAGATGGGAGAGTTGTGATACCTTGAGTGATACTAGATATGCCCATGATCTACTGAAGCTTGAAGACTCTTCTTAAGGTATTTGATCCACTCAATATTGTAGAAGTGATGACAAATTAGAAGGAGGATTGAGTAGAGAAAGAAGTAGGAGAAGAAGAAGAGAAAAGAAATTTTTATCAAAAGTGATCAAATCAATAGAGAGAGATAGAAAAGGATCAAGAGAAGTAGAGAGGGAATGACAACACGTCAACTTTTCACCAAAATCAATTTATTTTTTTTTCAGATTTCCTGGCCCCCTTTCTATAGGTTACCCCAAGGGAAAGGTAGTTACAAAGTGGTTACACAAAGGTGTGGGCTTGAAAGGATGCTTCAAGTCTCAACCCATAACTATCCTCTACTCCTTGGGCTTGGGTTTTACATATATGCTCTTGGACCAAGCTTTGACCTGCTCATTGCTACATGTTGACCTCCCATTGGGTTGACTTCTACATTCGGTTTTCATCACAATGTTAGAGTTGATGTCCCCATCATAGGGCCACCTGACAAAATGTCATGTCCATTAAAAAGCAACATTCTCCACTATGCCTTCTAAGATTTTTCCTTTCTTTTGATGATCAATTGTATCATGGTTCATTTTGAACATTAATTCTAGTGACAACTAGAGGGATTGTTCTCAACTAGGTCTATCCATCTTGTCTCTTTTAGTCATTTGTCAAAATTTACATTCAAGTTATCTAATCTTTCAAAGGATTTGGGAAAATAAAGTTCTTAGATATGAACATGTATTGAAATTGAGTAAACTGAAAAAACTAAAATGTGAACCATTAAAGTTTTTTTTTTTTAACCATTAAAGGTTAGATTCTAATAATATCAGAGTTTCATTCAAGCATTTTATTTCTCATTGACTTCAAAGTCAATAACTTATGATGTCAAGAAAAGACCATATTCCTATGTGTAGAAAATAGCATATTCCCTTATGTCAATAACATAAGGGTACAATAGTTATTTTACTTAAGTATTTTAATATAGTATCAATGTTTGGAAAAACCACAGAAAAATTAAAAGTCAAAGGTATCTACTTTTCCTTATTTCCTATGCTTAGAAAAGTGAGTTGACCCAATAGGTCAATAAACTTGGTAGTATGTAAAGAAGTATATTATCTAAAAGTGTCATGGACTACTGACAAAAATGAATAAAACGAGCTCTCTGAAAATACTCATGAACCAACTTTTGACTTTAATATGTAGTTGTCAAAGAGATATCTAATGCTTATTTTTCAACTATTTAAGTTCTTAAAATTGTGAAAATCATCCTTATATGAACAATATTACTAATATTTTTAGGTAACTGTTGGAGCATCAAATGAATGATGTTTCTATGATCATAAATGTTCATAAGATCAATTCAAAGATCAAATTATCTATAATCTCAAATATACTTGACATAATCATAACATTAAAGTGTTTAGTAGTAATTTATTATAGTTATGTTAAATGTTCATATAAGAATTCATGAAAACACTTATGATCAATAATTTTGAATTTATATATTTTATGAATTTCATTGTATAAAATTATAATATTGTATATTTCTATTGAAAGGGTCAATATTTATAGAATATGTCAAGTGAGAAAGTAATGGTAAACACATCAAAATCAATGAGACAACAAAATGTCAAATATGAGTATGAAAACTTACTTAGTTTATTAATATACTTGTGACATTAGATCATTACTTTTGAATGATTTTTATATTGTTCTACTCAATAAAATTCAAATTATTTATTCAATTAAATATGATTTTTTAGATATTAATAAATACACATTACAAATTATTTTAGATATTCTAAATCTCTAAAATCATGATTAAAGATGTTTACTTGATGATCTTATTTTATTTGAGGTGATTTGAATAATATTTGCCTGCTAAATCATCATCTTATTAAGATATATATTGCCAGCCATGTTTTAATGATATTAGATCATTACCAATCTTAATTGAATTGATATGATTCGAACAAAGACCTTGTAGGTGGAGGAACCAATAATTAATTTATGCTACATTAATAATTAAGCTAATGGAAATTAATTCAAGAAAAATTGTTGAATAGTACACAAGTTTCATCAATAATTAAGTTAATACTACAATTTAGATCATCTACTTAAGTTGGAAAGGTACCTAGTTATCCTCTTGGGAGATTAGATAAGCAAAGATGATCACAATTGGATAAGCAAAAAAGAATATTTTCCATCATTCATTAAATAAGCTTGAGGGGTACTATAAAAAAAAGTTGATTATGAAGAGTATTGTCTTGTATAAACATGGTATTTGCCATGATGAGAACTGCATTTCACTTATTTCAAGAAAAAATGAAAAATTCCTCGCAAGAGTGACTATTATCAGTAATAAATATAGATCTCTTCTAAAGGTGAAATATGGGAAAATATCTGTTTTGGACGACAAACTAGACATTCTTCTAACGTTTGATTGTAGAAACTTACTTTGGCCTATGTTGGAGGAAAAGATAAAAGGGAAATGAAATGTTCTCACGTGCAGCAATGAGAAAGGTCCATCTTCTCATCTACACTAAGGGTAAGAAAGGGAAGAAGAAAGGATAAAAAGAATTTCAAAATCGATCCCATTGACTTTCTGTGAATTACCTATAAAAAACTTAATTTTCAGAATATCAACAAAAAGAACTTCTTGGAATGGAAAGAGTAGTGAAAGATAATTCCGTAAAAAGGGAACTTGAGAATGAAAGCCGAAAGAGAAAATTAGGAAGTTTAACAAAAAGTTTCTCAAAAAACAGATGCCAAAATGAATAACCATCAAGACTTGTTAATGAAAGAAACAAGTAAGCAGAGCTCTTGGGAAGACAAAGGATTATTGAAACATATGGATTGGGCTATGTTCTACCATCAGTACTCTCTCTCTCTCTCTCTCTCTCTCTCTCTCTCTCTCTCTCTCTCTCTCTCTCTCACACACACACACACACACACACACACACACACACATACACGCACACCCACCCACCCCCCACTGTTGGGTTTGGACCCTACAACCCACTTTGTAGCTGACTCACTGATGCAACAGCAGCTCTCAGCCTCGTTCTGGCCATTGAGACTCAGCCTTCGTCGGAACTTTACTTCCACAAGGTGCTCCCCATCTACCCGTCCTAATGCTCCCGCAGTCTTCACCCTCTACAGCATCTCCTTCACCCTCATCGCCAACATAAAGAGTGTTCCAGACGACCCCCTACTGAAACAAATAAAAACTCAAATACCCGTGTGTGACTCTCCTCTGCAATTCTAATTCTCTCCAAAAGACTTGGAGGATCTGGGGGTAAGCGAGAGCTCAGAACCATGGAGCGAGAGCATTCATGCATATGGGAGATGTTTTTGCCCGCATGGGACTGAGCGGTGGGAGCTATCCACAACTTTTCAACAAAAGTAAAAGGGAGAAGAATGTATCCCAATGGCTAATTAGGTATATTTACAGTGATGAGGGGGGCTAATGAAGGCCCTTCTGGAGACCACAAGCGATGGCACAAATCTGCGGCTCAGAGGCTCAACAGGCGAAGTGAAGAAGAAGAAGAAGCAATCTACCTTCCTGGGCTGGCTGCCATTGTCAGCCCCGATCCATGCCTCAACCTTTCACGCGGCCATTAGCAGACTCAGAGGCTCAAGCCAGACAGACAGGCGGGCAGCGCACAGCTTGATCCTCCGAAATGAAGGAAAATCGAGGGAAAGAAGCTGCACACGTCATATGGGGCTTGCTCTGGAGGCCTGCAGAGGACAAGTTCACAAACATGCGAGGATTGATACGCTCAGCCAGAATCCTTTCAGCGACTCCCAAATGGATCTTCAGTGTTCTAGTGGCGATGGACCGGACCTGGTTTGTGGACGTCGTGGCACTAGTCCAGGGTTGTGGGTGATGCTTTGAAGACGACCTCTCCCTGACAAAAGTCACCACTCTTGACCTGGTCTCTCTATCAATTACCTGCCGAGGCATCTCTCGCATTATCCAGAGCACGAACACTGAGGGCAGCGTTGACCCTGGGAGAGAGAGGAAGAGGTCAACAAGGATCAGGGAGGTCAACAAGGAATACCATTTTCAGAGGAGACGAGGGAAAGCAGATCATGGGGAGTTGCTTTTTAGTATTTTTTTGGTCCACATAATAAAGAGCAAAGGCAAGCAGAATGCTACTTGTGAATGACAACCAGAGACCGTCCAACAGAAGCCAGTAGAAGAAAAGGCAGACAGCAGTACAAACTCTACAGGATGATGTACAAGGATATGTGCAACTAAAGCTTTAGCAGGGGTGCGTACATATCTAAGAAGCCCATACTTCTAAAAGACTTACGACGAGGTAGAGCAATGACAGAGATGGTGGAAAATAAAAGCTGGGAAGCAACAAAAGGCGACAAGAGGAAATAATGCGTGCAAGTTTAGGAAGGACCAAGATGATCACCAAAACCTATGTTAACAGAAAATGGAGGTCATTGGCAGATCGAGATAAAAGGAGTATGCAGGATGAAGAGTACGAGAGAGTAATGATAGGATTTTATTTTAACTGTCCAATCCTGGAAGAAACCACGGTGACCCAAAAATACATAGAATTTATCATGTTCAATGGAGATTATATGTTATTCCAGCTAGAAACCTGCTTGAGTGCTCAACGGCTGCTGTGACTCTTGTAGATACCCAAGTATAGCAGTGCCGTCAAGCCTTCTTGGGACTCTCAACGTCAGAGCATCCGTAGCACAGAGGATAGCAGGAACGTTTAACCATAACAATCTACAAAAAAGGGCCAGCGAAGTCCAAAGCTCTTCCTATCACGTAACTCTTTGGAGCAATATCATGAACCTGATCAAAGAATAGAATTATAACACGCCATATTCTGTCAAAAGACAGAAGAGACCCAAGCTCCAATACAATTTCAAATTCCCTTGGGACGGTTATGGGGAAGAAGATATAATCAGGAGTTCAGATCTTAGTTGGACCATTTCCTAGTTTGTTGGTTCGTTCGCTAGTTTGCTGATTTCCCATGTGTAAGGCATTTTCCTTGTTTTCTGGCCCTGATACTTGTATATGACAGTCATCTATGATGTGAATACGAGTTTGAGCTTTTTATCTGCATATCCTCCTAAGGTTCGTGCCACTGTTCACAACAAAGATAAATTTGTGTGCGAATGCATTCATGTAATATGCAATGGAACATAGAGCAAAGAGTAAATATTGACCACGTATAGTGGTAATACAGCTGAAGCATTATACACACTGAACATTCTCATATTTAGGCACAACCCGACAGCAAGATGCTAACATAGCGTCAATGAAAGTATGTAAACTTACCAAAAAAATAATATAGAAATAATGGAATCGGGGTGCTTCTTTTATATGCATCTGGTTTGTAGTCATAGAGAACCTACAGCAAGAAATGAAGAGTTAAACCAAATCAGAAATGTTACGTTTAACTGAAATTAAATAACAAAATGCAGAAGAGAAACTTACAGGAACATTAGAAATGAGAGCTATTAGCGCACTTGACGTAAAACATACGAGAGTCACAGCAGCCAAACTGGCAACCTGTTGATGGAAAAGATATTACACAAACCACAATAAATGACCTAAGCCAAGCTAAGAAACGAGTGAAACGGGTGGTGACTAAGATGCACATAGTGTCAAATTAAAGAAAACATACTGAGAAATATTTACAAACCTGTAATTCCCATAAGCTTTCAATTGGAAATACCTTTACATGGAAATATTTAATTTTTAACTGGAAAATATCATTATCAAGGATAATAAAAAGATACCTTCCACATTTCTGTTGAAGCCATTTCAGACCGTACTTTGCTCATTTTTGAGAAAAGTAGTCCTCCTATGTGGGATATAAACAAAATTTAAATACAGATTACCACACAATTCAAGAAGAAGAATGCTTTACATCTAAGGGAAAAACAAAAACCGCATAGATTCATTGTGTATATCATTCACTATCAAAGGTAGTCTTTGATAGAGTAAATTTATAGAACTAGAAAATAAATGGATAGCAATTCATGGGAACAAGCTGTTGATTTGGAAATTTAAAAACATCACAAGCTAAGGTAATGAATTGTTACATTAGGGCTTCCAAGAACAAAAAATCGCCCTATTTATGTGTTTCTAAATTTATGTTGCTTAAGAACATACACCCTGGTAGAAGAGTCATCCATGGTGGGGAAATCAGCCTAGATGACTGCCATCAGGGCTTCTAAAGGAGAGTTCTCATTAAGCCAGGACACTCTTTCCATAGAACCCGAGCCTATTCTAGTTATAATCTTAAGCTTAACACTAAAATATTAAAAAATCTGTATTAAAAATATATTTCTCAAATTAGGCTAGGAAACTCTTTTCTTAAAAAATAACAATCTGATTATAAGTCTTCTGTTGCAGGTATACTCTGATCCAAAACATATGCAATAAAATCCTTCTAATACACTTAAAAAGTAGTTATCTCCCTGAATTTGATAGGGATTGAACTCAACCAAATGACCAGAGGTATTGCACTAAGACCAAGGTCCTGGGTTAGAAGACTCTACGAGTTTTGCAATTTTATGCGATGGATTTAATGGTTGCATATTACCCTTGGCCATTGAACTAAATTCTTGACGTAACTGTGAATTTTGTTGTACTAGTGGATTTTCTACCTTCAGAAGAAACCTCTAAGAAGCCCTCTCAAGCAAGGCGTCTCCTACTGTCAGCTGGATATTAGTTTCGGTCGTCTACAATTTTCCCCCAAAAGTAGCAAAGATCAGACGATTTTAGGCTAGAACCCGTCAGGCTTTAGACAATTTCAGGAGTGTTGCAATAATGATGCATGAAAACAAAAGTACAGAAAAGAGATATTGAGGTAAATGCAGTTTTTTTTTTCTACAGAAAGTTTCATTTATTGAAGGATATTTAGGTGCTTTTTACACCCTTGTGAGTATATCTTTCCTTACCATAGCAAGCCAAAGCCCCGCCTAGTGTAAAAATTGCTACGGAAAAGATATCTAGATAGACCTGTATAAGAAAGTTACAAAGCAACCAAACTCAGAAATGATACATCAAATAGATAAGATTGAAATGTCAAAGCAAATACATATGACAAACGCTAAATAACTCATAACGCAATATTGCAGATGAATGTTTGAGGATTCAAGGACATCATTTAACAACTCAAAAATCACCTAAACCTAGTTCCTACCGAACCAACATATTTTGACACGGATTAAAGAGCCCTTGATCAACTATGGAATTCAGTACACTCAGGGTCACTGATATAACCTGGAAGAAATCTGGTCTAATAGATAGTATGAGCTTGGAATAATTAAAAGATAGTTTAAAACCATTTGAACAGAAACCATCTACAAGAAAAGGTTTCATACGAATATTAGGTAATGATTTTCTACTCAAAAATTTTATGATGCATGACACATTCAGCAAAACTGGCGTAACATAAAGGTGCATTTGGCATTCATTATTAGATTCTTGTATTCATATTCATACAGCAGCCATGGTTGCATCATAAAATATCTAGACAAAAACTTATAACAGAAACAGAAATAAGATAGATGATGCACAAATAAGAAGAAAGTGTATGCGAATTAAACAAACTTTATAGAACGGAAAATATCAAAAATGGACATATGCTTGAATGATAAATAGACGTACGTGAGGGAACAGTTCAGATGGGAAGAAAGACCATCACCTATTTCACAAATTAACACAGAAACATATGGCCTTTTATTATGATCTGTACCAAAAGTTTCCAGCAAAGCCAGAACCTGAGTTCCATATTGATTGCTTCCTAGGATTTATAAAACCGTATATGTTCACAGGAAAATATGTTACGAAATGTAATACAATTGGATCATAGAAAACTGACAAAATTATTGGGTACACGAAACTCAAAGGTTCAAAGAAAAACTGACATTACGTCTTTCTTCATCCTTCAATTTGCAGTATAAAAAGGTGTTAACCACATGTTGGAAAATAACTTCTTACCCTAGCCATAAGTGAGGAGTCAATAGGGTTTTTGCCTTTCCCAAACCAGATAAGCATTGCAAATGCAATCATGAAAAGAAATGTCAGCACAATTACCTACAACAACAGTACAACTAACGTTAAGTAGAACACCAATTATGCTCTCCAATGAAGATGCTCAGCACAAATTTCAACGAATAAACACTTCTGTCGTATACCAGGATTACGAACTTTTGACGGTTTCCAATATGACTTGAACAGAATGAACAAAATCTGCGTCGTGTATCCACATGTGAAGAACCTGCTTCGTTTTCTGTCTTTTCCAACAAAGCTTCAGTGGAGCTATCATATTCTTCATCATCTTCATCACTAGCCTGATGACAGAGGTCCACCCTGCAAAAAATTGCTAAAAAACTGAAAAGGGGAAGCATGAACTTTATTTAACTGCAAACCAAAGTTTTTCAGCATTGTTGCATGTAATGCTTAAATCTAAGAAAGTTTATGTAGAATAATTAGTTTGGACCGATTTCTCTCAAAAAAGGCCTAAGCTACTCCAGCCCAAAAACGAAACAAAAACAAAAAGACCTGGAACATACTATCCTTCCAATTCCAAAAAGGTACACCCATCTTGCAATCAGAAAAGAAAAATCCTCATTTCCTTTACATACGCACCTTCAGGGTCTAGTAAGATCCTCGACCAGACAACTAAAATAGTTTCCTCTATCATCATATATGTATCTTCAGAGACCTTCAGACTGCTTGATCTCAAAGCATCTAACATACAAGCACAAGTAAGAATTAATTTGTTAGACCTGGTACTGCTGGGCCAAATACCAGGCTAATTATCTGGGCGACTTATGCCAAAAAGGGAAGGGTAGGATACAGGAGGGTCAAGGGTAGTTAGGCCAAGGGCCCACTAAGGGGATGGGTACAAGGATCCTGAGGGGTCGTTACTATGGGGGCACTTTTGGAAGAAATCAGTGGGAGAGCAGGGAGGGGGAAGTCTCGAACTCACCCTCGATCATGTTCTAGGGTTTCCTCTGGAAATCCTCCTCTATTTCCTTTCTTCTCTATTTCAGTTCTGATTTTCGCCTCTATTTCCTGAGTTATCTCTACTGATTCCTCTCTGTTTCGTGCCGCTGTCCTAGGATCCCATCATAATTCTACTTATGAAGGATAGGCAACCCGACATATATAGCTATCAACAAATCCGAAGATGCTACACTGAAAACAATAAGGATAACATCATATAATCTCTTCCCTGTCCTGGCAACAAGGCTCTAGTTTTTTCAAGGTATATAAGCGTTAATCAAGAAGGATAACATCATATAATCAAATTATGCTACAGACAAAATAAAGCATAAATCAAAATATAAAAACGCAACTAAACGCCATATCAGATACATTATCAAATGTGTCCAAGATTCCATCAGATAAAGTTACCCAACTAAAAGCCATCACACAAAAAGAAAAGGAGATAATCCATAAACTGTCACCATTTACTTTCACTGGACTGCTATGCAGGATTATTTCCCTAGCTCAGTACCGATTAATTTATGTTCCTGCACCTATTAAAACAAGTGTATATTCTTTCAGAATAAATGTTAATTTTTTACAGCTAAAACCATTATGGTTACTAACTATAGAAATAGAAAACTCTCTTCGCTTCCATCAGAATCACGATTCTTTATTTTAAAAAGATAGCTCCAATTAAGTCAGCCAAGATTCTGTCTTATTCCATCTCATCTGAAAAACATTTACAGACGAAATAGTAGGCAAACTAAATATACATGAAAATAAAGGCAATTGCCGAAGAAATCAGATAACAAGCTGACATAAATACATGAGAAATGCATGCAAAGTATTATAAAGTTTATGCCGGAACATGCATCATACTGAGTAGCAGATGAATTATTACCAGAATGAGAGTAGCAAAAGGAAGGATGCTAGAAACAAAATTTGTGGACAAGCTGCAAGACAAAAACGTATGGTAAGGATGCGTTTTAATATTATACTTTTGGCAAACATAACTGAAATAGAAGAGGATCACAGAACTCCAGGTACATACCTATAAGGATAAAACCACATCCATGAGACCAACACGGCCATCCATTGCATGTAGCTAAAAGAGTGGATGTGAAATATAGTAGGAAACCTGACAACAAAATAGCACATAATCATCATAATCCTCCTTCCAATTAAACACAAGTAACATGAAAGTTACAATGTGGAAATTTCTAGCAATAAGCACTGCTTATAGTCATCTTTTATCCTTAGAGAAAATACTGACAAATACATACCAAAATTATACCAAAGAAAAAGATGAATAAAAATATGCAGCTCTAACATTACTTATTTTAGCGACTGTAGCTTGAATGTTGGAGCGATTCTCTAATGGAACCGCGTATGACCAGCAGGAAGTTATTCCTATATTAACTTGATCAGAAGACAATATATGAGAAACTGTTCCCGAGATTTTAGTGCCACCCTTTTCCTTCTTTTAACGAACTGGGTATTAGCACTTTTGTTAACCTTACAATAATCAAGATGAAGATATAAAAGGATCAGCAAAGAAGAACCAAACATAACTCATCAAATAATCAGATGCCTCTTTTCTGGTTTATCATTGTAAAGTGAATATGCTCTCCAACGAATTAAAAAAAAAGAAAAAGGAAACACTGTATACAAGGGAAGGGGCCTTATCTCCAGTAGAGACTGGATTAGCCAAATCAGCCTATCTAAGGACAGACTACTGAAAAATCTTGAAACATAGAAAAAGGTTTACGGGTACAATTTACATTATTTCCAATCAAAATTTACCAATCTGGTTTTTTTTAACGTAAGAATTTTCTCAAGACCTGTTGAGGGGGAGGAGGTGGGAAGGAATACTGAAATCTCAAAGCATGCCAGCCACGTCATGCAATCTAGAACATTTATTTTCCTTCTCTGCTACACTTCTCTTTTCTCTGTTCTTGATACAGCCCTCTAATACCTCCCTTTTCCTCTCATGCATCTACAGCCTGTAGTCGAGATAACACATGGTCTGGAGCTCTGATAGACGCCCAGCACTCGTGGAAGAAGTAACACGAAATGAACACGAAATGAAAGGTACAGGAGGACATATATGTAAACATGTAAGGTATACATGTTATTAACTACATCTCGACAACACTCCCTCAAGCTTATGAGTGGATGTCATCCATTCCCAGCTTAGGAATAATCTTCTGCAGTTGTGTACCCGAGATGCCTTTAGTATGTCTGCCAACTGATTATTTGTTGAAATGTACAATATAAAAATCACATTTGCCTCAAGTTTTTCTCTGATGAAATGGTGATCAATCTCCACATGTTTGGTACAGTCATGCTGTACTAGGTTGTGCACTAGATTGATTGCTGACTTATTGTCACAATAAATCTTCATAGGACTAGATAAAGGAATTTTTAGCACATCAAGTAAGTTCTTGACTGAAAGTAACTCACATATTCCTTGGGCAAGTGCCCTGAGTTCAGCCTCAGCACTTAATTGAGCAACTACATTCTGTTTTTTGCTCCTCCAGGTGACAAGGTTGCCACTAACAAAAGTAAGATGATCAGAGGTTGACCTTTGATCAATCGTTGAGCCTGCATAGTCAGCATCTGTAAACATCTCAACCTCTACCTTTCCACTTCGTTTAATAAGAACCCATTTTCCTGGTGTGCGTTTCAAATGATGTAGCACTCTGTAGGCAGCATGTAAATGAGACTCTTTAGGTTGATGTATAAATTGGCTCAATATACTCACTGCACATGAGATATCTCCTCGAGTGTTGTATTAGACAAAGTAGTCAGCCAATGAGACATTAATAAATCTCACGGGTCAATAGAAATTTCTTCACCTGCCATACACAATTTCAGGTTTGGGTCAATAGGTACTGGCTGGTCTACATGCAGATTTTCATGTTTCAGCTAACAAATCTGTTATGTACTTTCGTTGAGAAATAAAAATGCCTCTAGAAGAATGTGCCACTTCAATTCCTAAAAAATATTTGAGTCGTCCTAAAGTCTTAGTATCAAACTCTTGGGCCAAACAATCGCTCAAGTTATGGATCTCCCCTTCATCATTTCCTGTGATGATAATATCATCAACATAAATCAATAGAACCATAATTTCCCTTGAAGAAGAGTGTTTAAAAAATAGTGTGTGATCAGCATTGCTTTGGTTGTAATTTACTTTTTTCATGCCGGCTGTAATTCATGCATGTGGAGACTGTTTGAGGCCATAAAAAGATTTCTTTAACTTACAAACAAGATTACCCTCATATCCTGGTGGGAGAGTCATGTAGACCTCTTCAACCAAATCATCATGCAAGAATGCATTTTTAACATCAAATTGTTGAATATTCCAGCTGAAAATCGCTACCAAGGATAGTAAAAACCAGACTGTATTCATTTTGGCGACTGGCGCAAAAGTCTCCTGATAATCTATTCCATATAATTGTGTATAACCCTTAGTCCCCAGCCAGGCTTTATACCTCTCAATCAAACCATCTGATTTATATTTCATTGTGCACACTCATTTGCAACCAATAGTCTTCTTATCTCATGGTAATTCCACTCGATCCCATGTCTGATTTTTCGCAAAAGCTCTCATCTCAATATCCATGGCTTGTGTCCACTCATGATTGGATAGAACCTCATAGAGATTTTTGAAATGGTAGTCATGTCTAAGGATGCAAGGAATGATTGATAGGGTGGAGAAAGTTTGTGATAAGATAGGAAATTGACAGCTGGGTACAAGGGTTTTTTTGTACACTCTCTTATATGTTTGCATAGAGCGATGGGAAGTGAATCATGAGGTAGGACTGCAGGATCATTAGATGAGGTAGATGTTAATGGCTGTATATTTTTTAAGGCCAAATTAGAATCTTGGATTTTTGGTGAATCATGAATTTTCCTTCGCCTAGAATAAACCTTGCCAAACCTTAGGCTTTCAAGAAGCAGATTCAATATAAGACTGGGTATTTCAAGGACTGAAATGGGAATGAACAAGTTACCAGCTGAAGACGAGAGTGAAGAATCTACATGTTGATCCATATGAGCTGTAGAAAATAGATGTTGATAACTAGATGGAGATTCTTTAAAATAAGAATCAGATTCATGAAATGTAACATCCAATGAAATAAAAAAAATTCTAGAAGGGTGGTAACATTTGTACCCCTTGTGATTGGTAACATAACCAAGAAATACACATTTAAGCGATCTTGGTTCAAGTTTGCCTTTGGTTTAATTATGAACATGAACAAAAGAGACAACCAGATGTCTTAGGTTCTAGCCTAGTTTTAAGTTGATGGTCTAAGAAAAACGCAGCTAATGAATCTAACAGGCTGTGGAAACCTAAGTTTCTAAATAGTAATCAGTTGATGAGGTATATGATTGTTAGAGCAACCTCCCCCAAAAAACTTTAGGTATATGATGTTGAAATAAAACTGATCAAGTGACTTCTAAAAAATGACGATTTTTTCTTTCAGATGAACCATTATGCTGTAGAGTATAGACGTGGGAAGATTCATATATAATGCCCTCTATTTGGAAGTATATATCCATATTTTGGCTAAAATACTCTTTAGCATTATCAAATCTGAATTTTTTAATACCAGTGTCAAACTGATGTTTTATTATGGCACAAAAAAAATTCAGAACATCACACACATCGGATTTTTTTAGAAGGAAGACCCACATACATCTTGTACAATCATCAATGAAAGTGGTAAATCACTTACTACCATGAATGTTATTAATGGGACATGGTCCCCAAACGTCACTATGAATTAGGAAGAAAGAAACATCACTCATTTCTCCTTAAGATTAAAATGAAGTATGTGTGTTTAGAAAGTTCACACACATTATATTTAAGAGTGTCCAATGACACCTTTCGAAATAAAGTAGGAAAAACTATTTTCAAAGTGCTAAAAGATGGATGACCTATCTGTTGGTGAAGTAACCGTATCTTAATGACATCTCCTAGAAGTTCTAGAGATTGATCCACTTTAACTATATATGTTTGGCTCAATCTTTTTAGCAGATAGAAACCTTCACACTCGTTAGTAACTCCAATTCTCTGATAGTGTACCTTATCAAATATGACATAGACATCCTCATCAAAAATATACAATAAGGTGAGTCTCTCTCTAACAAGTTTTTTAACTAAAATGAGGTTTGTAAATAACTTAGGGACATGAAAAACATTAGTAAGAACCTAAGAGGTTCAAGTCTAATGTCTCATATACCTATGATGGTTAGAAAAGATTCATCTGCAGTAGTCACTTTTTGTCACTAGGTCAGGGGTTGTATTTGGTAAAAAGGCTATAGAAGTTAGTCATGTGGTCTGTTGCTCCTGAGTCCACTATCTAATTATTAGAAATATCTCTAGAAGAGACTCTTAACTCCAAGAGAGTGGTGAAACATACCAAGCTGAATTGATGAGAACCATGTCACTGTCGACTTCAGTTCTTCTAACTCAATTCAAAGTCGCTTTATATCCTCAATCTGAGGAGAAGAGGAATATTGATTGATTTGGGAATTGAGAGCTAACTAGTCAGTAATCTTATTACCAAATGTGCTTGACTGTCATATTTTTCAGTACCAAAATCGTGGTTTACCATGTAGTTTATCACTTATGTCTCTAGCGTGACAAACTTTCTTGCAATATGTATACCACAGTGTGACAGGCTTTCTTCATAATTTCTCCTTGTCTAATCATAAATGCAGTATTGTCAATTTCACGCACTGACAATATTAATTTCTGATGACTTTCATCATTCAAAATGATTGAAATAGCTTCATCCAAATCTCATTTCCTTTCATGACTCAAAATCTGTTGTCTGACTTGATCAAAATCAGAATTAAGTACCAGTCAAAAATTTAAAAACTCTTCTTCATTTTATAAACTGTCATCGGACAACAATTTCTGCAGGTTTTTTTATATCAATACTGATATAATAATCGATTTCCTGCCATAAATTTTTTAATTCTCCTGCATATTCCATTACAGATTTATTCCCTTGAATTGTGGACATAGATTTTGTCTCAAGTTCATATAAATGTACGTCATTGTTTCTTTGTGAGAATTTCGTGTGAACTGTTTCCCACAAATCTTTGACTGTAGATAGAAAGAAAGGAATCATTGTTCCTCAAAACCAGGTTCTGATTAATGCATCTTCTTCTCTCCATCTATGAAATGCTCAAGACAATGGATCCGGTTTCCCTTCAATCAGATGATGTAACATTCCTCTTCCAGTCAAGACCTCTAGAAAACATTCTAACCATTGAATTAAATTGTATCCAGTCAATTTGAACTCTACAGGCATTGCACAAAGTTCTACAAGTAATCTTGGGCCACTTGGACCAAGATTAACTTCCCTTGTGGAGGTTGGATCCTCGACAGATAATGAAGAATTGTCTCCCACATTCTCCATTTAAAGATGTCCAAATTCCCAAAAATATCAAATTTCGTGAACAGATCTCAATAGAGACAAGAAAAACAGTGCAAGAACTGTAACAGAACCGTAGATCAGTGCGAAAGAAAAAAATGGAGCAATCACACCTGGATTCGCTCTGGAAGAGACACAGTGAAGGAGAAGATCCCTTGCCGGAAGTGTACAGTGCCAGTAACTCCAGCAGACGATGGAGAGAATGTCGACAAAGCAACGTCAACTGTGACGGTGCTGAAAACCAGACTTTAAAACCCTAGAATGGCTCTGGTACCATGTAGTCAAGATATCACACGGTCTGGAGCTCTAATAGGCGCCCAACACTCGTGGAAGAAGTAAAAAATTTATTGATCAAGAAAAAAAAATTACGAGGAGAGAGGGATCCAGTATTTATACCAGATCCTTAGAAGGTTCTAGGCATACTAATGTAATACAAAATGAAAGGTATAGGAGGACATATATGTAAACATGTAAGGTATACATGTTATTAAGTACATCTCGTCAACACAGCCTAAAGCTATCATTCTGTCCTCATTTCTTCCTCTAATTCAAAGTCAGAAGATCAAAGTGATTCCGGAGTTCCCAAGGTGGAACCCACCAGTGAGGTCTCTAGGCCCATCCGTTACCTGCTGTGCACCATGTGCCTGTGTCTCACGCCTCTGTCCAGCAAAATTCTACTATTTTTAACTTTCAATGGATGACATCTACCTTCACCTGTGAATCTGATTGGAGATCAATGCGCTAACTTAAATCAGCTAAGTAGAATGATTATAAGACAGTTTTTATCTGCTGGCAGTCCAGTCCAACGAAATAAAGGATCCAAAATCAAATTGACATGAGTACTTGACCATCTAAAATTTAAGGAGGCTTGATAGTACCAAACACTATCAGATCTGTATCAGTATCTGTACCAAACTCTATCAAATTTAAGAAAATTTGAGATAGTACCAAACTCTCTGTATCTGTAAACTCTAGAGGAAGTCGTGCCACTTAAGAGACAAAACCCCACTAATAAACAAAGTTATCAAGATAATCCAGATTCAAACGCCCACTTCAAATCTTCCCTGCACATGAAATGTGTTGTAGGAAGATTTTACATAGTTGGAGATCGGATCCCAGCTCAGCCAACTTTGATTCCAATTCAGCCTGGGATAGGTCATCTCATCCAAGGCCAATCCAATGCGTGGAAAACAATCTAGAAGGAAACCTAAAACAAAAAATAATAAATTGGACTATGGAAGTATCATTAGTCATTTATTGTAGTCATTTAACTCTACCTTACATCTTTCTCGGTGAAAGATGAAATGCCACACAGAACACCTGGCAATGCTTGTTCATCATCCCAATATTTTTTGACTGACAACAACACCAGTATGTCAAGGTGATTGACAACAAATGCTCAAAAATAAAACCTTGTCCGAAATAACAGGACAAGGTGAGGCTAAATCAATCTTCTGAACCAAACACTGATCATTGAAGTTGAAACTGTCGCCCTTGGAATGAACAGCTAACTCAAAGTTGAGCTTGCAATCATTTTGCTCCTAGTCACACGTTTCTTATGCATCCTTGTTCTCCTGTAGCTCTTTTAGCCTCAAGTTAGTTACCCCACCAATTACTTGACCATGGAGGTTTATCACAACACTTCAGTAAGCACTTCCCTATCAATTAGCTTGACAAAATCTATAGGAATCAATTAGCTCGCCATTCATTTGATAAAATCACTTGTATTACACAGGTTAACAACATGCACAAGAACTCCGCCCATTATGATATTGATCAATAACTTTAAGACTTAACTGTCGTGAATTTGGGAGTCAATGTTATCAATCTCCATCATGAACCAGCTTAACTGAAGAAGCCAGTCATTTCAACAATAGAAAAACCTCTTACAAAGGGCTTGCTCTATTACAGGCTTCATTCTTTGCATTTTTCATCATCAACAGCCAGTGACGGTTTAGATGATCTTTTCATCTTATCCTTCTTGATAATCCAGGTTTGTATCTTAGGATACAAAGCAACAGGTGACCACCTCTACTAGAATACCCTGATTCAGAGCAGAAAGTCTCACGTTGGTCTGACTTCATTTCACAATGTCTCAAACTGTTTCTGTTTAAACAAAAGACATCGACTTTGTTCATCATTATCACATTCAATACAGAATATATTTTCAAAGAAAAACACCTTTGGAAGAAAACTCCTTTGTCTCATCAATCTCTTACAACTCGCCACCATCATCACATTCAATACAGAAGATATTTTCAAAGCAACAGAAACTATTTATTCAACATTGCCTCCGTATAAGTTAATTACCAGCTTCCAATCGATGTTTGTAGATCAATAAGAAGATCGCACTTTTCTCTAAGATTTTTTCCCTTCAAATGACAACCGCACACAATAAATGGGAAAATATAAGTGAAATTGGTCCCGACATTCAAACATAAATAAATCTTCAAATGAACCTGGTAATGGGCAGCCCATTCAGCATCTTAGAGTCAAGGTTCAATACACAAAAGAGTGCATGTTGATAATCGGCCATCTAGTAACCATAATGTAATGCTTCTATTATCCATAACTTCACTTCCCAAATAGCAAATAAGTATTCCCTTCCATGTTTAGGACTGCACAGTTTTTTTCATCAGAATATTAGTGTCCTATATTTTCTGAACCAACGTGTCCTGTCTGCAAAAAAAATCTCCAATACTAACTAATTCAATAAGATATTCATCAAGTATATCCTTCGTCCAGCTGTTAAACAAGCAGCTCCTCCCATCAACTTCAGAGTAGCGTTCATCAACATCAGCCTATAAAGCCAATGTTGATTATATCATTGTATCAGGTCCATTCCTCAACCCCACTTGATCCTTGGCATTAGAGCTTCACTATAATCTTTCATGACTTGCCCTCACACATAATCTGATGTGCCCCAAAATCTACTAAAGGAAAGAAAAAACGGAGGCAAAAAGATCCATGGGCTAAAGAATGGGGCAATATGCATGTAGCACATGTAAGGAGAGAGCATTAATCAGCTGAGAGGTGAAATACAAGCAATTCATTTTCTATTAGGGCCAATCATGACAAGTAACTAGTCTGATTCTTTGAGAAAAAATTAGTAGACAAACCAAAGATAGAAAGAAGTTTATTCGAGGCAAAGATGCCATTCATTAGCATGCTCGAAATCTCTTTTCACAGAGAAAGTGTTCAATACAGAAGGGTTCCAATAACGATTTTCTGTAATTTCAATGCAATTAACAAGTGATACTAAAGAATCGATTCATAATATTATTATTTCCTTTCTACTTTGGCACAGTGTATTTAAATTAATACAAGTTAAAAATACGAAAAAAAAGGAACTAGTTAACCCCAGGCTCTAAGTTAAAAAGCCAAGATCCACCTATTCCATCAAAAAAGCACCATACCTATGTTGGATGAGCCAATCATCAGATGAAATATCTGCAGTCAGGAAAATATGATGCTGGTTAAAGAACATACCATCCTAAAAGAGTTTATTATGAAGCTCAGGTGCAAGAAATGTATCACGCATATATTTTTCACTTCAAGCCTCCCATATTCCATGGTTTTAGGATGCAAACAAAAATTGAGGGCTTTTACTATTTTAAGATAGATGCATCTATATCTGGCTCTCTATCTTCTTTAACCAAAGACAGAAATGTTTCAAATTTCATATTGCTTCAATGCCTTTCAACATTATACCACTATACCGCATGAGCTTCATTACCACCTAATTCCAAAACCCTATTGATTGTATTCCACAAGCTTAACATTCTTTAATACCGACCAATATCATTTTAAGCAACAAGAGTAGCTGAAATTTTAATCACTGATTTGAGCTATAGCTGATAGAAGCATTACGTGTTTTTTGAAATCTGTATGCCTTCTTCCACATATGTTCAAGGATTACGTTTAGGACAATGCTAAACCGCGTTAGACACAAGAATCACTGCCTCACAAATGTCACTGGTCATGCAAACAACATGACGTTTTATGACTCTAACTGGCAGTTTGCTATGTTAACTTTCATATGCATAATAGATGGTAACATTCCAATGGTTACATCACCCTCACTTTGAAAGTAGTTCATAATTCAAATCTTCAATCTCATTTTCTCTTTCCCGTTTGAGAAGTACAGTGAACCATACCTCAGTTGATCACCAATGTTCATCATAAAAGATCATCTTTAAATGCCGTTGTGTTACACATAACAGTGGAAGATCAACAAGCAAGAGGATTTGTGCATGTCATGTTGTCCAAAGTTGATAGAAGCATAGTTTTCCTATTTTCCACCAAACATGGCTTCTTTTCCATCAAATCCATGGAGTTCATCACATAAAAAGTTGACATGATTCAAGTGTTTATTAGATGCACTTTTCATAATTATAATTAAGTTCACCATGAAATAGAACCTGAGTATTAAGTCCCTACGCTTCTCTTGTTTCAAATATCAATCAACCAAAAAGTACTCAGTATAAATAAAATACTTTTCAGTGATCACTGCATAACAGTCACTCATATCACCACATAGGATATCCACATTGGCATTAAAACGGAATATCTATATAGTTATCTATAGATATATCTATACATGTACAAATTTACAAATGTATATCGGAATGTTATCAAAGAACTATGGTTTTCTACTATCAAACAATCATTATATAATATTTTAGACACTGACGTTGCTGATGGTAATCAGAATTTGACTGTAGATACTGTAGATATAAACGTCAGCTAACTGTAAAAGTATAATAGAAATTGTCACAGAACTAAATGCTAGCAAGAAAAGTATCCAATATTATTATACTCCCATTTAAATACAACATACTCCAACATATTATCATCCTTACCTTTTGGCGAGTCCAGCCAAGTTGTCGATTGCATAAATGTATTCTCAATAACTGAAATGAATGGATATGTTAGTGATCTTCGAAGAAAAGAAACTAAACAAATTTCTCAGTGCATCTAAAATATAAGCACCCAAGGGCAAAAGAAAGGATTTACCCTATTCTGAAATAGAAACAGGAGATGATAAAGAACAAAACATAAAACTATCTAGAAATAAGATCCAATAAATCATACAAATGTGAAAGTAGCCCTCTAAAATTTCATGTACATCATAATGCAGGTTTTCTTTTCATGCAATGAAATGCCACTAGTGCTAGGAGCATCATTTTAAAAAGTAATGTGCGTACGACTAATTCCTAGAAACAGAAAAAGTGAACAAATCTCTAGTAACTACATGTGACATAAATTGGGCATGAATATTGATTCGAATTACACAAATCTCCAGCATCAAATTTGTGCTACCATAGCCATAATTTTCCACAAGAGCATCAAAAAAAATTAATTGAATCAAAATGCATTAACGACTTCCATTTCCCAAGACCTATAAACATAGTGATTACAGGCCAAGCATTGCTCCTTGACATCAAGAAGGTTTTCTAAAGAGAAACCATTTTAATTAACCAGTCAGTCTGTGTATTTTCCTAGTAATGAATAAACACCAGCTAGCACTTCCAAGTAAATTCCCTGTTTATTTGAAAATATATCGCAAAGATTCCTTTCAATCATAGCAAATTTTACATCCAAAATTTAGATTTCACAGAAAACGACTGATTCATCCATCCTGAGATTAAAATTTTCATCGCATTCTTCTCAATTACAACTTGCATTGCTGTCTGAAAGATCTAAAAGTGATGAACAAATAACCTTGCTTCTTTCCCTGGCGCAGCCTTTTAATAGTGATCCATTCTACATGCTATGGTCCTCTCTTTTTTTCTGTTTGCCAACTGAAAGACATTTAATGACACTTGGTTGAGGTTCAAAACTTGGGCTTTTCACATTACCCACCTAAATGGAAGAGAGAAACAGCTGAGAACTCATTTGCAAGGCATAATCGATACTAGACAAAGATATAGAACGATTCTGCTCAATATTTCACTGTTCATAAGTTTAAATGGAATGCAACCCTGAGGTGGCTTGGTAAATCTGCTGTGGATATTTCTCTGCTGAGAACTTGCAATGCACTTCAGGCCACCGAATCCATCACTACACCTGAAATAAATCTAAGCAAAATTTCGCACCAAATCCCGATGCTCGTTACCAGGACAAGTTGAAGAGCTCAAGGAAAACAAGATCATGCCATAAACACCCCTACATATATGATGTGCTCATTAGGCCGTCGGATTGTCTACATTACTCCCACGAAGAAGCCTCGTTGGACTCGTCTTCTTAGAAATACACAGAAATCAGAATTTGATTGATGAGAAGATGCATCTCCATTAGGGCGAATTTTCGGATACAGACACCCACAAACGAGTAACCTCAAGAAATAGCGTCATCGTCACGAGGGTCAATGAAATAGTTCCACGAAAAGTGATATCACGCGTGATGCATTCGATCAGATCCGACAGAGCGTGCGCCAGAAGATTTACTCGACGCCAAAATTTCGCAGCCCATTCAGCGATCAGAATAATAGGGCCGAACATGGGGATAACCACCTGGGAAAAGGCAACAATGGCGATGGACCCGTCGACGAACGCGAGGATAGAGTCGACGGCGAAGGTAGCAGGTGACGGGCAGGTCGTATGCCTGCTCTCCAGAGCCGCAGCTGAAGCTCCTGTCGTCCCCGCCCGCAGCATGTCCTCGCCGCCTTGCCGATGTCGTCCGTCGACAGCAACGGAGACAGCTTATGAGGTGATAGATGATAGTACGCGGACCCACCGCTCTCTCTCTCTCTCTCTCTATTTCCGTAGCATCGGTCTATGTATCCGGGAAGTGAGACAAACGGAAGATAAACCCAAATAGGCACCTGTACTAAGGATAACATATACCTAGAACCCTAAAACATCTAAAATACATTTCGCACCACCTCACTGTCTACCTTATATTTCGTCCTAGCAACCCCCGAGCACGTCGTAGAAGCTCTGAGACCACAGTGCCACGTGTTATATACCAAAAAAATGCGCCGGGACTATTAAAGAACCAATTAGAAATATATCTGAGTATTAAATCGTAACATAAATATTAAATTATCAAAAAATGGGTTTTTGGTGCACAGCATGGCTGTGGCGAGCAATAAACCAGGCGCCTGTTTTCGCTGTATCTGAATTGATATCTTTTTTGGTGTTGCAATAGAAAACTATACTCTCCAAGATAAATATACCACGGTTGATGGGTTCATCAAATGAAGAATACTGAAGAAAATAATCATATATATATATATATATATATAATTTTACTTTTCGTCAAAGGAGACCAGTACAATAACGTGATACCCATCTGATGATAAAACTCTGTTTAATGACCTCTTTATATCCTGACCTAGCACTGATTTTAGAGAAATATTAGAGTCGTCATTTCTAATCGGAGCCCCATTCATTGGATGGGTTGACATATTTCCAAGGCCAGGTTGAGGAGGTCTTGGTTGATGATGATGGTATCATCACATTCATTATTATCATTAGCGAGAGGATAACTTATCTTAAGAGAGGAACCATTTCTCCATGATAGAGCAATTGATGGACTTCCCGTCATTTTTGTTATTCCAGATAGTGTGATTTATTATCTTGATCTTTTTCTGCATTTATCTCGTTTAATACATTTATCTAATGATTTCATGGGATAAATACGTTGTTTGTTCTCAACAATATAATAACCACTAAAATAAATTGGAAAAGGCAAATACTCCTCACCAATATAATCATGTCACACATTTCAAGTGCAACTCCTACGAATTATACTCATGATATTCCATTTTTGCAATGAGGAATTTATTATCGTCCTTTTTTTATTTTATTTGATGGCTTATTGGAGCAATGAACGAGATACATAACAGTGTTGTTTCCGTGATGTGTCATGTTACATATTTAGTTTCGGCATCTCCAGTATTACATATTTAGCTCATAGATTAGAGAAAATCTTCTCCTAAACTTGGTCCATCTTTCCATCAATTTATTCCCTTTTTGAGTAATGTTTATGTATGTAACCGCATCTAGATTACGACTTATGTTTCTAGTGGCCGGTGTCTATACTATTCATCCTCCCCTGTTGCCCCAGAGCTGCTCATTCGTATTTTTATACAATCACTACATGGTTCGGAGACCCTCTACCACTATCCGTTCGTTACTAGTTGTAGATGTTGAAGCGGAAGAACGCTCCTCCTTACCTTATAATGTTTTTGGGAACAGAGCTGAGGAGCAACTGGTTAGGGGCTGGTGCTTTTTGTATGAAGCTCATACAACTGGTCAAGGGATTATTCGTCTGTAAGCTCATGCAAAGTTTTGGTGTTATTCCATCTCAGGAATCGAGAAAGAGCAAGGCAGACGAGACAACAACGGTTCAAGAGTGAATGGTAGCAAGTTTATTCTCTCCAGACAAAAGCAAGTGCAGCTCATAGAAGTGGAATCAGGACACTTCTCCATTCCATAAGATTATGGCTTCTTCCAAGGACTCCCTCATTCTCTCTCATAGCCCCTTCACTCTTAGCCGAGCTCTTCTGCCACTAACAATAGCAATGGCAAAAGTGATGGCCTCCTTCAGGCTTGCAGAACCCTCCCTTCGAGCAGTGTGGTCTGCACTGTCCATCGCAGGTTATGTTATCAGCCTTGGTTCTGCACCTGAGGTTTACCGGGTTGGATTTGCAGCAGAGCAGAGGCTTTCCTGGCCAGTCCATCGGGGAAATAACAAGACGGGCTCTCGTGAGATGACTGAAAATTGCGGAGGAAGTAATACAAAAGACCAGAATAATTTCATGGAACGTGGTGCAACATACCTGCTGCTTCAGCGGCAGCTATCAAGCAAAGCACAAGGAAGATGACTCCGGCCCTTGACATGTTCGCCTCCCGTTCCCTCTCTCTCTCGATGCCGTATGGTGTTCACAGACCATACTCGAGAATTTATAGGCTGGATAGACGCGCTAACTCAGTCATCGCACCCCTTCGCTCTCCTCCTTTTGCATTCATCCCCACATTTACTCTCGTACCTCGTCAAATCGTAGCAATGGGTAGCTGTTAATCTTCCAGCCGAGACCTTCCCGTTTTGGCTCCTCCCTTCCCTTTTGGGATGACCCATTCTCAAATCACGCGAAATATTCCATATTTAACTGTTTCCATCTTTAGCCAATCGTGTATCCTATGAAGGGGGGGAGTGTACATAAAGATCAAGAATAATCAATAACATGAACTGGGTCATTTACTTGCCAGCCAGCCGGCCAGCCCCTAGAAAATCCTCGCCATTTAAAGGTAGATCATCCAGCCGACAAATGCATGGCAGCTACCCCACACTGGGTCTCCCTTGCTCTTCGGAGCTCATCCAGTTTAGTATCCATCTCACACAATGTCCAAGCATATGGTCACCCACATCCGACGAAGAGATCTACCGTAGTGATTGCCGGATCTGGACTCGTAAATTATGTAGAGCATGAGAAGATTACCCCCTAGATTCCATGCTTTTAAGCACATTTCTTTCATGATTTCCTGCCATATCTGGCACCCGTTGTTTCTCTATAAAGTTGTTATGACGCATATTGCCTTACTATATATAGTGGGATATGCGGACATTTTCATATAGTCGGTTGCAATGCCTAATGTTCACCAATCATTGAAGCCATGGCAGATAGGGTCCAAGGAGGTATGGCTGATTCAAGAATGGAAACGGAAAATAACTGTCTGATCTTTGTCACTTACAGCAAACAAAATCGAACAAATGGGATGCCTAAGCGTTGGCTTCTCAACCAACAGATAGTATGGACGTCCCCAAATATAGCATCTTTATTCGCAGCTAGATATTCATGTTCCTTTGGCGCATGCATGCTTCAGGTCCACAAAACAAAACCAATGGATAGAGTCGATTAGGCTATTTTGGCTCTATAACACTAACTGTAGAAGAAATCTTTGGACTGCATTGAAATCATGCGAAAAAAATTAAATAAAAAAAATCCTAGTCGATGTGATCCCAATCGTATCTAAAAGGCCCGACGAGGGGAGGGCCCGAACACTCACGCTTGAACGGATCCGATAAGATGACGTCATCCTGACTCGGTCGGAACCGCCTGCGCGGAGGACGTGGTAATATCGTAGTTTTCAGGTGAAACTTAGTCTGTATATAAATGGCACACGGGTCATTAGTTTTCTGGAGACGTCCTCTTCCTCTCAGTTTCTCTTCCGGTCCGCCGTGGGGTGCCGACTTCCTCTCTGCCACGCTCTATTTTACGGCGGGAATCTGCCGGGTTCGCCGTCTCAAGAATTCCGTTGCCGCGCATTTGCAGATTTCGCTATCCTCTCTCGATCGGCTGCTTCTTGGATCATCGGCTTTCCTGATTCGCCAAACCAGCCAGAACAATGGTATGTCTCCTGGGTGATTTCCTTTATTTTCAGTGCGCGTCCAACGCGATCCGAAACCCTTATCTCTGATTGAATGCTAATTTTTTGTCTGCCGATCTCAGTCTTCGCTTGCGGCTGCCAGAGCGGACAATTTTTACTATCCACCGGAATGGAGCCCCAAAAAGGTGAGGCGCGCGGTCCAATTCGATTTCTGTAGTGGGAGCTACATAGTAATGTTTTCATGCGAATGGGGATTTACTTTCTTTATTAGGCATTTTTATTGTCGGATGTCGACGCTGATTGATTAAGCATCCTCTTTTAATTGTTCTAGGGCTCCTTGAACAAGTTCCATGGGCAGCATGCTTTAAGGGAAAGAGCGAGGAAGCTCGATCAGGGTATTCTGATTATACGGTAATAACATCCCTTTCCTCAATATTTCTTGAATGATTAGGGTTTGCCCTAATCGTTTGTTTGTTTCAGAACATTTCTCGGATTTTCAGAACAATAGGTGCTTATTTATACTCTAAAATTGATGCCTAAGTGACGGATCATTCCCACGAATGTGATTTAGCTTAATTTTAAGGCAGTTTTTTGAGGGAGGTGGGTGTGTATCCTAATGTTATTATGTTATGTTGGTGTATTGATGCGTTGAGAAGGGTTTTTTCTCGAGAAAATAGCCCTAGTTCGTTGGCTTATGTTTTTGTGCCCCTCCTCAAATTTTGATGCTTAATCATGCTATGGTGCTGAACTTCACTGGATGTCCTTTACCTGTCTGGGTTATTTCTACGATACCGCAGCCTGTTGGTCCTTGAAAATAGATGGGCCCTACTCACACGTATTGTCGAGCCAGCATGCTTGAGTTGATCATTGTCCATTATCCCATAGCTCATTAAAGAACTATGCGTTTTGAAAATTTTGGGTTGCTTTAATTATGATGGGTTGTAAGCTTGTAACTCACCTCTATTAAAAAAAAATAGGGGAAGGGAAGCTTTTATTAATCCGCTCTCCTCTTCTCTCAGGCTCACTCACCTGTCTCTTTGCATCGTTCTTCTCTTTCATTGCTTTTTTTTCTTTTCTTTTCTGCTCACGAACCTAACAGTTACCTAGGAAAAACTATGTCCGAACCTGGCCCATAAATCAGCAGCCAAACAGCAAGCCCTCAGAGAAATGAAACCCAAATAGGGGTTTGGGTGCTTGACTTTCATTTCTCTGAGGGCTTGCTGTCTGGCTGTCTGCTTTTTGGAATGATTGGAATATCATTCTTAAGTGTATTAGAAAGGCTCACTATATAGGATCTCAGTATATCCTTTTCCATCATCCTCAGATTTTTTTTGTTCTTTTCTATTTCTTACATGTCCTATTGCACACAGTTGCAGAACGGCTGGTTCTTCAGTGACTCTCCCCGTGGGGATGTCCTAATATTGTATGCTTGAGTGTTTTCCTCTTTTTGATGCCTATTATAAAGCTCAAAGTATACATTTAGTTTTTGCTGTCATATAAATTCTTGAATAAAGAAATTAAATATGGTTTCTTCTTCACTTGGAAAATTATTGCGCTGTATAATGTACAAAAATACATTCATGAACACTCAGAGTCCTGTTAAAAAGAGACAGGCAACAAGATATATCGGGAGGAAATCTACGTGGAACTGATTGTATCTTAATTGGCTGATCCACGTGCAGATTCGAGATGCCCTTCAACATCTGGTGTGGCGGATGCAATTCGATGATTGGCAAGGGTGTCAGGTTCAATGCCGAGAAAAAGCAAGTGGGAAATTACTATTCTACAAAAGTACGTTTCTATCTTCATTTAAAGCATTCATTTTTGCATTATTTTTTATAATACAATATTCAAGATAGATTGCAGAAAAAATAAGATGCATTATGCAATTTCTCTTTTCATATTTACTGGGCATATTTCATTTAATCTAGAGTAATGGACTAGGGATAAATTGAAGATGGGGTAAATCTCAGATGGGACATAACCAGAGCTTCCACAGTACGAGGATAAAATAAAATAGAAGCCCCTAGTTCCGTCTGTTAAATCATTGACTGGTTAAGCAAACACAGGGCACGGATCTTCTTCTTTCTTTGGGTGAAGAATTTACTAATGTGCATGCCTGTTTGGGACTGATAGTTGCTGTGATTATTTCCTTGTGTCAGATATGGAGCTTCACCATGAAATCTGCTTGCTGCAAACACGAAATCGTCATCCAGACGGATCCAAAGAACTGCGAATACGTGATAATCAGCGGCGCTCAGCGCAAAACAGAGGACTTTGACGTTGAGGATGCTGAAACGCTGGCTCTACCCGCAGACGAAGGTACTCCCATCAAGTTCAAGTTTAAATTCAAGTCCTGTGTCAGACTCACCGCCTCCGTTCCCCAGCTCGTGTGTCTAGCTATTGGTTGAAGGCCATTATTTCTCGCACATTTTCTCTTCTGAAACTGTGGTCACTTCTACATTGCAGACAAGGGCAAGCTTTCAGATCCATTCTACCGTCTTGAACACCAGGAAGAAGACCTGCAGAAGAAGAAGGAGGCCGAACCCGTCCTAGTCCGCCTTCAGAGAATCTCCGACAGCCGGCATGCGGACGACTACAGCCTCAACAGAGCCCTCAGGACTCATCTTAGGGTATGTAGGAAGGACAGCCGATGCTTTCTCAAAGTGGTGGTAATTGATCTCTCACCTCTTCCTCCTCTCTCAGGACCAGAAGAAGAGAGTCGCTCAAGAGGAGGATGCTTCGACGAGGTTGGGGCTCGGAATACGGCTGCTCCCCAGATCAGAGGAAGACTCCTCGGCCTCCGCCAGGGTGAAGTTCCCGCCCAAATTTGAAAGGAATCGGAAGGACAGACGGGCCGCGATCCGATCCTCGTCTATATTCGGGGCCCCCTCTAAGTCCTCCCCCGGCGGCGACCAGAGACCGGTGCTGGAGGCGAAGCGGCGGCGGATCCAGGCGGCGGCGGCCTCGGCGTTGTTGGCGGGCTCGGTCAGGCCATCCCCCTCTTCTTCCAGCTCTCGTCTGCAGAACGCGAGGCCTCTCAGCATCAGGAGAAGATGAATAAGAATAGCCCCTGGGCTGTGGTTGCAGAAAGGCTGGGCTTAGATGCTCCTACTGCTGCTGCTGTTCAGTGAGTGTGCAATGTTGTAATTCCTTGTTATTATGTTGATGAATGGGTGGGCCCGACCCACACTTGCCTCCCGGATCCTTGCAAGCTCCGGCTCGTTTCTGATACGAGCCGAGTCGGAACGAGTGAGATTCCTACTCTTTTGTTTTTTCGGGTACAGAATGGGCCGGGCCCGATTGGGTGGTATTAGGTCTTAAGCCCATTGGGCGCGAGCGGTCCAACATTCCTGGGGCGAGTGAAGTGACGGGACCGGATCGGGCCGGTCCGGGCCGGTTCGAAGGGGAGGATTTTTCCCGCCACATAGCACGTCTCGAGGCTGATTTCTCTCTCTCTCTCTCTCTCTCTCTCTCTCGCTCTTCCCGGGTTGTATAAGCGAGCGAGACGAGACCATCAGTCTCTCTCGTTCGCCATTTCTCTCCCTTCCCGGTCTCTGCGCGCGCGTTCGCTCCGCCGTTCCAACCTGTGCCAGTCGGTCATGATGGAGGAGGAAGACCGCCTGGCGGAGCAGAGCAAGCTGCCGGAGCTCAAACTAGGTAAACTCCCCTCACCGCGGTACCGACCCTCGTACTGGTTTTATCTTTGGTTTGACGGATGGTGTGTTACGTTGCAGACGCGAGGCAAGCTCAGGGATTCATCTCCTTCTTTAAGACCATGCCTCATGTATGCACCTTCTGTCGTCTACCATTTAAATCTTATTTGGTCAGTTTCGATCACATTGGACGCCCGGGGGGTGTGTTTTTTCTGCCGTGGGCGATTATGACGTTTTAATTTTTCCTGTTCTTTCCTCGTGATTGTTTCACCTTGCTGCCTGTAGGATCCAAGGGCTGTGCGCTTCTTCGACCGCCGGGTGAGTGCGGCGGTTCCTGCCTTTTTCGACCCTTGTGCATGCTTCTTCTCAGTAGGGATCGCCTTTTTGGTCTCTGTTTCTTGTTTCCGTTGCTCTGAGGATAGAGTGACGCCCTTATGAAAAAAAATCCGCGATAAAGTTCGACTGTCATTCTTACCATACATAATTTATTTGCTCTTTTCAGTTATTTTCATTTTGTGGGTATTTCCATACAAGATTGACTTTGTTTCACTGTGATTCCTTTGGTTTTAGGGAGCTTCCTTCTCAGTCTTTACAGTTCGGTTATGAGACGTGTAGTTGATTCATCCCTATGTAAGCGTTCCTCGCGGATAGGGATTATAAAGTTTTTTTCTGGACAAAAGATGTGCCTTCAATGCGAATTAATCGGCATTAAGAATCGTGAAGCGGATTATGAATTGGAGTATTCGATTGGCATGTGCATGTCACATGAATGTTGTTTACGTGCAGACATGTTATGGATCCGACAATGCAGTCCGTGGTGAAAAATCGTGTCAAACAATCAACTTTTCTTATCACCCTAAACATGAATAACGTGTAAGAAGAGAGGTGGTTAATTGAACCCCTGGAATTGTGACAGTTCAGAGGAAAGCATGAAAGAACCAAGTTTGGCATTTAGCTACGAAACTTGCTTTCCACGAAATAGTAGACCTGTAAAAGTATTTCAGAGAATACCATCCATTTGATTGTAAGAGGCCTTTTTGTTTTTACGAGAAAGGGCTTTGCTGCTCCAGCCCTGAGTGGGTGTCGCCCCCCTTGATACTGTTTACCACTGTGGTCGGTGGAAGAGGCCTGCCTCCTCGTGAGGCTATCTGTCACCAAGGCCTGAATGCCGCAAGTGGGCACCTCAATGTGCCCCTGCCGCCCTGCCTGGCTCTTAGTTTAGTGCTCATTCCTTGTTATTTCTATTCAACTTGTCACACTTGTGAAATCCATAATTTGATGATCTCTCTCAGCTATTTTTGTTATTTCCTTTTGATTGGCATCAGTATTGTCATGTCGTTCCCATGTTCTGTCCTTCAAGATGATGTCATTACCATTCATGGCATAAATCGTTTTCTTTCGGATTCTTAACAACTGATTGAAAGTGTTATGTTCTCTTTTTACCTTTTGAGCAACATTATGAGCTCTACACTGTATCATTGGAATTACTTCATGAACTTTATCGTTTATTTCCCTTATTAGCACATCGACCGTGGTTGTAAACAATATCTTGTTAATTCTTAATGGTGAGATTTTGAGAAAAGTGATATCAAACGGTTTCCGTACCAAAGCTTTCAGCTTGGGACGATTCAATCCTTCAAAAGTCTGTGAGAAGTTCATGAATTTCATTTCTTTATTCATCTTTCGATTTGCGTGTCATGGTTGTAAACAACGGCATGTAAATCCTTAAGTTATGAGATATTATGGTAAGTTTTAACGATTTTTTTTTTATTTTGACCTGGGATATCAGTTTGAGATCTGTTCAGTTACCACCCCATTCCAGTTTGAAAGATGAACACAGGACTGGCTTCCGCGGATGTCTTAAGGAACTATGTGAGGACAAGATCAGGCAGGTTCGTGAGGTTGTCTAGGGGACTAGGGATCCGATGTCCCTCTTATGGGGAGGAAAGGATTGAAGATGCAGAAGAAAAACCATACAGAAGAAAGGAAACTTATTCACCGAAACTTTAATTGTAAATTGTTCATTTTTTATCATGAGCAAAACAGCTCTTATCCGCTGATTTGGGGAGCTCCGTTCTTTTTTTGATTTTTGGTGCGGTTCTTGATACCCAATCTAATTCTGGGTTATGGATGCATTTTTGCTTAAAAAAAATTCCGTGACATTTGTGATCACTCATTAGGTTTTTGTTGTGCAGACCTTTTTCGTTAACCATTTACAATGACACTGATATTGTCCATTTTTAAGAAAACACTATCAATACATGCAAACCAACTTGACTGGTATCTTTTTCTGAGTATTCGGTAACTGCTTATGATAATTCATTCTCAATTTAAAATATCAAAAGGTTAAAATTTGATCTTCTCTGGATTTTTCCACCTTTGAGGAAATTATGTATCAATTGCAATAGTTAGGGTTTTTTTCTGGTGAATAGTTTGGATCTTTAGAGTGCTGCTTTCATTTTACTTATGCCTTTTTGCATTGTTATTCATATGGTTGAATCAGGATTACTATACTGTCCACGGTGATAATGCGATGTTCATTGCCAAGGCATATTATCATACTTCTAGTGCATTACGACAGCTTGGCAATGATTCGGATGGCATTTCAAGTGTTAGTGTAAGTAAGAACATGTTTGAAACAATTGCACGTGATCTCCTCTTGGAGAGAAATGATCATACGTTGGAGATCTACGAAGGCAGCGGGTCAAATTGGAGATTGACTAAAGCTGGAACTCCAGGCAAGCTTGGAAACTTTGAAGATATTTTGTTTGCCAATAATGACATGCAAGATTCCCCTGTGGTAGTGGCTTTATGCATCAACTTTCATGAAAATCAGTACACTGTGGGATTAAGTTACATAGATGTGTCTAAATGGGTAATTGGTATAACAGAATTTTTTGATGATAGCCAGTTCACGAATGTTGAGTCTGTTTTGGTGGCTCTTGGTTGCAAGGAGTGCCTTGTGCCCATGGAGGGTGGTAAATCTGCAGCGGCGAAGACCCTGCATGATGCATTGACTAGGTGCAGTGTTCTCTTGACTGAAAGAAAGAAGTCTGAGTTCAAATCACGGGATTTGGTGCAGGACCTTGGGAGGATAGTTAGAGGCTCTATTGAACCAGTTAAGGATTTGCTCTCTGAGTTCCACTGTGCACTGGGGGCTCTTGGGGCATTGCTTTCATATGTCGACATTCTTGGAGATGATGGTAATTATGGGAATTATACCTTACAAAAATACAGTCTGGACAAATATATGAGATTGGACTCTACTGCTATCAAGGCATTGAATGTTTTTGAGAGTAAGACAGATGCAAACAAAAATTTTAGCTTGTTTGGCCTCATGAATAGAACCTGCACAGCGGGCATGGGTAAAAGGTTGTTAAATAGATGGCTCAAACAACCGTTGCTTGATGTAGATGCGATAAATTGCAGACTGGATTTGGTTCAAGCATTTGTTGAGGATGCTGCACTGCGGCAGGGATTGAGGCAACACCTAAAAAGAATCTCAGACATTGAGCGGTTGACTAATAATTTGAAGAAGAAGTCTGCTAATTTGCAGCCTATCATAAAGCTTTATCAGGTAATTCTGGATATATTTTATCATCTCTTTTGGTATTGTTATTTTCCATGGATATGTTTTAGCTTAAATAACACCATTTTCTTTGTTTGTTATGCTTTGCTGTATGTATTGGTTAACTAATGCTACTTTTTTATTCAGTCAAGCATAAGACTTCCACATATCAAAGAAGTCTTGCTGCAATATGAAGGGCGTTTTTCATTATTAATCAAAGAGAGGTATTTGGATCCCTTGGAATTTTGGATGGATGAGGATCACTTGAGTAAGTTTATTGCCCTTGTTGAAGCTTCTGTTGATCTAGACCAACTTGAGAATGGAGAGTTCATGATATCATCTGGTTATGACCAAAATTTATCAGTCCTAAAAGAAGAGCTTGATAAAGTTGAAAAGCAAATACAAAATTTGCACAGGCAGACTGCAGATAATCTTGATCTAACCGTTGACAAAGCGCTGAAATTGGAAAAAGGTACACAATTTGGACATGTTTTCAGAATTACGAAGAAAGAGGAGCAAAAAGTTCGAAGAAAGCTCAATGACAACTTTACAATCCTGGAAACTCGGAAAGATGGAGTGAAATTTACAAACTCAAAACTTAAGAAGTTGGGAGATCATTATCAGCGGGTACTTGATGACTACTCAAAATGTCAGAAGGAGCTTGTTGTTCGTGTTGTTGAAACATCAGCCACTTTTTCCGAGGTTTCATAACCTTTGTGTTCCCTTGACATATTTTTTCTTTCAAGTTATGGATTTTTGGGGGTCTTTATCAGCTGTATTGATACAGGTATTTGAAACTTTTGGTGGCATCCTTTCTGAATTGGATGTCCTTCTAAGTTTTGCTGATCTGGCCGTTAGTTGTCCAACGCCTTATGCCAGGCCTGCTATCACATCCTCGGTAAAGTTGGCAAAATATTCATAGTCGTCGTTTCAACTTGTATCTTTTCTGATATTTTCAAACTTTACTCTCCTGGTAACATTATGGTTTACCAGGATGAAGGGGACATTATTCTTGAAGGGAGCAGGCACCCGTGTGTGGAGGCTCAAGATGGTGTAAATTTCATACCTAATGATTGTATCCTTGTGAGTATTCTAGCGGAAGTGGTTAGCGGTTCAGATCAAGCAGTCTAAATGGATTAACTTGTTATATGTTGTATAGGAAGTGCTGATTAACTTGTTGTGTGGTTTTTTTCCCCATTAATTAGGCCCGCGGAAAGAGTTGGTTCCAGATAATAACCGGACCTAATATGGGTGGGAAATCTACATTTATTCGGCAGGTTTGTCTAGTTTATGAATTCTATTTAGATGTAGTTAATTCCTGATTGTTGATGTATAGGATTGGGATTAGATTAAAGCATGTCCACAGAAAGAAATCTTAACTGGAAGGTTATATATGAATGGGAGAGCAATCAATGGTATTCTCTTGATTATTTTCGTGTTAAGAAATTTGACTGTTGTTTTGTCTTAATTGTAACTTTGTCCATAGTTTCCATTTTAGTCAGCAATAAATTATTATTCTGCTGTCGTTTATTGTATTATTTTGTCCCCATTGTATCGTGTTTCTATTCTCTCCATATGTTGTAGCATGAGTGAACCTCAACTGATTATCGGGTTATTTCTTTTATCTGTGGATTGTTTTTTATGATCTCAGTTATTTTCTCTGGAAACACACCCCCAGGCTCAAGACATGTTTTTGCTTCACATTTGCAACATTTTTTCATCAATGCACAAGTTTGCCTTCATCCTTGGATAACTTGCTAAAATACAGTCATTCTTATTTCATTAATGTTTGACTGAGTTCTCTCCAATGGGAGAACCATAAAGAGTATGTTGCTATTTCTTGAATTTCTGCCTCGGAGTCGCAATTATTAACCAATCAAGGCATCTTGTAGTACCTTGGTGTACCCTAAGGATTATACCAGTGCACTGCAAAATGATCTCTAAGTTTAAATAAACTCTAAAAAATATGGGAATATTATGGTATTAATACACAAATGAAAGGCGCTATAATCAGATTACAAAGTTTACCAATCACATAGAATCACATTATTGGCAATTTTTTGAAGCCTCTTGTAAATGGAAGGCAATGGAAGCCATCAGAATCATCTGTGGTCTACTGCCTGGCGTTTTTGGCTGCAAATAATAATGGCATAAGTGCTGCGATTGATTTTTTGGCGCACAGTATTATATGCTTCAATAGTTTAAGGTTACTGAATTGGTTATCATGTTAAGACTAGAAAAGTGATTCTACTTCTCCAATTCGAAATCAAGTCAATTTAAATTTATGTAAAGTAGTACCGGAGTATGATTTTTTTTTCCTTTTTTGATTTCCGATTTATTCATTCAAATGTCTGTTGTTATCAGGTTGGCGTAAATGTTCTTATGGCACAGGTTGGTTCTTTTATTCCATGTGATAAAGCAAGCATTAGCATCCGTGACTGTATTTTTGCTCGTGTGGGAGCTGGTGACTGCCAGGTTTTTGTTTTACTATATGAAGAATACGAATAAAGCAATGATTTTTTGTAGATCCTTTGATTATCCTATGACCCTATTATATCTAGAAAACATATGTTGTGCTGAAAACACGTTATATTTCTTGCATATGGTAAGGTATTTACCTTTTACTTATTTTTTGTTTGTAACAATGTTGAATTTTCCATTTTGAGCGTAACTCTTTAGCTCTATTTGTGTTTGAAGGCATCCGAATTAGCTTTTTTCAATTCTGATTTCAGAAGTGGTGATTACATACTGATTTTTGTCTATGTGGGATTAAATACTTATAGCTTTTAACCTTAAAATTCACTCCGTTGTAGAGATGTCCCTTTCCTTTGTAATTTTTTGATGCAGCTATCAGCTATTCAGTCACTATAAATTGGAGTGGTTTCCCTTTAACATTGCTCATGCATCAAAGTTCAAATCAGGAGAGCTTTATTCTGTCATCATACTTCACGTTTTGTTTCTCTTTAAAGGCGTATCCTGGAATTCCTTTCCTAGTTACGTACTTTTAACTGCTAAGTACTTATTGAGTTAATATATAGCTATTGTACTAAATTTAACCGCTAATGAGTTAAATTCCTTTGTCTTCAATAGTTTTTCATTCATTCAATACTCAATTTTAAATTTGTACGAAAGAATTCTATTTGGTTCATGTCATACTGTCTTGGTAATTGTAGATCGAATCGATTATCCATTGCTTCAACCCAGCTCTGTTTTATTCAGTGCTGGTTGTGACCCTCATTTTTAGAGGGGAAAGCTTATGTGCTTATTTTGGATTGCTTACCATGTTGATACCCCTCCAGGATTCAGTTTCTACTGTTAGTGGGGTATAGATCTCCTTTGGAAAAAAAGTAGCTTATCCCTGAACCTCCCATTCCATAAAGGTCTGATTTGCAAATTATGGATAAAATTTAAACAGCAATCGTGAATCTTTTTTTTCTCCTTGACCTCGTGTCAAGAGAACATCTTGATTACATCCGTGTAGATATGGAATAGGAAAGGGGCAAGACCACCAGAAAGTTTTAGGTGTTTCTTAAAGTGGCATTGGTCAATATGTATTATTTCCTGTGGTTTTGTTGTAGAAGTCGTTCTGAGGTAACATTTTGATCGAAATATCTATCAAGATAAATCATGATGAATAGATTGGCATAATATGTTTTGGGGCTCAGTCCAAAGATTCAAGGTCATGCTTTGACTTCGCTGTGTAATATACAGGGAAGCATGAAAATAGCTCCCTCGTCCACTTCCATAGACGCACTGTATAGCTGATTTTCTGAATCCATCAGTAGAAACTGTGGTTCTAGAACGTCATATTCATTCTTACCGGTTTACTATGCTCCCCGAATGAACACGTAGCTAGGCACCACAATCTTTGCTGATAAAAGTGAAATGGGCAATGAGTTGACAAGCTTCGTATGAGGTTTAATGTCTGAGGTCTCTACTCCAAAAAATCTATGGTCACTGTCATTTTCTTTGTTGTTGACGTTCCTTTGACAAATTTTACGCGCAGAAGTATTTTAGAATGCCTGGAAAATCAACATCATAATTTATACAAAATATGTTTCAATTGCATATACTTTGAACGCTGTCAATGACTTATTATTTCGTTTTTTTCTTCATAGGAAAATAACTTTGTGAAGCTTTTTCTTCATTTTCTTGGCTCTTTATTTGCAGCTCCGTGGGGTTTCTACATTCATGCAAGAAATGCTTGAAACTGCATCTATCTTAAAAGGCGCCTCACAAAACTCTCTCATAATTATTGATGAGTTGGGTCGTGGCACATCTACCTATGATGGATTTGGTCTGTTCTCTATTTGATTTTTCCTTTGGTCATTAATAAATGTGCAAACAATTTGGTTGGATGTCACGTAGACATTATTTTTTTTTCTTTTTTCCTCTTCAAATGTTTCACCTTATTCTATTATTAATTTCTAAAATTTGAGGGAGAAATGGCTTTAGTTTGCAGTTTTTATTTAACTGAATTCAGTGTCTTTTATACTACACTTAATTATCGTTCTGCATTTGTTGAGTTGGATTCTACTGCAGCTGGCATTGATTCGAGCTCTTATTATTCATGTTGATTTGCTTCATTCATTCCTCAGGATTAGCTTGGGCTATCTGTGAGCACATAGTGGGGTTGATCAAAGCTCCAACGCTATTTGCAACCCATTTTCACGAACTCACTGCGTTGGCTCATGGAGATATTAATTTCCATCCTGAATGTAGACCAATCCACGGAGTAGCGAACTATCATGTAGGAGCACACATTGACCCATCGAGTCGCAAATTGACCATGCTTTATAAGGTTTGTCCTTTTGTTTCAACTTGTCAACCGGCTTCCTTTTATTTTCTTGTATATCTTTTTTCCCAATTCAAACTATAAAGTGTCAATTAATGTACGTAACTAACTGTACAACTTATGGGTGATAATGCTTTCTCTAGTCTGCTTTCCTTATGCTTCCGAACTAGGGTGATCTTTTTCTTTTCTAGCTGAGTTTCTTTGCGAAAAAAGGTGTATATTGAGGAAACGGAATGAGGTCCAAATTCAGTAAAACAATAAGCAAGTGGCAAGTTAAAAGAAGGAAAGGGGTTGAAGGTTATGCATTATGGTTGAAAAAAACTATTTGGGGGAGATTCCTTCAGATTTTATTGCAGATAGAGCTTGTCTAAGGTGCAATTGGAGTATATAGGTGGTATGCGGATGAAATTCATGATGAGAAAGTATGTGAAACAATATAAATCGTTTCTCACCAAGTATATAGGCGGTCTTTCATTTTTTATGATTCTTGCTTGTAAGTGATATAATCAAAATCCAACATGGTGAAGAGAAAATCAATTTCAAACATGTTTCAGCTGTGTCCATGAAAACGCTAATTCTGAATATGGTGTTCAGATCGCAGACAAGAGAAATGACATTCATTGCTAAAGTATAGGTAGTCCGAGAACATCAAAATGTCTAGACTACAATGTCTATGGTATCGCATCATCACATTGGAATTGAGTGCTCTGTCACTGTTCAGACCTCGACTGGGTCCGAGCTTCCCAAACTCTATGCTGTTGGGGAACTCCGCATGGGTCTGAGTACTTGTGGTATGATATTCCCCGCCAAGCACTTCAGTCAGTCTCGAGATGAGAAGTTTAATGTTAGACGTGGGTTGGTCTTCTTCCTTCCATTGTGCGTGACACGACTTAAGGCTTGCGGCTCAACGTTGTAGCGGATGCATAAGGTAGAAGGGGCATGCTACTGCAGCCTGTGGAAAGAGAGCTCTATCCCATGCCTTTCATCTCCATTTGTGGGTCGATTAGAGTGGGGGATTAGTGGAGAGATTCCTCTCATTTATGTTTGCAACATAAATAAGGGGAGGGGAAAGAATGGAACAGTTTCTTTGCTTTTGACGTACATCCTTCCAATTACTGTTTGAAAGGAACATAAAGAACGGAAATCAAAGGAAATAACTTTCTGCTGCCTTGTTTCCCGCTGCTGTTGCACATCATGCCCTGACCCACCCACCCTGGTCTGTGAACGTGCTTTAATCTGGCAAAATGGCTTAACAATGGGACATAGAGACTTGCGGTAGTCTATAAGGTTTAGAATCCATTCGCCGTTAAGACTTCTCGTCGTAATAATTCTAGTTTAACAAAAGGAGAAAGTTTTTGAAATTATGAACGGCAGAGGAATTTTTGCACAGTTATGAAAATATGTATTTTGAAGATCTTGTCGGCACAAAAGGGCTTTGGAAAATCGCCTTGGTTTGAGTTAGGCCTCCCACTTGTGGCATCCTGATATCCTTCCACTAGAATACGATGGAGATCTTGTACACTGATTGGTAAAATGACTATCTCGAGACATGGGAAACTGTGCAAGTTTATAGAGAATTATATTCCTGATATAACTGATAATTTCTCGGTGATCTAGGGTTTATCTGCTGTGAAAAGTTTCTTGATAGGCTACATTTTTTTTACACAATGGAATACTAGTATTTATTTTTAACCATCAGCTTTGTTTTATATTTCGTTTGTTGCTATGTGATTCAGGTTGAACCGGGAGCTTGTGATCAAAGTTTTGGGATTCACGTGGCAGAATTTGCGAACTTTCCCCCCAGCGTTGTTGCCCTAGCTAGAGCAAAAGCTGAAGAACTGGAGGATTTTTCTTCAACTAAGAATATTTCAGATGTTGACATGGAAGAGGTCGGTGAAAATAAAAGAACCGTTGCATTTTCATTGTCCATATCTTGTCACTTTTATTAGATTTCATTCGGTATAATCGTCTTGTGAATGATTTTCACAATAAAAAGAAACTTTCATCAAATGAAAGCTAGGTAAATGGCGTCCATCAGGTCGTCATCTATTTAAGAACCAGTGATGGACTGGTGAGATCATGTTATCTAATTAAGTCAATGGGTTCTCCTACGAAAAACCTGGCATCATATTATTATCGCAAGAGATGTTCACGTTTCCAATATCTAGGTCATGCGTAACTAAAACAAGGGTGCATGTTTTTTGGATGCCTCTCAATCAAACCACAGTGGAGACGTTTTTGCCTTTTTCTACGTTCTTGGGAATATCAATGCCAATCCCCAGGTTTATTTTGCCACTCTTCTCTTCTTTCTGGACTGGGTCCTGTTAATGATTTTATACGGTTTGACCGCAAGCACAAAGTCTCCTTGCATGCTTAACCAACATCATGTGAGCTTGTGAAGGACCAATGTTGCGTGATGACCTTCATTGAAGCTTTCCCACCTTGCTAATTAGCGTATCTACACTTCTACACAGTCTCCCACAAGGTTTCCATTACAAGCGTAAAGAGACTGAATATTCCGTTTTTTTGATGTCCCATTGAACTAGCATATGTTGATCTTTGAATTCAATATTCCCATCTTTCCGAGGACAAATCAAGTACCTTATTGAGCCTTGTCTCCATCTCGTCATATATAGAAGCATAACCCTATTTTCTTCTTGCTCGCGATCGTCTCCACAGCACTTTCTTAGAACCAGCGCCTTTGGGCACAGGTAACTGGAAATCTCCATTCTTAGTTAATCTAAATAGCTCATCTGCTTGAAAGACAACCTGAGCTCCACACTGCCTCTGCTCTGATGTGAATCCATGAACATGGATGAAGACTGGTTATAAATTGTTACTCAGTGTATGCAAAACAGAGAGATCTTTAGCATCGTCTACTCTGGCTACTCCGGTCGCTCTGTATGAAAGGACTTAACCGTCTTCCGTAGTTGCCCCTCGCCTCTCTCCTTGGATCAGAGCATTGGGCTCCATTTCATCCTTTCTGTTCATCTCTTCTAACTGATTGTGAGGCTCCCATTACTGCTAAAAAGAGTCTCACCGTACTTTGGTCGCCATGGATACAAGTTGCTGTTTATTTGCCTGGATGGATGGATGGATGGATCGATGATCTCCTCTGGGACGGTCTTTTTTGCCAGGTGGGCTCCAGGCGCAAGAGGCGTTGGGGCGAGGACGACATGGCCAAAGGTGCAAAAAAAGCTCATCGATTCCTGAAAGAATTCACGAGCTTGCCGCTCGACCGGATGGACCCCGTTCAGGCCTCGCAGGAGATCAGCAAGCTGAGATCCCAGCTGGAGAGAGACGCCATCGAGAATCCATGGCTCCAGCAGTTCTTCAGCAGATCCTGAAACCGGGCAGGCAGCCAGCCAGCCATGGATGCTCTGCTCGCAATTTTGATTCTTTTGTGGTAGGCAGATTTCATCCTGCTGAGCCGAGCCCCCTTTTTTTTTGGGTGCCGCCAAAATTCAATCGGCGATGTAACATATCCCATATGGAGAACCATTAGTTAGCCCGCAGATGGTCCACTCTGTAGCATATCCCATTGAAAATGTGCTTCACCAGACGCCATCTAGTGCACGAGCCAGTAAGAATTTCAAAGAATCAGGCTTATGATATACGCCATCGATGCTGCACTAAGCTGCTGGTGCCCTCTCTCTCTCTCTCTCTCTCATTGATGATTCTACGACTAGTCTGGCAAGTCTCAGCACCTAAAACCAATGGAAAGCCAGGCAACCTGTACAGCAGCTGGTGGGTTCATCTTTTTCATCACAAAAGCCGTGCCAAGAGGAGCAGCGTTCGGTTCCATTCTGTCTGATATCTTACACTTTTAGAAGACAAGCAATGTGAATATACACAGAACAAGCGAGATAGAGGCAAAGACCAGGCCTACGCGACGGGCAGGGAAGCGCCGGCGGCGCCGGCGAGGCTCTGGTGGAGCGTGACGGGCTTTATCTGCAGCGCCGGTTTGATGGCGAGCAGGCCCATGAAGCAGTCCATGGGAAGCCGCACCCCCCACACGTTGATCGACTCTAGCTTGCGGCACTTGCTCACCACCATGAGCAGCCCCGCTTCCGTCACGTGCCGGCAGCACCACAGAACAATCGCCTGTTCCAGGGCCATCACTCACTCTGTCACCACCACCAGGGAAAACTGCCGGAACAGATGGAAAAAAAAAAACCTTCTTTTTTCTTTTTTTAACGAAGTCTGAAGGTATGATCCCTTGCATCATATGTACCTTCAAATATATATATATATATATATATATATATATGATCGCGGATAAACAGCAAGAAACCGGGGAATGTACCTTCAAAAGCGGGCAATTGGCCGCAATCGCCGACAATGATTCATCGGTGATGAATGTCCCGCCCACGTTCAGGTGCCGCAAAGATCTCGCTTTCATCACCTGTAAAACCGGACATAATCTACCATATTCAGACAAAAAGGACCAGAACATAAATGCTGCCTTTTAATCATAACTATAATAATAATAAGACTGCCCAGCCCCTCTAAACAAGGATTGAAGAGCATACGGCGACGAGGGTCATTCAAAAAAACTGTTATCCATCGGTTTTAATGGCGGCGGGAGATACCCACCAGTTGGATCACGCCCTGATCCGTGATCCCTGACATACCCCAGAGGGATATGGATGTCAAGTTCCCAACACACTTCGCCAATGATATCTTGTAAAGCCCGTTGTCCGTGATCTGGCAGCCCCAACAACTGCGGGAACTGGGAAATTATAAAAAAAAAGGAAAGGAAAAGGTGCGAGCAAATCAGTGCACATGATGGAGTACTCAACCCGAAGAAATGGGGAAGAAATCTTGAGATACACAAGAAAACAAATGTAAAACGGGGCAAGATTCTATAGGGAAAATAAAAAGAAGGAAAATTCTTGGGTAGAGAGATAGATAAACTGGTGATATTTGCTTCTTTCAGCGTATATTGGATGATTGATATTTGGTTGATTTCATTTCCTTTCAAAACTCAGAGCAGCGGGGATATAGAAATAAAATAAAATAAAAACTAATGATCACAGCATCCAGCTGCCTCTTTTCCATTGGACCATGAGCTTTCGAAGGAGCTGCAACAGGGAATGCGGGTAGGAAGAGGGTTTTCTGAGGATCACTCGAGGTATCGCGAGCATAGAGGCATAGATGCTCTCAAAGAATGGCGCAAACCAGTCGTTCCATCTACGCTCTGTTCTTAATTTTCCACTAATTGGGACAGAAAATTGTGATCAAAATAAGTTTCGATCAAAATTCCGCGCCAGATGAACAGAGCACCAGAAACAAATCGATCGCGGAGGAGAACGAGAAGGGCGGAGAAGTACATATCCAGTTCGCGGAGGCTGTAAGCGCAGCTGACGAGGCGGGCGGTGGAGTCGTTGTCCATCCGATACCCTGTGAAGATGAGGCGCTCCCTCCTCGCAAGGGAGCGCCGGGCCCCCTTCCTCCACTTCTTGCACACCCCGCTCGCCCTGTCCGCACCAACCGCGGGACCAAAGTGAGTCACTCCATCGAAGGAGAAGACAGGAACATCCACAGCGTGTGGGGAGGTAAACGGAATATGAAGAAGAAGGGAAAGGAGAAATCTGCGGAGGAGGGGGCGACTATTCGGATGATACGCACTGCGCAAAGTCCTTGAATGACTCGAGCAGGGTGAAGATGTGGGCGAGCAGGTCCACCGGAAGCCGCTCTATCTCGTTCCCCCCCTCCATCTCCTCTCCTTCCTCCCCCGTCCTCTCTACAGCATACGCCCAGAAGACGAAGACGAAGACGAAAACGAAGAGGAAGACGAAGATGAAGCAGCAGAAGAAGAAGAAGGAAGAGCGCTGCCGTTGGCGTACGGGAAAGAAGAGGGAGATGTTGTCACGAACCCGACATCACTTGTGGACCCCCACCGAGCTGACTTGACATTGGCTGGCGTGGCATGCCGGTAGCCTCGGTTGTCCTCCACGTGTGCAGAGAGAGAACCCGACGCTTCGCCTGTCGACATAACTGTCATCCGATACTTTATGCGGCCCACAACATCCAGAATCTCGCACGGGAAATAAATACATAAATAAACTCTTTATATCTATAAATATTTATTTATTTAAAAATAAGGCGGTGCGCGTGGTCCTTGTTATGCCCCATTGTGATAATTTATGTAGTTATTTTTTATGAGCAGAAAAAATAGCGCTTTAGGGGGGAAACGGTATAAACGTCATTTTGAGAAAAAATAGTGTATAAACGTCATTTTGAGAAATTGGTGAGGTGGTGAAGGGCATAAATGGATGCCGCCGTTAATTCATTAGTTTGAATGACCGGCAACAATTTCAAGGTTTTGATGGATATTAGGCCTGTGGGTTGCCATCAATGGAAAGCCCAATAAAGAAAACGGCGACGGCCCACAACGTCCTAGAGAAAACCCTAGGGCCGAAGAGGGAGGGAGGGGCCGGGAGAGAAATGCGCCATGGAGATATAAAAGCGATATCTTCCTCCCTCCCCGTCGCCGTCGCTCCTCTGCGCTTTGGGGTTGGGGTTTCTTGCTCCATCATCGCGAACGGCGACAATGGCGGCGCCGGCGGCCGTAGAGTCCGTGCAGTGCTTCGGGAGGAAGAAGAACGCGGTGGCTGTGACCTACTGCAAGCGCGGCCGTGGGCTGATCAAGATCAACGGGTGCCCCATCGAGCTGGTTCAACCGGAGATCCTCCGGTACAAGGCGTACGAGCCCATCCTTCTCCTCGGGCGCCACCGCTTCGCCGGAGTTGACATGCGGATCCGCGTGAAGGGCGGCGGTCACGTCTCCCAGATCTACGCTATCCGCCAGAGCATTGCCAAGGCCCTGGTGGCGTTCTACCAGAAGTACGTTGATGAGCAGGCGAAGAAGGAGATCAAGGATATCCTCGTCCGGTACGACCGCACACTCCTCGTCGCTGATCCCCGCCGCTGTGAACCCAAGAAGTTCGGTGGACGCGGCGCTCGCGCTCGCTTCCAGAAGTCTTACCGTTAAGAAGGATCTGGTGGTCTTCTTTTTGGGGAATCTCAGCATCGTCTAGTTTACTCGAATCTTCATGTTCCTCTTGGACGTGATGAGACGATGCTAATTTATTTTCAAACGCTGTCACCTGACTCTAGATTTACCCGCCTGTTTCCAAGTAGATTTATATTTGCTACCTTCGACCCATCTCGGAATGTTTGTCATTCTCAATGCTCACCATTGGGCGCATGACATTCTAGTATTATCTAAAGGATCGTCAAAGGAAGGAATGCCTGTGGTAAGTTCTTTGTGACATTATGGTTGCAACCTGTCCGTCCCCCTCCCCCCCCCCCTTGTGATCTCTTGAGCAGCATATTTCTATAAACTGGAATCCGTGATATGGGCATCAATGATCTGCAGAAGGAAAAAAGGGTCGGACTTTTCAGTTTAATTCATTATTTGCGTACTAATGAACCCCCTTTTTTTCATTTTTTTTCCCCAGTATCATGTTCATGCTTAGGGAGTCATGAGATAGAACTCGATACCATCACTATCGACTGGTCTGGGGGATATTCATCGTCATCTTCTGTTTTGTTATTTATTGTGCAAGGAAATAAATACCCAATAGATGACTTTCCTTGCAGCAATGCATGTTCTACTGTGAGATTCATGCTGCTCTCGGAAAGTTGTGTGGTGTGAGTTTTGATTGAGGGACTATTCGCAAAGCCCAAGTCTTGGGGTGAATGAAGGAGAGATTTGTGATTTGTTCAACGTGTGGATGCTGATCTGCTTCCAATCATGGATCTGGTAGCCGGTTTCTAGAGAGCTCAGCAATTGGTCAGTTTCTTGAGCTTCATGCTTCCAGTAGAAAATATTAGTACCTGCTTGAGCAGTTCTTGCGTCATCAATGTCATTGTTTTCTTATTTCTCGTATTCTTCCACGATTTCCCTTATTTTAGTCATGTTTAAGTCTTTTTTCTTTCGGCAAAGATGTCATGGGGCCCTCTCTGCATTGGCTCTGTGAGGTCCTCTGTAGCATTTTGATTGCACCCATTGCTCTGGATGCTCATCTGTTTGACAAATTGCTGCATTGGATCGAGAGATTGATACATATATATATATATATATATATATATATATATAGAGAGAGAGAGAGAGAGAGAGTTCATTTTCCATTTCCGGTCTCCAACATCACTAATCCCAACCTCTGGGAGCATCGAATATATATGGGCTTACTTTCCTTTTTCATGGCTCCGGGTGGGGAGCTACCATCTCTGTCACTGTGACTGCGTCAGATATTAATTAATCTTAATCAATTATAATCAGACGTATCCTGGTGGAGAAGTGGGCAAGTAATCTTAATTACCTAGGTTCTGGTATTTTAGTTATTCTTATCTTTCTCCAAGCTTGGGATGATGAAGTGGGACAGAGGTTGATGTAGATGTAGATAGATACAAAAGTAGACAGAGATAGAGAGGGGGAGAGAGAGAGAGAGTGGCGCCGGGAATGGCGACGGCTCTTCTCGTGGCCCAGACTCCAGCGGCGTCTGGGCAGAGGATGCGCCGCCCCTCCATCTTCAGCTCCAGCTCCATCTCCGCCTCCTCCATCTCCAGGTTCATCTCCGACCACCCTCCCCTGACGCTGCTGGAGACGAGTTGCCGCAACATGAAGGACCTCCGCGCTCTGCACTCGCAGCTCGTGAAGACTGGCCTGTCCGAGGACCCCATCGCCATCAGCCGCGTCCTCTCCTTTTGCGCCACCCACCCCGCCGGCGACCTCAACTACGCCCTCCGCCTCTTCTCCCGCATCGCCTCCCCCACCGCCTTCTCCTGCAACACCATCCTCCGAGCCGCCTCCGGCAGCTCCGCCCCTCTCCTCGCCCTCCTCCTCTTCCTCGACATGCTTTCGCTCCTCTTCCTCATACCGCAGCGCCTCACCTTCCCTTCCCTCTTCGTCGCCTGCCGCCGCCTCGCCCGCGCAGACGTGGGCGCCCAGCTCCACGCCATGGCTGCCAAGCTCGGCTTTGCGGAGGACCCGTACATCAAAAACTCCATGATATCCATGTACGGCTCCTGCGGGGACCTGGAGGCGGCGGAGAAAATCTTCTCCTCCTCCATCCGCAAGGAGGCAGTCTTCGACGTGGTCGCCTGCAACTCCATGTTGACGGCTCTGCTTAGAAAGGGCCTGGCGCAGCAAGCCCGCCGCCTGTTCGATGAAATGCCCCAGAGAACCATCTCCACCTGGAGCACCCTCATGAGCGGGTACCTCCGGAATGGCCTCTTCCAGGAGACGCTCTCTCTGTTCGGGGAGTTGCAGAGAACAACAACACCCGAGCTCCACCCGAACCCCTGCTGCCTGGTGAGCCTCCTCGGCGCCTGCGCAGGGCTTGGCGCGCTCGAGCAGGGAGAGTGGGCGCACGAAACCTTGATACGTACCCACCGCGAAGCAGTCGACAACAACCCCATCATCCTTAACGCGATCATCCACATGTACTGCAAGTGCGGCAGGCTTGACAAGGCCCTCATTGCCTTCGAGGCCTCCCCAACAAGAGCTCTCTCGTCCTGGAACGCCATTATCGGCGCCCTCGCCATCCACGGCCGCTGCCCAGAAGCTGTTCAACTCTTTTCCCAGCTAGAGCCCGTCCATGGTCTGAAGCCCGATGCCGTCACCTTCGTCGCCGTGCTTACCGCCTGCAGCCACGCGGGGATGGTCGACGAAGCTCGCATGATCTTCGCTTCCATGTCGGAGAAGCACGGCGTCGAGCCCGCCGTCGAGCACTACGGCTGCATGGTCGACGCCCTAGCACGCGCGGGGCATCTGCAGGCGGCGGAGGACCTGATCCGCGGCATGACGACGCCCCTGCGGCCCGACGCGGCGGTGTGGGGGGCTCTGCTCGCCGGGAGCAGGAGCCACGGGGACGTCGAGAGGGCGGCGCGGGCGGCGGCGGAGATCCTGATCCTGGACCCCGCCGACGGTGGCGGGTACCTGCTCCTGGCCAACGCCCTCGCCGGCTCCGGCGGGTTCGGGGACTCCGCCGCCGTCCGGGCGGCGGTGAAGGAGAAGAGAATCCGGAATAAACCCGGGTGCAGCATGATAGAGGTGAAAGGCGTGGTACATGAGTTCTTAGCCTAGCAGCCCTCCCGATACACCCGAGTCCTGATCTGGGGCCACGTCATCCCCAACGACGACCGCACGATTCGTCCTCGTCAGCTTTTCCACGTTGCAATGCATCATTTTTTTAAAAAAATTATTTTGCACCCTATTACCCGCGGTCACTAAACGGTCCTCCTCGTTCACATGATCTTTACTAACTTGAAGCATACCCAAAAAGTAAAGCTATTGTGTTTTGCCCTGATATCTGCGCCAAATGACCTGTGTCTTCCACAATATCATCTAACTCGGGGGGCCGGAAACAATTATAAAGATTCTCTTGGACTCTTGGTAAGAAGGAGCAAACGTGGCGCCGCGTGCTTCCGTCGTTATCCGTAAGCAGGTAAATACCAAAACTAGCCCTGTTCCTTGAAAACGTGGCTAGCCACCCTGAATGGAGCCCAGTCCACATAGACACGTTTCGACGCACGGAAACTGGAAACATCATACCGTACGGTAACGAATGAAACGAAGCCACGCGGCGACCAACCATATCGTGTCCAGTTGTGGATGAGGGAGCGCAGGAATGGCTATGGTGGGCTTTATTCGGGTATTCTTTTCATCTGTTTTTCCGGTCCTGAAGACGTACCTTCTACGGCTGACGCTGACACATTCTTCGCTCCTTTGCCTGCTCCTTCCCTCCCTTCCGGATTCGGTTTCTCCATCGCTCTGACCTCCTCCTCCTCGGCCTCCTCCTGCTGCTGACTGCGTTCTTCTTCCCTCCCTCGGATTTCAATCGGGGTCCGAATTCAATTCTATTGCTGCAGTGACCGTGGTTTCGGTCTCCTACTTGCTCCGCCCGTACGCCATTTTTGTTGCTGTTGGCGCGCATATGTGAGGAGAGTTTCGTGGAGGGCGATTAGGGGGAAAGGGCAGGATGCTGCAGCAGTTCGTGGACCATGTCCTCGCCGTAACTAAGGAGTGAGTCGTCTCGTTTTCCTTTCTCTATGTTTGTGAATTGTTCTGTCTTCTCCTTGGCCCCTCCTTAATACGATCCTTCACCTCTTTATTTAGGAATTTTGTTCCTATTGATTGCCATTACGACCCTTTACCTTTTTCTTTAGGAATTTAGTTCCTGTTTATTGCCATTACGACACTTTACCTGTTTCTTTGGGATTTTTTTTTATGTTGATTGCCTCATTCTATGGGGACGACGAATACGTTTGAGTGTATATTTTTGGTGTTTCTTCTAAGGGAAATCCTGGATGGACGGATATCTTCTGGTGGTCCGTGTTGATATTTATGATGCGTATTTCAGTCATTGTTCATTCTGAATACGCAGATGGCGCTATGAGGTCTTTGGGAAAATGGTTTTTTTCTTCTATTGGTTGTTTATTTTTCCCGATAAATTTGGTCCTTTTTTTCTGGCGCGGGGTGGGGGGCGGGGTGGTGATGGTCCTGAGTTTACTGTGGTTGGTTTTCAGTGGTCATTCAATAACTGATACACCTAAAAGTGTGACCAGTCGGACAGGGAGGTTTTCGTGAAAAATTCATCTAGCCTGTAGTTTATTTTATTCAAAAATTGACAGAAGAAGATTATTTGAAGTAGTGAGATTGCATTTCCGAGAATATTAGACACATATGTCGGGTATTTGGTACATCTTTCTCTTCTAAGAAGGCAGTTGTATCCATGAAGCGCGTGCAATCAGCTTGATGCAAATGTCTAAAACTTAGACCTGCGGCCTTTTAGCTAGAATGATTGTTGAGAACATGTAGATCCTCCCTGAGTCATTGCTCCAAAATTATTATCGTCTCATTTTTCTCTCCAAATGACGCTAGCTTTGTTTTTAGGATGACCTAAAGAAAATGGAATAGAAATTCTGGGCATGAAATAATTATTCTCCTACTAGTAAATGACCTAAGAAATAGTTGATAATATCAGCTTCCAATAGCTGTTGGACTGGAGAAAGAAAGCATAATCCCTAGTGGGGTTATGTTAGAACTCATCTTTAATGGTAGATAGATAGGTAGATAGGTAGGTAGAGAGAGAGAGAGAGAGAGAGAGAGAGAGGGAGAGTATCTGCTGCAGCAAACCGGGCACTGGGAATGGCGGCCCAATCTCCTGCGGTGGCTGGGCAGGTCCCATTCCAATTTCCATAAAGTTCTTCTTCTCCAAGTTATTGTTGGGACCTTTGATCTATTCTAAAGTGAATAATAAAAAAATCATATTTTTTCCATTGTTCAGCGTTGTAGATTGGAACCATTTCTACCTTTATTTCTTCTTTACTGTCGGTGTTTTTTCTTTTCATCAGGAGTTTATTTTTAATTTAATAACTTGGAAGTTGTTGTTTACAGGTCCGTAAAGACATTCACATATGAATCTTTGAACAATGTTGTGCGGCTCATAAATGGAATTTCTGCGCTTCTTTTAGCTTTCTTGCCTGGGAAGACTCCGATTCTTGAAGGAATCCATGGCTGGGAACTTAGGCCTGCTTTTCGTGGACCTCGTTTCCCACGTTGGATGGAAAAGTAAGTCCACCCTTATAACTCACAATGTGCTCTTGGTATTCGTTTAGTGAAGTTATTTTGAGGAAAGATGACTACTGCATGGACACTGGTCCTCTTGTGTGTAACTCTGTCTATTAGCTGGCCATAGATTTCTGGACATTCATCTATGCTTACTTTTCCATTATGCTATAAAGTTATTTCGTTGACAACATTTTTCTTTCATTATGTTAAAATTTCCAACATGGGACTAGTCTACGTTGGGATTGAATTGAAAGAGCTGAGTAATTTTTGTTTACGTTGTCAATGTATAAATCAAAATGCAAAATTTTTAAATGTCATTAAAACATTAAGAGAAGGGGCATGACATCCTTTCATTCTTTGGGCCCCAAACATGAGGAACATTTAATTGCTGAACTTGCTCGGAACAACAGGCTGGAGACCCTTTTTGTTCAAAGTGTGTGTAGTTGCTCAGTGTCGCCCATGTGCTTTTACGTGACAATAATGATAGAATAGAAAATGCTGTCTTTCCTAGGTTTTCCAACTGTCTTATATTTCCTAGGTGAGAAAACAAGAGGTGGAGATTCTCTGTTCGAACACAAGACCTCGGCCAAAAGTTATTGAACTTGGAAATCACATTACCTATTAGGTTCCTTCTGTCTTTTTATTTAGAAGGAATGAATTTCATTAATGAAGTTGAATTGTGGACGGGGAAAAAATCTCCACAAATCAAGGCTGCCTCTCAAAAGTGGAATGCCTACAGCCATTATGAGAGTAGGGTATCCATAATCCATGAGTATATTGATGGAAATCGTCCGCATTTCACCTCATTTGATTGTTCATTGCTTAGGAGTAAATGGGTCTTTCTGGAATCCTCGTCCATTGTTTTCTGATTTGCACCCAAGTAGATCACCTTATCCATCAGCCTCCCGTTTGTGTATAAGATTAACTAATTTTTTGAAGAAAACGAAAAATCAAGAGCCTTTTATATTTGTCTGAAGCTCTAGATCTTAGATGAATTGATACGGGAGACTGCTGGAGGTTGGGGGATAGCTTTGCATCTTTTCCTACTGCTGGCCTAAGTGATTGCTCTTGCATCTTTTCCAACTGTATTTTTTGTTGGTTGGCTCATGTTTCAGGTTTTCGACCTAGCTTCCCATTATCTTTTATTTCCAAATTTCCCAGTCGATTAAGAAGAGAATGTGAAGAGGAAATAATTTCTGAGTAAAGGAATTATTTAGTTGAGGAAATCTTCAAGATGGAATTTTGCATGCGTTGGCCTTTACCCTACTGAGAAATGATTCGCTGTTCATTTAACTGAGAGAGAGAGAGAGGGGTAGGGGTAGGGGTGGCCCATTTAGCCATAGTTTTATAAGTATGGAGGAAGGTGCGGGTTGTTTCAGAAAAGGTGACGTTTGCATTCTCGTTTAAGTTGTTATAGTCAAATATGGGGTACCAGTTAGTTTGTGGAACCAGATCGTCAGGCCCACATCCATATAATGTAGCACTCTTTTTTATTTTTGTGGCAGTCTTTTTTCTTTTTTCTTTTCCCCCGCAAAGAATCATGAATCATACAAGTCCATAATTAACGTGGAGGGGTGCAATGTGCCAGATGTGCCTAACTTGTAATTTCATTCTGTACTTCTCATAAAAGGATCAATATTAAGTATCCATGCATAGGTTTCACATAGCTGTACCCAAAGAAGACAAGTTTGTAGCTTTTCTCCGGGCTTTCAGAGGTTTTTTGTGCCAATGACAATATTTTGGATTTGTTGTGATCAATCTGTTAAAACATGGTTCAGTGTCTATCCTCCATTTGTCAACGCCAAAGTCTCATTAAGCTGATAGTTATTCTCAATGCATAGTTCCGCTGTAGGGTTATCTACAAAGCCACGCTATCCTTAATAAAGTGTGATTCATATTGTTTTACTATCTAAACTAGTGAAATGATTGTGGTTTTGGTACCTAAACACCTTTTTTTTCTACATGCTTATATGTCTTGTTTAAGATGGATAGTTAACTCCTGTAGCTATTTCTTGGTTTGTTTTTTTATGCCTGTAATGCTTGAGACGTACTTAGATTTACTAACTTGAGCTTCATATGATGACAGTGGTGTATCTTCTTTCAATGAATTTATCCATGATCTCTCCACGGAGTTCGATCCTTCCACAAGTGCAGACTACACGTCTGGGGAAGAAAATGATGATGAAGACATATTTCCTGGATCCCCTTTGTCTCAATCATCACGGTTATCACATGCAAGCAGTTTTTCCAGATATGACCGAAGTAATTCGCGCAAGATCAGATGGGTGATTTCTTATGTTCTGTGGGCCATAAAATTTGTTCTCTGTTTGCCACTTCTTCTACTTCGCTCTGTCAGATTTCGAAGACATGAAGCTAGATCCTCTGAAGTCTCGACGGAAGCCAAGTTTTCCTCCATCCATAGGGAGAAATTAGGTCATGTCAAGGACCATGTTGTTCATCGAGCGACTGATAGGAGGCGCGGTGTAATTGAGGTTGAAAATCATATGTGGCATATCACATTACATCATATTCTTTCTTTATAATTGCAATTTTTTTTAGCTTCTTAGTTTATATATATTTTTATTTATTAGGGAATTCTTTGTGTACCATTGATGAACAGGATTTGCAGGTGGCAATTGAGATATTCATTGAAGGCATCTTTCAATTTTTTCACAAGGCGGCACATTTTCTTCTTTCACCTAGAGAAGCTTTTGGAACTATGTGGAGGTGGTACACTTCCCATGAAAATAGAGATGAGGATTTTACAGGTGATGAGGACATACCTGTCCCATCTGCTACCCTAGCTGACGGTGACCCTGGTCTGACAGAAAGACATAGTAGGCTTCACCAATCTCTAAATACTGATGCTCGGACTTGTGAGGATGTGATAAGAGAACATGGGTAATGCTGCGTCTTTTTCTGTGCCTTTTTCCTTCTTGAGATTCATTATATTTCCTCAGCCTTCAGAATTTCGTTTACAGCCACAGTTTTTCACAGAATTGCAGTGAAAGCTATTTGCTTTCTTTCTGGAGAAGCTGAATAAAGAGGATATCCTGTTTTATTAAAATGTTGTAATGCGAAAATTCATATCCAGAATTTTGTATCCCTCACAAACGTATACAATTTTCTTGGATACAAAAGAGTGGGATTATTTTTGGAGAAATTTTCTAAAAAAATAAAATTCCGTATAGGTACCCATATGAATCCTTTCGAGTGGTTACATCCGATGGTTACATCCTTTTACTTGAGAGGATCCCAAGGTATCATGACGCGGAACGCTTTGGATTTTGGCTCTGTTTTATTTTTCATATCCGAATGCTAAATTTGTTACATGTCTGGATTTGATCTTTGGTATGTGTTATAGGCGTGACGCGCAGAAGGTTGTTTATCTGCAGCATGGTATTTTAGACTCATCAATGGGGTGAGTAATCTCTACATCACAGTTTCCTTTTGTATACTATGTTTTCAATTATTTCCAAGTATCTACTCTATTAACCAGTCACGACGAAGAAATCGTTTGGATTTCCCTGTGTAATGGCCAAAAAATCATAAATTTTGTACATAACAGCATGATCTTTGGTATGTGTTTCAACTGGGATGACCACAAAACCTGTTTCCTACGCTTGACAAATTCTTAGAAATCCAACTATTTTCTCATTCTGACTCATCGGCGTGATGCCTTCTTCAGATTTCAGATACTAAACACCAGAGAATATATTTCCTTTTTTTTTGGGGGGGGGGAGGATTCATCTTCAGAAAAAAACCATGCCCATGGTTTAATGGATGGTTTTTTCATAATTGTGCTAGTTGATGCTAAAGCATCAAAGAGAAGTTTGCAATTCATTTTTTCAGAACCAACTCCTCGTTGCATTTAGTGTCCTTTAAATCTGCCGGTAAACTATCCAAGATCGTGATACTCATTTTTAGTTAGACAGAGTTCCATGACTTTTGAGAAAAATAAAGAACCAAAGATTCGTGGGACTTGTTATCTGGAGTCGGATTCAATACTTTTTCCGTGTTAACAACACTCTTGAGATTCAATGACCTCTTTGGCTAAAATCTGGCGAATTCCCAAACTAGCTTACTTGATTTCGTATCACAACCACGTTGATTTTTGTATCATGACGACATTTGTGGATGGTAGTAGCTTCTCTTGTCCTAAGAAAGTAACAGCCCCACAGGCAGTTTCTTTCTCATCTCTCCATCGCCATTCTCACTGAGCCAGAGAATTTTCACGTGGCATACGGTTGACCTTGTTTTTTTCTTTCGCTCTTCTGTTCCAGTTGGGTGTCAAATGGGGTCGTTGGCTCTCCAGCATTTGCAGCCTTCGATCAAGGTACGTACTGTTCTTCCCATGGTGAGACGAATGATCATAATCTCATGAAACCCGGAATATATCACTCCAAAAATCCAAGTTTTGCCGTGTTTCTTCCAAAGGGTACGACGTTTTCCTCGGGAATTTCCGAGGATTGGTGTCTAGGGAGCATATCAACAAGAACATATCCTCACACAAGTAAGCTCTTGATTTTATTTTATTTTAAATAAATAAAAAAAGAAAATTTTCTCTTCGAACCCGTTGACTCATGGAGATCCAGGTACTGGAAGTATTCGGTCAACGAGCACGGAGTGCAGGATGTACCGGCCATCATAGAGGAGATACATCGGATCAAAGTCTCCGAACTGACATTGCTTCAGCCCGAGTTCCGGGATGAGATGGGCGGCGGCGACCAGCCCTACAAACTATGCACCGTCACCCACAGCCTCGGAGGGGCGGCGATGCTGATGTACGTCATCACTCGCCGGATCGAGGACCGGCCGCACAGGCTGTCGCGGCTGATCCTTTTATCGCCAGCGGGCTTCCACGGGGACTCCACCATCGTCTTCACCATAATGGAGCACTTGCTCCTGCTCTTCAGTCCTCTCCTGGCGTACTTCATCCCGGCTCTATACATACCCACCAGGTTCTTCCGCATGCTTCTCAACAAGCTAGCAAGGGACTTCCACAATAACCCCGCCCTGGGGGGCCTGGTTCAGACTCTCATGAGCTACGTCGTCGGCGGCGACTCCTCCAATTGGGTCGGTGTTCTCGGCCTGCCACACTACAACATGTACGACATGCCCGGGCTCTCTCTTCAGGTCGGCGTCCATCTCGCCCAGATGAAGCGGGCGCGGAGGTTCACGATGTACGACTACGGCAGCGCCGCCGCCAACGTGAGGGCCTACGGATCCCCCCGGCCGATGGATTTGGGCCAGCACTACCACCTCATCGACGTGCCCGTTGACTTGGTTGCGGGGAGGAAAGACCAGGTGATCCGCCCCTCCATGGTCAGGAAGCACTACAGAGTAATGAAGAGAGCGGGCGTGGAGGTGTCCTACAATGAGTTCGAGTACGCCCATCTGGACTTCACCTTCTCCCACAGAGAGGAGCTTCTGGCCTACGTCATGTCCCGCCTGCTGCTGGCCATGCCGCCGCCGCCGAAGAGCCAGGGTAGCGTCAGGTACAGGAAGGCCGGCAGAGATCGAGGGAGAGACGAGGCGAGCAGCGGGACCCGTACAGACGCTGCTGAAATCCAGACTTCGGAGGCAGCCTAGCTCTACTGTATGATCCCCAACGCTGTATGGCTGTTGACTGCTGTGTAGGGGAGGAGGGAATATACGACTGTGTTTCCTCCGTGTGTAGGGAGGAGTTGAAGAGGGGGCTGTGTGTCTGAGGAAGAAGAGGGTGGGTGGGGGGAGGTTTTTGTAGCCTCGCCTTCTCTCTTCTCTTCGAGAGGAGTGGCTTCTGGTTGCCTGTGCATCAATGACTGCAGCAGATGCATCACTGAAAGCTTGCTTTTCGTTGCCTCTCTGCGGCCCACACGGTTCACTTTATAGAATGGTTGAGCTTCATAAAATGTGGGGCTGTGGTGGACAGTTATTTGACTGAACTCTGCGATAGAGAGAAGCATATGTCTTCTCTCTCTCTCTCTCTATGATTTCCACGAGCCTCCTGCTCTTTTTCCACTCATGTTTATGAGGAAGGGCTCGTCGCTGGTTACCCTCCAAAATTAATTTGACGAAGAAGATCAAACACCCATGAATCCGTCAAGTCTGATATGCCTTTCTCTACTCTCCCATGCGCCGTCTGGTCTGGTCATCTTCACAGAGTCAACCAATATAACGGGAGGCATTTTCTAGAAGGGAGCGTTGACCATTGCAAAATCTCAAATAACTTCTCTGGGCACTAAATGTGAAGCCCAATTAAATGCCAAATATATATATATGCTTCAAAATAGACCTATAACATTGCTCAAAATCAGTTATTGGTGATGGGCGGCAGGTCTAATCCTACGGCAGTCACAAACACCCTGAACCATCACAGTGAAACAAACTTCGATTTCCATTGTAATATTCCCAGAAAAATCAAATTAAAGCTGTTCCTAAACTTCTGGGCTCCAGGGAAGTTCTGCCCACAGCCTAATTCTAGGCCCAGACCAGGCACAGCAGGCTCATGGAAGGCAGCCAGGCCCAAATCAGGGATCCACAAGGCCCACCCTACACAAACTTGGAAGATAAGTAATCATGGGGAAGCCCGAGAAGCTCCGCACTCATCAAAATGCAGACATTACAGAGCCTGCGCATCCAGATGAGGCGCATGTAGGAAGAACATCATCGGTCCAGTGGATTCTAACATAAGAGGCCCTCTCTTTATTTATTTATTTATTTATTTATCAACTGATTTGAGATTTCTAGCGTGGGGGAATACAAAGCTGCTGCACGCCAACAAGAATAGGAACGCACTCGCTGTAAATAAATTTTATGGACAGCCAACGTGCACAAGGGATGAATGAACCGCCTCCCTCAGCAGTAGAGAGGTCGCCATGAGAAGAGGGAACCATCACTCGGAAAGTAAAACACTACGCTACAGGTTGAGATAGATGTCACCTCTGTGATGCGCATCCCATTTCATGCTCGATAAATAAGCAATCTGATCTGAATCTCTGTAGCTGGACGTTCACAATCCGTGGAGAGTGGGAACTCCACTGCTTCTCTGGACCAGCCTCACTGATGAGGTTTTTGGCAGCTGTGCTGCCTTGACAGAGGATAGAACAGCTGAAAGCTGCCGGTCACATTAGCCCCCATTGTTTGATTTGGCATCCTGAGCCGTGATGATCTATAATATTCTTCGGGCCTTGAGATAATAATACATCAGGAAAAATGCAACCACTCCCCCAACGATAATTCCTGCTGTCGTCAGCCAGAATGCGCACTGCAAGAGGGAAGAACAACGAGCATAAATGGAGGGGCAGGTAGAAGCATTTACGCCTCTCGAGATGTAGAATTTGGCATACCACGTGCTCTTCGAGATAGGATTTCAGATTCATTCCAAATATTCCTGGAAGAAAGAAGAAATATATGCCGTTGGAAGATGCAAACAGATAGATTAGATAACTTGGAAGCAGAGGGCGAAACATTCATGGAAAATGAACAAAAATGAATGCAGCTATTCATAGCACAGTTTGAAAACTCTCGCCTTGGCCATTCCCAGATGGCTGCATGCTTGTTTACAAATGCATGGTTACCAGCTATTCTCCCTCATATGTGAGCAGCTGGAGACTCGGTTCTATTTCTGAATGTGTGGCTGCTCATAACTGGAAAACGCGCTAGTTTTGAATGATCGAGTGACAAAGAAACGCACCAGTTTTGACTTCCATGCATGGAGAAATTGGCCCATGATCTGACCTAAAAAGGGCATGCCACTGGCTCAGTACTAACTGGCACATTGATGGGGAGAAGATAAAGGCTCTAAAATTAGAGATCCCAAGCATCTCCGAGTACATTCCAAATCTAGAGAGATTTCATTTTCCGTGACGCTAGCTTACAAACCAGCTTATTTGATTGTTTAAAGATAAGGGAGAATAAGGGAAACTATAGGTTTAGAAATTCCTAGACAGGCCTTCTTTCTACACAGATAACCCACCAACACCAATAGGGGCAGAGAAGGCAGAGGCCTATACAGAAGGTACTGAACGAAAAAGCACACATGGAGACCATACAGCAACATTTTTTTTTAAGGTAAGTTCACTAAATCTTGTCAGCTGCGAGTAAATTGTTTATGATGGATGCAGAAATATGGACAACTGTACAATTACATCACAAATTAATGCTCATGAACATAAAATTAACTTCTAACACATGAAACATATCAAAAGAAATCTCTGATTAAGAAGTTCCTCCTGATGGTAAACTATAGTTTTGACATGGATTTAGACGTCTCAATGTGGAAATATCAAAAGTCCCACAAATCGAAAAGAATGTCGGAAAAATGAGTCTTAATAGTAAGGTATCCGGTGTCGTTTTACCTGCAATAAGAGCACCAATAGCTACACAAAATGTCCCAACTTGAAGAAGAAGTTCCACTCTACTAACTTCCAGCCTCCGCGAACTGATAGTAACAAAAAGTCAGAATAGCCTTAGTATTTTTTATGCTACAAAATTAGATTTGTAATTTCTAGAGATAAACCTGTATAGAAATCAGAAAGATTTTACTGGAAAGATAGGACCCTCTGGTATGCTTAGAAAGCGAAAAGGAATATATCATGAGTTCAGTATCCGTTTTCTTCAAGAGTCCAAGTCTTATTCCGACTTATGCTGATTTTTTTTCCAAATACTTCTTTACGTGTAGCAATTTATATGCAATCAGCAAGCGAAAGGGGGAACCGAAAAAAAGGGAAGAGCAGAATCCAACATGATAGCACTCGCTTCCGATCATAAAAAGTGGATGACAACTGCTCTGAAAATGTTCAGAGCTGGCAGAACAAGGTTCCAGTGCCATCATAAATATATGACTGAGGGCACCATCAAGTAACTAGCTGCAACATAACACTGTAGTTCATGGTTGAACAAGAAAAAAGAATCCTGTCTGCAACAAGGCAAATTTCTCAAGGTAATGTTTTTTAATATATTTTATTCAAAAACATAAATCTTTCCATGGTTAATAATTTTAGATACGAACACAAAACTTTCCCCATTCGTCTTCTCTTAATGCATAATGTAACAAAGGAAAAAAGAAGCATCCTCACCATTTTTTAAATAATTAAATAGCATAAGAGGTTATTCATTATTTCAGGACAGCCATTTAACAAAACCTACCTCAATATTCAATGATTGTATCCAGACAAGAACAGAAAAGTGCAGTTACAGAACTCATGCATGAAAAATATATAACAGACCTTAAGTTTACAGCAATTGAATCTTCCATTTCTCTTGCTGAATCGAGGAGCCTTTCTGCTTGCCCGTGACAAGATTCACATCTGTGGTAGAGAAATAAAGGGAAACTTAATGACCAAATGAAATATGCCAACAACTAAAACTTGCATGATGTACGTGAGAATGAACATTCAGGCAGCCATATTTACATATTTCATGGGAAAGCTCCTTTATCAAAGTGACGAAATTAGGCTTATAACATCTAAATAGATCTATGAAATGTCCCCACGAACAATCAGCCAAAAATACTGACGGGGTCTATCAGGGAGACATGATACCACATAAATGTAGTCATCTAAAAGAGTCTCCACCGAACGATAGTATCCAAAACCAACTGTCACCACACTAAGATGTCTAATTAAAAGAAAATTTCACACAAGCTACATACTGGTCAATTTCAGCGGAACACTCATGAATAAATACTACGCATAATAAAGATTAATGGAGACTCATCTTTTTCTCTTTTCTGCTGAGTGGACATATGAGGATTCTCATTACTAAAAAAATAGAGTTCAGCTGTTTTACCCTTAAGCGGATTACGTGGTTAAGAGAATAAGGAGATTAAGATGACTTAGATAGTGAAGAATTACGAATTTTTTAAGATTTAAGGTTCCTCTACATTTTAGAGTCTGATTTAAGGTGTTTTAATGGTGCAAGGCACCAGCTTATCCTAGACTATCGGGGTTATTTTAAAGCAATCCATAATAGAAGCACTTTCCATGCAGCCTTAAGATATGCTATGCAGAACTTTCAAAACCACGAGGTTATGATATGCAAAACATCAGCATATCATCATGGATTTTCCATGAGAGACAAGCCTTTGCCTGTGTGATGCGAAAATTAAAAATGATGTTACAACATTCTTAGCGACTGGCACAATTTAGGGAGTTCAGACCGCTGAATATATTGTTGAATATTAATGAATTAGTAATCACTCTCTTTCTCTCTCTCTCTGACTATATACTTGTCGTTTATGGGGTACTACATGCGGCAGGTTTCTAAGAAAAAGTGGCAGATGTGCCAGGTGCAGAGCCAACTGTGCTTCTGTTTGCTAAGGTTTTGGCATTAGGAAGTACTTTGCTGTCAGAAGAAGCTCATACATTTTACTTGAATGGAGTTGGCTTGCGTCAATGGACTGCAGAATAAAAACTGATACAGGTATTGCTGAGGCACAACTGTAAGGTCAAACACTAAAGCACAATTCAAGTGTCAGGCATTTCACTGAAATTGGGACAGCTCAACGTGCATCCCCGATAACTAGACAGACAATTAGATCTGGCTGTGCCAGGTGAAATTTTTTGTTTTGATAACTTCAATCGGTTCTTATGTCCCTGTGGCTATTCAAGGACTGCAAACAAAATTAATGGGAATAGAGAGAGGACAGATCATTTAAATAGATGACAGTAGGAAGAAAATTCAGAAAATAGAAGAATTTGTCACAAAAGATACTGCTCTGCATGAGTTTAAGGGTAGGCCACAAGGTTTCCTTGGGTATCAGATCATTATTGTGATATGCTTTTTGAAGCTATAACAGGGATCTCAATAAAAAATATCTTAACAAAGAGTTGGAATTGTGTTTTGGATATGCTTGTATGCCTCATTAAAGAAAACTAAAAGAATCAGTAGGGGATCTGCATGTTCCCTTTGAAAACTATTCTGTTAGAAAGATCATGAACTATGATATGATGGTATTCTAGAAAAAAGAAAATCAATTATCACAGAAATATTAAAATGCCAAGAAATGAAATCCAAAGCTGTAAAACAACACTTAATTACATACCTTTGCAGATAATTCTCCAAAAGCATCTCAATTTCCTCCTCCTCCTCTGCAAAAGAATAATTATGAGTCTTACTGGTAATACAAGTATTACTGATAGAGATTGAACAAACAAGAATGTGAAGTATACAAGTATTATGCCATATCATTTATTTGGAAACAATACTAGTCAAGCGCAAAAAAATACAGCATCTAATATGTTGAAAAATAGAAAAAATGACAGTAGTGAAAAAGAAAAGAGTAACAAAAGGCGATAACTATTTACACAGCAAACCTGACACTTAAGCTCATTGACCACATTGATAAGCTTTCCACAAACAACAACACGTTCTGGCTTTGGGTCAACTGGATCACCGCTATCTCCATCTTAAATATCTAATCTATAATGAGAGAAGGCGATTCAAAGTCATATACTTGGTCAGATACCATGGTGTAGGAATGGCCTGCAGTGTGCATGATGCAATTGAAAACCATTCTTATGCCCCCGTTTGCTGCAGTGTAAAATCCATCAAAGAGCTCCAACCCATGTCCAAATATGCTATAACCCTACAAATTAATGGACTCTAAACTATCTCCAAGAAGGGTCCAAACCACTAGCCTAATTTGTATTAACTGACGCCCACTAACAAAAGGATCAAAAGATGGGGCATGGCTAATTCATGAAGCACAGATCCATATATTTGGAGGTGCACGATAACCCAGTTTGTAGTGGGCTGGAGTTTGAACCACATCAAAAGTGAAAATCATGAAAATACTGAAAAGTCATTAACGAACAATGATTAGTAACGACTTCAAGAAATCACAACATATAGAAACTATAAAAAAATCACAAAACCACATAAACCTTTAAAAGTAATTGTGTCAAAAACTCATGTTTTATAAAAAATTATAGAGATGTTTTAAGGATTAACTGAGATATCTCAAGCTCATAAGAAATTATCAAAATGTTTAAAGCTTCGCAAAGTTTCAAAGTTGTGCCAAAAACCGAAAAAGCCAAATTACAAAATATCTTAATGTCAGATATCCTCAATTTGCTTCAAGACACCTAGATTCCATTAAAAAAATCTAAAACGCATGAATGTTAAAAATCGAAAAATCAACCAAGAGAGTTTAACGTTGCAGAAGCCAAAGAGAAAAATAAGAAAAACCTTGAGTCAATGAAGAAGCACAAGAAAAACGAAATAAGGAAAGAGGCACCCTTATACAGTGCCTTTTAATTTAAATAAGAAGAGAAATTTCTGGATCAGCAAGAAAATCGGACCTACAATCAACTATTTCTCAGGTGAAGGTTATCCAAGCGAAAAAGGAAACTATTAACGAGATATGCTAAAAAAACGATATCTGGGAAGGAACACGGTGTTATGTTTTAGGTTTCATCTTTTCAGCCTCTAGGTTTCATTTTTTAAGTCGTCCTGGTTTATCTTAGTCCTTTTCGGCATCAGAAAATTAAATAAGTAATAATAATAAACAAAAGTTTGAAATTTACATCTACCATTATGTAACTACATTTCACATAGTATTATTCTGTAGTTCATTCAATACATCATTTGAGAGCGAGTAAGCAAGGGCTACTCTTCCTATCTGAATGCAATTAACAATAAAATTGTGAAAGGTAGAATCCACATTTTATGGAACTTATAATATCAAACAATGGATCAAATAAAAATCAAATCGTCTCAAAAAAATCAAATGACTCAGAAGAAAGTCAAAACAATGGACCCCAAACTAAAAAAAAGACAAATAAAAAAAACACGTGAAAACATTACATAATAATATGTTAAGTTAAATAATAAAAACATGAGCCAATTTCACTGACCACACAATCCATTAAGGGGAAAAGAAGTTGGACTACCATAACTAAGGTACATTATTCTTTTTCTGAGACTTGTGCACACATGAGTTAGCTTCACTCTCACGGCCCATTGGACAAAGGACTCTAACTTAAGCATTGACCTTAAGTCAATCATATTAGACAATTCTAAACAGTGGACACGGTCTAATCATATAACGTCCAGCCCTGATTCCATGGAGTACTCATATGGGGCATTAGAGAGGATGGTGTTGTCATTCTCGGAAAATATATAAAATATAGAAATATCCTCATTTGAAAATCCACGTAATAATCATAGAATTATACTTACATCAAATGTCTAGAAATTGTGATGTATAGAGATTAGAATTATCTGGAACCAAAACAGTGAATACCATTTAATGACCTACATTTCAGGTTATAATCTGATAGATGTTTCTGGAGGTGGAAAACCTACTGAAATGTCATCAGGCCGTGGAGGATGGCTCCAATGTGAATTAAGAGATATCTGCCACTGTTAGCATCATGTGCAACTGCACGGGGAAAGAATCCCAAACTACCTTTCTAAACTATTATAAAGCCAAAACCTCCGAATGATTAACATCAGAGAGAAAAATATAAGTAATATTATTCATTAAAGTGTGTCTCGTATGTAAAGGAAAACCAGGACAGATAACCCTCACCCATTAACATAAACACAATTAGTCATTCGAGCGTTGATACTTACAAATATCTTTAGCTTTTACAAACAATTGTAGCTATTTTAATATTTAACTTTGCTGAGCAAGCTTCTCAATCATGTAAAATAAATTGATGAGATGGAGGACATGACGAGTAATATGCCTACCGCGACACAACAGACAGCTTATTAAACACGGCATAGTAAAAGATTATTACCTTCGGCAACCTGTCTTTCCGAAGGAAGTGCACACTCCATATCACCTCTCCGAATTATGCAATTCCGTCCCATTACACAAATGCGACGGATTGCATGATGATCCTCTAGGAGATCAAGTAGCATCTGTTTGAGAGCTCCTGCTCGTGAACCTAGTTCTACCTTCAAATACAATCGAAAATTCACAGAGGTTCCAATCAATCTTAAAGATTATCAGGCCAAAATACTCGATACATCAACGAAAGTCATCATACTAATGTCTGTTTGCTAATGCGGAGCTGCTCAAGCACATCAGCTGTCAAACGATTGGGCAAGACTTCAAGTAATGCAACCACCTATGCAAGGAGCAAACATGCATTAAGTCTAAATGCCATAAACAATGAACACCTATGCAATAAGCAAACATGCAATAAGTGTATGAATGCATTATCGTCGTCATCCCACTCATCCTTATAGAATCCAGTGCCCTTGGGAGAAATGCAACTATCATAATTGATGGAGGGTAATAAAAGCAAAACGGGAGACTGATGACATCCCACATATAGACAAGAAAGAGGAAAGCAATTAAATTTACGAAAAAAATCAAACCTACAAGGTCCATTGTGTAGATTTTAATAAGCAAACTCCATTTCCTCATCCTGTCGTCGAAAGAACTTTCTTCCCGACGTCATGTGATTTCACCCATCATTCTCAACAGAAATGACTATCTTAATGATATTCAATAAATCAGTAAAGTTCTGCAGGAATCGTCTCCTCTTTTTTTGCCTCCACAGCGCCCAGAGTATACAAAGTATAACAAAAAATAAGTTGGTCCAAAAGAGTGTCAACATTATTATTGCTGGTCACAAAAGAAGGATTACTATTGCACACGTATGATAGAAATAACTTTTGAGACGCTCTCATCTAAAGGCTAGATATTACAAATCTTAATGATTATCTTTAGACCTCCTTGCAAGAGATACAACATGAGATCCTCATTTTTAGGCTAAATCCTTACATTCTTTAAAGGAGTTTAAGTATAGATCTTATTTATACCAGGTAAAACCATCAAATGATCACCATCAAAGATACTAGCATCATAAGCCGATTAAGAGATCTCCACATCTCGTTACACAAAAACATATACATACTGTCACCTATGTATATGTCTTACGATTACCAAAATGAAGGGTTTCATCCAGTGAAATCAATAAAATATACCAGAATAAGATAATAGCTTTTGCTCGATGACGAATTTGCTGATAAGATGAGGTTCCAATTTAAGTAATATGAGAACACGGGTTTTCTCTTTTTGGAACAAGACCATCTCAATCATGTTAATTTTTTTATGTTGAGTTCAACTCAATTCTTTTATACTAGAAATAAGTATTAATGAGTACGGATTCGCCACCTATACCCCAGCCAGAGATTTTTGAAATACAGAATTCATGCTTTCTTTTTAGTTTATACCAAAATGCAATTTTCTAATAGGCATATCCTCAACACTGCAAAAAGTACAATCAAAACAAATAAAGATAATCTAAATAAGGTGCCAACCACTAATGATCTGACGTATATAATGGATCATCTGATCCTTGAAAATTCCGAAGTTATGCCCCACACTGAATAACAACAAACGATGCGGCTAATAATAACAATATTTTTTTATGATTGGTGGCAAAGGATAAGAAACCTGGCGGCAGCAGGCAGCAAAAGGGACAGTAGTGGATGGGAGTAAGAATTTTTACCCACTCTCCTCAGTTCTGCAACTAGTTTGGATGATATGATCATTTCATTTCTAATTTTTTATTTACCAGATGAACATCATTTCGTCTTATGCTGCTCTTCAGACATGGCATAAATGTATCCCACACACAATGGACTAGAAGCCAACTGTTGTCCATACCATGAAATGCTGGAGTGTAGATAGGAAAAACATCAGATAAATAGAATAATCTTAGTAACGTAATCTCCCCCATCAACTACCAAATCAGAAAGATGTCATGAGACAGTTTGCTCAGCTGGGATGGTCACCTATAGCTTACACTAAGGAACATTGTACATATGGACATTAAAACTTTGAAGTTCCAGGAGAATTGCATTTTATAATTGGGTTCTATGTCTCCTAAGTTCATCAGTAGTTGTCTTAATAATAGGTTTTTCTCCCAGAAAGCTAGAAACAGTCCTTGGCTCATTTGTGAATAAGTCCTTGTGTAGACTTCTCTTCCACTCTTCACACATCAACTGATCAAAACAGTAACTTGCAGCAGAATTTCGAGTAAAATTGAAAACAATGAAATCTATTATATTGTCGTTAGATGGATGACGATGTAATGCATCTACATATTCCTGAACCTACCCTCGAATAAGGGTACTAACACCGTCTCCAGTGTAAACAAGCGGTCTGACAAAAACATTTCACAAGAAACTGAATAGTACAACAAATCATTAACGAAGCAAAGTAGGATGTTAGAGTATAACATGTGTAAAATACACAAAAACTTCATACAAGAAGAAATTCTGCACCACTATCCTGTTGCTGATACAAAATTTCACCTTCACAGGAATTGATTTTCCCTAGCCCCACATGAAACTTCAGCCTACCACCGTCAAATAACAAATCATTGGCGACATGATGTACATGGATAAACTGCAATCTGTGTCCAATATCCTTTCATTTTACAACAGAGTAACATAACGGGTATAAGTTTCAACATCCCATGGTGACTAGCAAATATGGGTAATGGTCAATTGATAAGTCCATATAAAGTCAATAAGTCATCATACTTAGTCATAAACAATAGACTGAAAAAATGTCTGTGAGATCCCAATTGATGAATCTGTTACATCAAATATCTTTTTTTTACCAAAATAAGGTTGGAAAAGGAATTTGCCATGACATAAAAATAGCCAGGTAACAACTGCAATAGAATGCCTTAATACTCACACGAGGTTCCAGATCAACAAGTTTTTGCTCTAGACGTTGTATTCTAGAGAGCAATGCAGCTTCAACAACCTGCAAAGTGCATCATGCACTCATCAGCAGTATCTAAACAAATGACCTCAATGTGTATATAAATGAAACGATGCTCATATACCTCATGAAGTCATTACTCTAAAAATAATAAATATGCTTCAAGAATTAGCGTCAAAATCATAAGAAGATGTACACAAGTTTCCAGCCTCTGAATTGAAAACGTCAAAAACATGGATTTTCATTGACAACTTTTTCCATTATTCTACCAGCACTCTTATCATTATCCGCATCTGTGACTTTTGCAGTTTACCTTGCAGTATTATTCTTGTTGAGGAGCTCCTTTACTTTCTTCTCGTCCCTATAAGAACGAAGGAAAGAGGACTACAAAGTAGAAATTATTTACGGATTTAAACACTTTGGTCAATTAGATACTAAAGCAACTAGTTCAATGGCAACAAGATCTTCTAATGGACATATGCATTGAGATGTTTGAACCATTTATAGCATCAAGTAGTCTTTCTTATCGGGGATAACCTCTGTCACCTATCTTATCCACCTAGAATACATTTCTAGAAAATCTCACCCATCTAAAAATTAATTAGTAATAATATACTACCAATTCATTATCGGATTATTTTTTTAGGATTTGCCAAATCGAAACATAAATGGGTGCAGATCCAGATACTTAACTACTCCAGGTTTTTAAATTTAAACACTAAGAAATAGTTAAGAAGAGACTATGATGTCAGCAAGGAGGGGTGAGAACAACTCTTAATTAGAAGTCCCATCAAAATAGTCAATGCCCACTTCATGGAACTAGGAACTGCAAGATGACTAATAAGTCCAAAGAATTATGGATTTTACTTGGAAAGTTCGAATTTGCAAAGATAAAAAAGTGATCACGCAATAGAAAAAGAGGGCTCAGAAAAACAAAAATCGACATTGCTATTCGTACTTTATATTATTTTTTTAGCAAAGGGATAAAATCGGTGTAACGTGAGGTCAAATAAAGACCTTTTAGAAACGAGGGAGAGAAGGGTTTAGACTATCTACTAGAGAAATAAGTCCTCTTTTGTAGCTACCGCACACCTCCTTATTTATGGGGGCCACAAATGTCTTAGTCATTTTCTGTAATGTTTATGAAACGTTCCGAATATTCCAACGATTTCCATCTCTGGACAGTGGGAAATAGGGCTACTTCCCTGGTTTGAGCATGCATTCGTATTTCACGAATTAGTATTATCTCAGATGCATCATGGCACGGGATTATTTGGACTCTCGTCAAAAGCTTTAAAATATTCCTCGCTTCCCTACGTGAAGTTTTATAAAAAAAAAAACGCATTGCACCAGCTGTTTGTTCCACAAGATTTAAGTAATGTGCGGATAGATAATATCCAGAAGATAGCAAAATGAATTGCTATTTCTTTCATATTTCTATACTACATACTAAAGATTGCCTATGTGCTCAGAAGAGTCACGTGAAAGATAAGCCATAAAAGTAATTTCCTTATGTTCATCTTCTGCTTTCGTTGAAGAATATTCTCTCGCTTTGACCACAATATATAGCTCTATCATAAATTTGAAACTTCAACAAGACTATTAAACCATAAAAGGTCTCAGAAACGAGAGATATTCCACCAAATGACATCACAACAATTATCAATAGTCACCACAAGCATACAAAGACAGAGACCACTCATATAATGAAGAACTCGAATTTTACAACTTATGTTCTCCATTAATAAAGTTTCAAGCTTGCACAAGAAATTGAATCAATAATTAGCCTTAATATTGGTCCACTTATAATTTTACCAATAAAAGCTTAATATCAAGTAAAGTTAAATAAACAGAAGCAATTTTTTGCGCTACAAATATACTTAAAATAACCCACCTCAATTTCAAAAGGCATAGATGGTGCTCCGTTAATGTTTTTAGGATTTAAGCGAGGCAAAAATATCTTCAAAAATGCCTTTCCACCTTTCCTACAAGGCGTCAAGAAAAAGTTTTGGTCAATCATAATTATCACAAATTTAGTTGATCCAACGACAAAGGTTTGACGATTAAAAGGCATCATATTTTGCAGAATGAATACCGATTATAATCAAATAAAAGGACTCGTTCTTTCATGGCTATTATCCGCAAGGAGCCAAGATTCAATAAAATAGCCTGTTCTCGTACCTAGCATAGACCAACACAAAAAACATAGTTGAATATACACCTCAATATAAACTGAGCGTAAAAAACATTTACACCGGCTTGAAATTTAAAGTTATTTTAAAGGATACATTTACATCTGTCTAAATCATTTACTCCAGAGCTAACTCAGACAAGAATAAACACACAAGCATAAAAAGATATAAATATGATCAAAGAAATGAAAATTACTTGGGATTCAGTGTATCTCATAAGAGAACAAAATAAAGGGTTGCCTTTTTAATTGCTAAATACTAAATTTCGACAAGCAGTATATGTCACTAATAAGGTAGTACAAAGCAATATGAAGCCAGTAAAAAACATAATAACATTCCAAAATATGATAAGGAAAACCGTAATACTCTGGACAGACTGAATTCTTGCCTTCGGAAGACCAATTTCAAAGAAGCAATTGAGCAAATTTCTTTCAAGATATAATGGAAAGATGGTGAAAGAGAGTTTACTTCCATAATTAGGGTTTTATTCTATTATCTCATGACCATGGTCTTAAGTGTAACAAGCATAGGACATAAATAATACACAGACCATAACCAAAACTGGGAATGTACCAAGTTTAACATTTCTGAAAACGAAAGAATCTGATTATAGACGAGTTTACATAAAAAGGAAGCTGAAATAAAAAAGGAAGAATAATAAAAATAGGAGAAGAGGAGGCAACTACCTTCATCCCACAATATCAAGATTCACAATGAGAGTAGAAGAGGAAGTGACAAACAAGATCGGGAAAAAAAGGAGAAGAATAAACGAAGCAGTGCTGGAAAAGTGGAAGTTTATCTTTTCTTTTAATGTGTTAATTTATTTTTACTTTCCAATACTCTATTTCATCCTCATTGTATTTTTGGATTATATTTAATGATTGTAAAATTTCTCCTTCCCTCAGTCAATCAATTCAACAGAATTATACATGATTCCCAGTTCAATGATCAGCCCCACTCTACATTAGCCAAATACCTGACCTCCATAACTGCAAGACGTGCATGCGATTTTTTTCTTGTTTGTCCTTAATAGGACATCTGCCTACTCGTGATGGACGGTAAATTTCACCACCATATACCAACTATGTTTTACAATGTTCAACCTGTATGCTTCAGAAGGGTGGCATTAAATGGGCAGGGAACATCAGGAAAGTCAGTAATCTCGATAACACAGTAGGCTAGACAAAGGATGAAAATTAAATCAGATTGTTTACATATAGGATTGAAAGATAGCTTTCTAAGTTTTTTAACGAATTTTGATAACATGGTGCCAGATTACTAACAAAAAGCATAATACTTCTACTTTTGCATTTTTTAGCAAAGGTCCTGCCTTCTAATGATAACCGCAAATTAACTTCAAGGCCTGTAAGACAAAAGCACAAAACATGTAAATTTGAAAATTTGGTGGTGGGTATTTTCTGATAACTTGAGCAATATTCCATGGTGTCGTGGAAGACAGATCCTTATCCTACCAGCAAAGAAGGCATTGAGTTGGTCAACCACAAGGATGGATCAACACTTCTGATATCTCGTAGACGAAGCCCTATCATAACGAAGTATTAGTCAGGAAACATCTGTAACAAGAAAGAAGAGCAAATGATATGCTCCTATAGCAGATATAATGGCAGCAAACAAAGAATAACATATAAAAAAGAGAACATCATGAAATAGCCACTGAGTGCACAGTCAAGATCAGTGTCAACACTAGAGCTTAATGTTGGCACAGAATCCTCAACAATGGGTTATGAAAAAAATTGCTGTTGATCATTAATATCCTAAACGTCCTAAAGTTCTGATAAATTCGCACTTGAAATTTAGAACATAAAATATACAAAATAAATTGAATACACTCCATTTCTGTCTACATCAAATACTATGACTTGTAACAGCACTAAAAGGCCATTGGCGTCTCACAGAAAAATCTATTCAATGCCTTATCCATAAATTAAAGAAAACACTAAAATATACACTTCATTTCTGTTGATCATAATGCATTTCTTATGTTAGTAATGAACTGAAAAAAGACAGCCCCGATTGAGTGGGCACATACTATTTCATAAAATTGACACACTGGTTCCATTAATCAAAATGAAATCATGTTATTGCAAAATATGCACGCCAAAAAGCATATGAATAATTATCATAAATGATCTAACCATATTAACTCATATTGGACCAGGTGATTCAGTTCACACTAGTCAAGAACAAAGTTGCAGATTTGAAACCTTTGCTTATGAAACTTAACTTGAATAAAGTGCTAACAGATGCACAACTGATTTACTGTACATAGTATCATTCAACTCATCCACGAATTTGTAATGTCTAGATGACATATAAATCATAATGCAAGATTTAATTTTGAAACTTCGCAACCAGAAGAGGACATATAAATCATAATGCATACAACCTTTGACGAAAACTAATATACTATTCAAGCACCAATGTGTTGGCAAACTACATCTAAGCAATATTCCATGTCATTAACCATATATTAAAACCAATAAAACAGGTAAAATTCCCACTGAATGATCTCCTTTTAAGCTTGCAAAGTACACTTTCGAAAATATGCAATTTATTCAAAGCAATGCAGAGCTGTAGATTACATTACGTGGTTGAAAATGGACCATTCAAAGCCTCCAGTAACGTGTAACACAGGTCAACAAATTTTCTGTTTCAATCAACACTTACCACTGGACTTCAACAGTTGCCTCCGATTTATTTTCTTTGTAGACATCACACCATCAGATCTTACTTCGACCACCTAAATGAAATTCAGATTTAATAAGCATAATGCACTAAGCTTTAGATGTCCTCAACATCTCACTCCAGAAACAATCAGATGACAGGCTCCATAGAATGAATGTTGTTACAATATTACACAAAATATTACGAATGGAAAGAACGAAATTCGGAAAGAATCAAAACAAAACATGGTGCAATCAATCACTCAAATGTTGAGTGGATGTATGAACCAAGAAATCTTGTCTAAGAAAGATCAGCATGCCATACACTAGGAACATTAACATACATTTCATGCCAATTATCATCAATCAATTACTATTGTTCTTCTCGCATTATTGGAGATCTACTGGGCTACAGTGCATTGGAGACAAAAATAATGGGTCAAGTATCACGAATAATGGTTAAAATGATCTAGGCTAATATTTTTACTTTATAGAGTTATCATGGCCAAAAAGAAAAGAAAAACCTCTGATTCAGTAAATCACTGTATCAGCAGTGAAACTAATGGCATTAGAAGTGTTTGATTTTATCTCTCGTTTCTTTATATGATTAGTACTTGTAACAACGTCAAACAAAAGGCACGATTGATGAGGTCCATCATCCTATTCCCCAGCAGACCACGACATCTAGAATTACCACGACTTTGGAGAGGGCTTATATGACTCTGTAATCATCAACGAGAAAAACAGGATTCTGATTCACATAAAAAGCCATAGGACTGGAGCCCAAGTAGAGTTCAAACTACTTCCAAATATAGGCTTATATTACACAGTGGACATTGTACCTCTTTTCATCCTAAACACCATAAAATAATTTAGGATTACCAGCATCAGTCGAAAAGAGAAAAAAAGGTTATTTCTACAAACACCAGAAGGTCAGATCTCTGAAGACTATATTAGAGACCAGGAATGGAAGCTGGTTGTTATGTTCTTTGGGAGAACAACACTCAAAGCTAGCTTTTAGAATGTCCTCTCTCAAAGCACATAAAAAATGGTATTAAACCCAGCCACAGTCTGTCAATCACAATTGTGCAGCGCAAGTGGTGAATCTACCATTCCAATGTTCGCACAGGAGTAGTAAAGACTAGTGAAAAGCCAGTCCGCATGGGCGACGTGGCTGCGGGGCATGGCTGTATATTATGGCCCATTTCCAAGTTATGGGACTTATCCCACATTTGAAATGTGAGCTTTCGACAAGGGGGGTTTCAGTGTTTGTGCTCTCCAACCTCACAAGCCAGCTCTTAAGATGAGTTTTTCCAAGTTACAAGAGACTAGTTGGTCAGAGGAAATCACTTTTTAGTGCAAACTTTTGCATACAATGAAGAAAGGCTGTAGTTCCCACTCTCGTGTCACGGTTTGGCAGATGCCTTGTCTTCTCAGGTACACATGTCATCCCCGAGCCAGGGGTGAGAGGATTCGCAGACTCTCAGTAAAGTGGAACACATATTTTCGTCTTCAAGGAATTCAATCAAGTGATCAGTAAACGTCTCAAACAGACCTCGTAAACCGGTTCTTTGATCCCCAGTGAGAGAGAATCTGAAGGCACTGCTGGCGTCTGAGTACCCTGCTCCGCCGCCACCCGCGTTTCGCGACCCTCCCCTTCGTGGGTGGAAGGGCTCCTCCGATTAACTTCGCGCAGTTCCTCCGCAGGCTCCCCACTCCCCTCCTCTCTCCCAACTTCACCTTTTTTCACCGTCCCACGGGAGCTGCTTCCTTTCTTCTCGTCTTGCGACGATCTAAGCCGCCACGAGAAGAGCCGCGCGGTGACGACGGGGATTACCCCCTTCCTTCTCCACCATCTGCGGCTCTGGATGGAAGAAGAGGGAGACGTAGAGAACAGCGATCCGAAGACGACGAAAGCGCCTGGGCGGCGATGGCAGAGGCTAGAAGATGACTGTGGCTCGTGAAGGAGAAGCAGGGGGTTGAAGGCGAGGGACAGCCCGCCAGCTGTGCCCGCCATGCTGCTTCCCGCTCGAAATCCACACAGAGAGGAGAGCTAATTGCCCCTCGACAGATGTAAGGGCGAGAGCCAGAGCCAGAGCAAATGCGAGAAAGAAAGAGGGGAGAGAGAGAGAGAGAGAGAGATGGAGAAATTTTAGTCGTGTCCGTACTCGGCCGCTCGCGGGAATCCAAGCTTTAACCTCGACGTTCTGCTCAACAGGAGGCTCAGATCTTAAGTAATTTTCTAACCACTTTTCAAAATTCCTGATGATCTTAAAAATAATTTTAAAAAATAATAATAATATTTTCATTTTCCCTTTTCCTCACCTAAAATCGTGTTTGCTGCTTCACCTTTTTCCTCGCCAATAATTTAATTAACTACAACTTATAATCTATTCTCTGGTACTGCAAAACCAACCCAAAAATGTATTTTCGGAGATTGAATTTAAATATGGGTTTTTTATTTTTTTATTGTTAAAAAAATAACCCAATATTTAATTTTTTATATTTTATGTAGCTTATTTAGCCAATGCGTTACCCCGACCAGTATTATCAACCCAAAGTTGATAAAACATAGTGTATATGTGCCAAGTGAACCACTACCTTGTCGTATCCTGGGCTCTCTCTGGAAACGAGACCGGATCGACTTCAGCAAGATTCAGCATGAGATATGTCACACGTGGCAGCTTCCAATGGATGCCACGGGTTCTCTCTCACCCAATCTAATTTTTTGGGCAGGAGGCAGTATTTTTAATCTTTAAAATAAAAATAAAAATATAAAGAGCCATTTCTGCCATTCAAGTTATTTTCTAATTTTGGGCAAAACATATACATCTTTGCAATATATTATGGTTCGGTTGTTATTTACACATAATATTATTTTTGTGGGAGTCAAATTTAATATTTTTTTTCTTCCACATGGCTCGATGTGATTGGTCGAGGTGAGTTTTATTCTCTCCTAAAAAATATTATCTTCTGGGTTTGTTAAAATCATTTATTTTATAAATTTATCGAGAAAATTCTACAGAGGTAACTCGAATATATTCAAATAAATCTTTTTTCTTCCTTGCCACCAGCTTCCCGGCGTGACTTCCAGCAACCATCGACGAAGCTCCTCAGGTGGTTGCTCCTTTCCGCTCCTCAGGTGGTTGCTCCTTTCCGCTCCTCAGGTGGTTGCTCCTTTCCGCTCCTCAGGTGGTTGCTGTCGTCTCCGTTGTCTCCCCTCCCTGTTGCTACGGCCCTGTCGTGGGGATGGAGAGGATCCCCGCTGCCTGCGCCATGAACTGGAGTATCGAGCTTGAGAAAGGCATTCGGTCAAGAAGACAAGGTCCGTACTGTTTGAAGTCGATCTCCACCTTGTTCTCTCGGGGCGAACTTGGATAGCGGCGTGAAAGGATCTTGGCGTTCCGTTTTGTGCTTTCCCTTGGTGTTTCTCTGTGGACGCTTCACCCGACTAAGCGTTCCTGCTTCTTGATCCTTCCTGAAATAGTCTTGAGTATGCGGTTTTTCACTGGTGACCTCGGTTTTCACGAAGAGAGAACGGGTTAGAATATTCGCATTTGTTTTTTTTCGTTCAGATTTCCATCTGAAATAAAATCAGTCTGGTTTCATGATATTATCATGCAAGCAGACAGACTTATCTTATTGGCCGGTTCTAGTTTCTACGATCACAGCATAAGAAATTGTCAATTCCCAACTTAAGTCTGCTTTTTCTGTGCGTGTAAGCATGATATGGTCCGCTCTTATTCCTTGGACTGAAAGGTTTTTATTTTTTTGAGTCTGCTGGGAGGTTGACAAATTGTTATGTTCTTGTTCAATCGGTTCAGGCCATCCCGAAGAGGTGATAGAGCAGATTGGACCCAGACTTCTCTCGTGGAGCCGGGAATCATGTGCCACTTTGTCTGCGTCAAAGATGTACGATTTGATACCTGGGGAGGAGAGAAGTTTTGCAAACACGATTCTTACACGGCTTGTGGATGCTTTTCGCTCTGGCAATAACCGGATGAGATCTTCCATTTTGAAGGTTTTTCTGTTGGAGTTAAAGCACATTAAGGACAAGGGTAAGAGGTATAATGGCATTCTCTCGAAGAAAAGGTTACCAAACTACTTAGAATTGTTAAAAAGGCTGTGGTTGGTTTTTGATACTGGTGATGTCGAAGCAAGAGCGTTATCATTACGCCTTTTGGGTTGTTGGGCTCCCTTAACACATGATAATGCTGATGTGCAGAATATAGTCATATCGAGCTTGCAGTCAAAGCATGTTTTGGAGGTGGGATGAGTATGTTCTTATAGTATTCTTTTCCCTAACCAGAGGTTTTGAAATGTATAGAGAACTTTATAACATACAATATTATTCGTTCTAATATATTGTATGCAATATTTCCAGGTGAAAGCATCTCTATTTGCTTGTGGGTGTCTATCTATATTGTCAGAGGATTTTGTTCGCATTATCCTTGGCATATTGGTAGACGTTTTCTGCTCGGTGACGGTTCCATTAGATGTAAAGTTTGCCACAGCTCGTGCTTTCGGTGAAATTCAATGCTCTTCACTCCTGGCCTGTAGAGCCTACAAGGTGCAGAATTTCAACAGTGTATTATGTGATTTGAACATCTAGTGAACAAGTTTCCATTCTTTGATGGGCCTTGCGTGTCAGAATAATTATTGAAAAACATTTTCTGTTCTGAGTTGCCTGAACATCTGCATTTTGTATCCTTCACTGAGTCTGTTTCTTCTCAGATGAAGCTATTCTTGGCTTTGGTTTCTTTGAGTTGCATAACAATAAGATATTTTTGGGCATTTGAACTCGGATTCATTCATATGATCAGCTTGCTATGTGCCATTGTTTATGATGATGCGATGAAAGCTGTCAAGGAAAGTTTGTGTCACCATTATAATTGTGCACACGGGTAACTTCGATGTTGAAGACTCCATAATGGGGCTTGAATAAGTTATATGGTCTGTACAAATTATAACAGCAACTGAGTTATTAATACTCTTATAATCTTTGAAAGTGGAGGACACTCACCAATTATTAAATGAAAGGATTTAAGGAAAATACTTATCTGGGAAGATCACCACATCGTGATGTGTTTAAATGTAAGCAATCTTCCTTTAAAATTATTATGGACCGATGATTCTGCACACCATATTAGAAACCTCACTATTCAAGGACAAATAAACTTGGAGAAATGGCAACATTATTTGCTGAAAAATTCGAATGAGTGGTGGCAGTCATGCCCCTGGAGTGATGTTGTTGGTGATGTATTAATTTTTGCAAATTTGGGTGGGAGGACAGTTAATTTCAGTTTTCATTTCTGTTTGGCATGTAACATATTGAATGAATGTTTTGGGAATTTGCACTTGGAGTGAGGAATTCGAAGCCAACTCATAGAGGAAGGTTAGTTGTGTCATACGAAAAATTATCAGGAGAAGCAATAGTTCAATATATAGAGGGATTTGTTGACCAAACCCGATGTGCGAACTAGCAGTTTTAGTTTTTTTTCAGTCATAATCTTTAAGAGGTTTATGAGGAAGGTTTTAGGGAGACACCAGCTGCTCTATTTAGCAGTATATGTGGATTTTACTCAAATACGACCTGCATATGTTGACACATATTCTCACTAGAGAGTTCAACACTTCTGATGTAGTCCACATTGGCAACATTGGTTTTTATTTGGAAATTGTAGGTATCATGTTAATTCTAATTTTGCATGATGCTTCATGAGATTTCTGTTGTGCTTTGGGACCAAGAATGATGCTAAGTTCATAGTCTCATTCTTATTTTTTATAAATATTTGCTGTGTTGCATTTTATCTATGGGTTCCTGTTTTTGGTTGTTAGATGTATAATAGACAGTCAATTCCATAGAGCAATCAATTTGGCTTATCATCCTTTGTTTCAACAACTCATGATACGCCTGTATCTTGACGGTGGTGGAATACATGTTGCAGATCTGAACTGATTGTTGACTTCAGAAGATAATATTTGTCATATTATAACTATTTAGTACCTTAATCATGTCATTTAATGTCAGATTCGTTATATTCTGATTGTTTAACATTTTCTTTCTAGAGTGGTAAAAATCTGGTGCAGGGTGTACACTTAGAGGGCTATAGAATTGAATTGCTCTCCTCTCTGACAAGGCTTGCTGTCAAGTCTGTTATTTTAATTCCTGAGCAGGTACCTACCCAATTTGCCTTAGACCACTATAAAGAAAACTTTCCGTTTTCCCCGATTCATTCTGCTAACTGTTATACTTTGAAGTGATTTTACAATTCTATTTTTCATCAAAGGATTTTTTATGAGAACCATTTAACTTGTCGTAATAATCAAGAAAAGAGACAAAGTTTATGCTCTGAAACAGTTGGGAGGATAGCAACCAAATGTGCATATTAATCGGCGTAAAGCTTGTGAAGGTATTGCAAGAAGAGCTTGATGGGAGGTTCTTCAGAAGTACTCGTCGAGACTTCCAGGTTGCGTTTGAGGGAGTTCAAGGGGGCTAGTAACATCCTTTTTCCAAGGGGACACCACTGATGTAGAAGGCAATCAGGATAGAAGAAATAGTCTCGGTTCTCGATTCTGGATTGAGGGGGTTCATATGGTAGTCGGGGATACTTTTATATCTTCTTTTCAACCAGTTGGTGCTCTTAACCTGCTACATTGAAAGAAACACTGCAGTATCATTACATGTCATTACATAATTTTTTGAACGCTTCCCTATTTTTTTTAATTTAACATTATGTGAACAGAATTCATTTGTTGTTTTCCTTGGGTTCTTACTTTGCTGATCTTTGCAGGTAGATTTTCTTTTGACATTCATGGTTGAAGGATGCTCCTCTGTCACAAAATCTATGGCCCTTAAATGTGTTCGTTTTCTGTGTTTCCGGGGATTCTCTCATTTTTCAGCCAAAGGGAATGTTCTGTCAATATTAATGGATAGAGTAAATGATCCTGAACTTCCACTTGCTCTACAATGTGATGTCTTGAAAACTCTGCGTCAGGTAATGTATAGTAATTTGACTACGATTCTTGTCAATACCTAAATTTTATCAATGCAGTCTGATGCATGACTGATTGTAGCTTTTCAGTGATCTACCAAAAGTATGCCATGAGGATACACCTCAGTTTAGAGGTCTGGTTATGTGTGTTCAACTTGCATCCCAATCTCCGCACATTTCAAAGAGGTACTTGTCCCTTGGTTTCCTTGTTGATATAGTCTGTAATACCAAAAGGGCAAGAAAGGGAAATTATTCCTGCACTGAGAAACTGCCCCTTGAGTATGTTAAATCTCAATCTCAAGTAAGCACGGACGAATTTCCTGCTGTAAATGGTGCTGATTCGCTGCTGAAAGATGTCTTTTTGCTTCTATTTGATGACATCGCTTCTGTGCTGAATAAATCGGATAATGGGACTATGAGGAAAACAGAATTTGTTGAGGATACAGGATGGAGTGATAATGGTTATGATATAAAACAAAAGTACAGAATTCTCTCCAACTACGTTCTACGGCTTGTACAAGGATGCCCAGCATTAAGTGTTGTGGTTCTAAGTAGATTCAGAAGTTTGATTGAGGATATGGTCTCTCAGATGGAAATCGAACTTGACAAGTCAAACCCATCTTTTGAAAGCCAAGACTATGCACAAGATGTCCCAGAGACAATTATATCATGCATTCGCTGTTTTGTTATCCCTTGTCTCAATCTACTTGATGAAAATGGTCAGACTGGTACTGAAGTATGTGCAGTTGTCGAGCTTCTCATGGATAGTTTACAGAAGGTTGACTTTTGTAATTATGATCCTCTTGAAATGGTCTACTTCCGCCTCTTTTCATTAATATCTCGTTGCGAGAAGTCCGGTCGCATGCAAATGATCTGTTCGTCAGATGCTTATTTAGACCCAAATATTTCTGAAGATATCTTGTGGGTTGAACCTGAAAGATTTGCCCTTCGATTAGCAAGAAAAATGATGACTAGAAATAAATACTGGATGGTTTATAAAGCTGGAAAATATTCATTGACTGAAGGGCTCTGGTTTGCAGCTACTTATGCATTTAAGAATTTAATAGCCAAGGCAAAATCTGATTCTTGCCGTTCCTGGTTAAAATGTCTGATGTTATTTTCTGGCGCTGAAACTGAAATCAGGTTACTTCTGTTTCCAGAGCATGGTGCAAAGCTAGTCAATGAACTATGCTTTGACATTGACCGTGAAAGGCCTCATGAGGGTATTGAAGAAAGAATGGGAAGCTGTGAGGGTGGAATTGGTTTGATGCATATGCATAGAGAAAAGCTTTCTCGGGTTCATAGAAGAATTTGCTCTTCCCAGGAAATCCTATCAGTCGTCGGGACCCAGAAGGGTGGCTTCTGGTTCCAGAACTGGTTCCTAAACCTCAGAGGAAAGGGTCTTGAAATCCTTCTGGAACTACTTGGGCATCTGGATTCATGCTCTCGTGGGGAGGGAAACCTGAATAAACATGTCCCCTCAGGGAAAAAATTGCCCATCAGTTCTTCACTTTCCACGGATGATGTTGACTTTTTATCATCAAAGTTATCTCATATTTCTCTTCAGTTTAATAAGTTAGCGAGAGAATATGATTTTATGATTGTATCTTTCATGGATATGGACATCAAAAGTTATGCATTGATATCAAGGCTTGCACTTTATTTTTCATTGCTGGCATATTGCACTGGTTTTCCTCTGTACTTTTGTGATTCATCTGGTTCTCATAATACAGCCAGCAATTTAGGACGCTTTGAGAACCCTTCAGGTTTGCTTCTTCTTGAGGATCTATCCGGAAGATTGTTTGAGATGGATTATGAGAGTGATTTAGATCTCAAGGGGCGTCTGCCATTTTCTGGGTGGTCTAGGGGATGCTCACAGTCCAGAAAACAGACATCTAGCCTTAGCAGCAGAGATACGGATACTCTATCTGTTTGTAGGTTTGCCACTTGTGGGATTCATCACTTGCTGAAGGAGGATAAAGAAGATAAAAGTAGAGAAGAATTTTGCGACATATTCAGCAAGGGTCTACACCTTTTGAATACTACTCTTGTGAAGTGGATGGGTTTACCTTCCCAGATCCCACGATATTTCTTCAGATTAGGGTATGTTTTCAGAAACATTTCTATTTATCGTGAGAAATATATTGATGTCAAATCAAATGTCAAGTTTGTGGCTTGAGAAAAAATGAGAATTTATGATGTCAAATCAAATCAAATATATTGATGGCCCATGGAGTCATCATCTTGAAAAGTTGGAGGTCAAATGTTCTATAATGATCAGATCAATATAAAACAAATGTGCTAACTTTTCGTCTTATTTTACAGGGATTGCATTGGTGCTGAGCTCTTTCTCCTCAGCGACCAAACCAGAAACTCAAATGAACTCTGCATCTTGGTGGGAAATCAGTTGTGTCTACATCTGTGTATCCAGATGAGAAATATTTCACCTGTGTACCGTGGTAGGATTTACAAGATATATTGCATCCTTACTATCGAGTCACCTAAACCTGTTCCCGAAGGGAAAAAGAGTAGTAAAGTCCTGACAGGGTTTCAACAGTGGAAAACTGAGGAAACTATGAATATCTACGAACTGCTAATGTTGCATATGAGGAATGAAGCAGAGAAGAGACAAAATATGCGAGCAGTTCCTACGGATGACGTCGACTTGGTGACCGCGTATGTTTGCGTTGAGCCCAATACTCTGGGACAGGGTTTCTCTACATGCTTGCTTGATGTCTCAGATTTTCCCGAGGGTGTATATCAGATCAGATGGCACAGCTGCTGCGTTGATAAGAGTGATCACCTGTGGAGCTTGCCTTCTTTTAATAATGGGATTCCTTTCACCGTCAGATGTCCTGTTTAGTCACATTGCTACATCTTTCTGGCCGTGAACAGAGAGTACCTGGAGCTCGTGCACTAAACGCCAATCCAGCATTGGAAAAGGGGCTCCTATCTGGGAATGCTGCAGGTGTGTGGTCTCTCATCCATCATTTCTCTTCTCCAGTGCATGAAAACAAAACCCAGATACGTACTGGGAACAAAAGGGATTCAATTGCCCATCTTATTGGCTTCATTTCACAGAGAGCTTTCTCTCTTGATTTGGATGCTCCTGAGCTGGATCTCTGGTGTGCTACCATGCACCCTGATGAAAGGAGCCATGGGTCAAGAGCTTCAAGTTGTCATCACCAACATGCATCACGGGCGGCCCATAACAAGAAACCTTCAGTTTTCTGGTGGGGGCCTTTTATGCAGAGAATAGAGCACACTGCGCACAATATAAGAAGGCCCGGGATGGTTTCTAGAATCCGTCTCATGGCCATCGGCGCTGAATTATTCTGCTTTGGGAAACCTGGTTCTGTGCAATGGATTTTTTTTTTTTTTTTTTTCATCTTCTGATCCATTTTTCCTTCTTTCTTTTTTTTCCTTATATCGAGGAAATCATCCAGTTGACTCCCGTGCGTATCTGGCTGCTGCGGGTGAGGGACCGTGTGTGGGTCCCACTCAAAAGCCCAGACCCTATGATCAATGGATTCACACCTTTCTTGCTCCTTGAAGTGATGTCCTCGGTCAACTATCCAAGAACTACCCCACCCCCCTTGAAGTCAATCTTATTAAACCGAGAGGAGGAGGAGGAAGAGGGGGTGGGCCAAAAAGGGGTCAGATAAAGTAGTAAGAAAAAGGGTCTTTTTTTTTTCTTCTAGGAAATCGTATCCGGCTATGGATCGGTGGCAGATGGTAGTCCCGTTGGGCTTATGAGGAAATCTAGTGGGCCCAGGCCCATGTATGAGAGAGATCCACCTCGAACTGCAGGAGCTCCCAACGTCGTCGGCTGGGAGAGAGCGAGAGGGAGAGCGAGAGGGAGAACGAGAGAGAGAGAGAGAGAGAGAGAGAGCGCTGCCATGCCGGCGATCGAGCTGAAGCTATCCCGTTCCAACCGCATCTATCGTCCATCTGTACGTCCGATAGGCTGCTTGCCAGTTGGAGGGACAATTTAGAGGGAGTGATGAGGACTGTTTGTTTTGGGAAAATTCGTACCAGGCCTTTTATATCTACGATTCTTTGTTGGTTTCTGCAGGAGGCGGTTGAGGGGAAGATCGTGACGACGTCGTCGGCTCCCCTCTCACACCAAGACATCCGCGTCTCCATCTCTGGTTCAGTCAATCTTCAGGCATGTTATACGCGCCGCGCTGGATGTGTTTGTTGCTAATGTTCTCGTACTCTGACCTTCCTCAGTTCTTGTTTTCTACTGGCTGAAGGTCCGAGGAGGGTTGGCGGGCGTGGTCGACTCCCTGTACAGCGTCGTCAAGCCGATTTATTTAGTGTGAGTCACCAGCCGTCTCTCCCTCGCTGAGTTCCTCCGGCGTCCGTTTTCGTCATTTCTTATGGTGTTTCTTTCTTTCTTTCCGGGACTAAATTTATTATAAAATAGGGAACGTCGATATTGTCCAGACAAGTCTGCTCTGTTCAGAAGTCACCTGTTTTATGAGCCGAGGATTGAAGTTGATTGATTGGACTAGGATCTATTCTACTAGGTAAAGAATGTAAGGTTGTCGGAGGGTTAGGCGGTTAGTATAGTTTTTCATCTCCCTGGTATAGACGCGAGAGATGATACGAAGTAGACATGCCTTGAAAGTACGCTACGCTGAGTATACTAAAATCCTTATTTTTCTTTGAAATTTAGTCAATAAACTGCACGTCTCAATCTCAAATAGATGCGCCACTGTGTGAACAACAATGGGGCCTGCCGCCTGAAAGTCAGCTCTATAAAAGAGTGTTTTTCTTCCAGCTGTCACCACTGTGCAGCCAGGCACATATGGGTGGTGTTAGTGGAACTCCAAGTCCCGAATTTATTTTAATTTAAATTCTCTTTTGATTGGTTTCCCTAGAGATACCTCATTTGGATGATTATTGATTAGTTTTTTCAAATTTTGGTTCATTAGTAATATAATGTAATATTTCCTAGTTGTCGAATGGATGCTCTTGCTTATTTTTCGTTTTTGCACCTTATTTTTCAGTTTTCGAGCCTCTCACTTCTGGTAAATTTGCCTTTCGTTTTGAAATCAGGAAGAATAGCGTCGTGGTTAGTTCATCTGGAAAACTCGCTCCAGGAACCAATGAGGTGTTGTATTAAACTTTAATGTCCCTTTTCTTTACATCTCATGCTTCATACTTCGCTTTCATTGTTTCATATTGTCGGCCATCTAGAATGAATGCTGCCTTCAATAAAAGTTAGCTCGAATGACGAATCAGATGGGTAGCAATATACAGTTAAGAAATATAGCTTTGTCAGGCAGAAATTTGTAACATTCTTGATCAAAGCGTACACTATATCTTAAGTAAGATGAAATGATCGTAATCTGGAACAGATGTAGTAGTTCTAAGACCGTGTCTGAGCACTGTTAGATATATCAGGTGATTTCGCAACAAGGTTGAGCCTGAAATCGTTTTTGTTTACGTTATATGCACTCGTTCTTCTCTTAAGTCACAAAAATGTACCTAATCTCTTACACGACACATCATACCTTATGGTTGCATATTTGGATCTATTCCTTTTAGACAGTCGTAGTTTTTGAATTGACCTGAGTGGGAGTCATGTTCATGGGACCATGCATTTGTGGAAGGGACATTTCAACGGCATCTTTTTAAGTGACCTGGTTCAGTCACAAACTGCTTACGTTGACCAAAACGCTGGGTAGTGATATCTTTCCAGCTTTCAGGAATTCTTCATACTATCCAGTTTACAAAACACAATTTCCAGCCTGCACCATGTCAATTATTGCCAGTTGCAGCTATTTCATCCTTTCTCTATTTTAATTCTACCAATGAGGTTTATTTCCTGCCGTATTTGGTTGGCTTGTTCTGATCTCATTCCATGTTCGATTTATATTTTACTTGACGCTAGTTTTTCTCTCTACGGTTTTCTGATGTGTTACAAGAGTTGATGCGTAAGTATACGCAGTTAGGAGTTTCTCATAATGTCCACAATGATGCCTTCTACATTGAGAAATAAGAGGGTGGTAAGGGAAAAGAGCTGCCAATACAGATTATTTTACAAATGATTTCTGGGGAGCAACATCTGAGGCTTATACGACTAGAATATGCTCTACTATTTGAAGTAGACTTTGAATTTCATGTTTTGAATCATTGGAGAGCAATGCTGATGCTGGAAATTACGAAGCACAACACTAATGGTGTTTTAGGCATGTTCCTCGACTAGAATTTTGTTTCGTATATGATTCGTCCTTTGATTTAAAGAAACAAAAGCTTACATTGCAATTTAGGTCCGAGCATCAGTTGCTCCAATTCTAAACGACGCTATGGATTTTGAAATTTATTTAATTTCACCACAAGCATCCGGCATTATTTCTGGGTTAGAAAATTGAGGATGATAACAAAGCAGGAAAGTTGTAGGGTTCAAAGACATAACTATGGATCATAGTTTGTTCCGTATGAAAAAATCATTGAGGTACGTGAAAAATATGCGTTAAAAGATATCACTGCCTTATACAGTCATGGCTTTGCCTTTTTATACACGGATAAGATTGGATAGCATTAATTAACAAATGGCTGTTAGAAATTGAGAGGTCAAAAACCCATTGATATGATTACCAGAGATGCTGCCTGTTCTCATCTAATCCAAGAAGCCAAAAAGTGGAAATATCTCATTCAATAACTGTTCAGCGAGGTTAGAATACAAACCTAATTATAAACTTAAAGAGGATCTTGTTTGATAGGTTTCTTCTGTATCTTCTCTGATGGGGTCTCTTCACTTGGGCATCCTTGTTTATGTTGCGGTTTAAATTGTGATGTATTGCAGATTTGTAGGCGATCTTGTAATTTGGTTCATTTATCTTTTTACAGATGAATATTTTTATTTACTACTTCCGACCAAAACATCATTCAAAGAATTTTTTAAAATATGTTTTGAAAGAAAACTTGTTTTCCTTTATCTTAAGGTGGAACACATTCTATTTTCTTTTTGAATTTTTTAACGTCTCATTCACTGATAAATATATGACCTACGTGATAGTTTAATGCTGACATTTGAAAAATAAACTTAGATAAGGGTTGAACAGTATTTCCAACAATTCAATTTTTTTATGTATGGGACTTGAATTTGAATTTCTTTTGCTATTTCACCTTTATTTACCTTTTAAATCATTCTTCAAATTGGATTTTATGTTTATTTCTCAATGTTCTGTTTGAATATTACAGTGAAGATTTTATTTTTTTTATATGATCTACCTTGGAACAAATTTTTCGACACATTCTGCTCAATTTCGTCATAATCATCATCGTTACCATCCTCCAGAACCCAGTTAATTGGGGTATTGACAGTGGTGGACAGTCATCCTACTCCTATCCACCCTCTCACGTGGTTCATCTATCTTCATCATACTTAAGTCCATTTATCTCCATTGCTTGTATCCAAGTTCTTTCGCTCTTTTTCTTTCCCCTTTAGAACCCTCAGCAAAACCGTTTATGTCTTCACAATTGCTGTCACTTTATGGATATTTCCGAATCATCTAAGATGGGTTTCAGGGGCTTCCTGTGGTTTTCACATTTGCAGTGTCTTCCCGAGTATATAGCGGAAAATTCCCTGAAAGCCTTCTCAGACTTTATATCTTTCGTATTTTCCAGATACCATTTTCCATTACTTTGAGAAAAGATGATGCGAAGGACATTCAAAGGTTTTATGACACATTTCATGGAGGAAATATCACTATTCAGGTAGATATTTTCATAGGCAAGCTCTGTTATCTCTGATTCTACTGTTAAACGTTGGTTTTTACTCTTTCACTCACCATTCTGGGAGCTGTGGGATTTCTAATTGTTTTTTTGATAGTATTTAATAACTGCAGATATAAGTAGGGGTTATCTTCACAAATCTTTATCTGCCACTAAAGAATTCATCGTTCAAAGGGATAAAGGTAATAACATATGAAGTACTTAAATATCATTATTTCTTTACATCATGAAATACAATTTACTTTTCCACTATTTGCATTTCTATTCCAGGCTCTGTATTGGACCTGCCTGTTGCAGCTGACATTGTGAGCTTTTATGTTACGGAAGACACTCAGAAGCACCAATTAATCCCCGAGCTTACCACTGGTACACATATAATGCTTTGTTATATTTGGGCCTTATTTCTCTCTTGAACAGATCCGTTAATTTCTGAGTGGATTGCTGACTGAGATGCAATAATTTGCTGATTACATTTTTTTTTATTTACTACCTTTGGAGTGCTTGCTACTGCTGTTTATCTAATGCTCAAGTAAATAAATGAACAACCGTACCTTTCTACCGATGTGAGATGCACATCGTATGTAACATGCCATGATTCTCTAAGATAATACATGGAGCCTTCTAGCTTTTGGCTGGTCCCTTTTGGAGCGAAGTAATTTACTTTTCTTTATTTTTTATATTACACAATTTATTAGAACTACAAAGGAATTTTGTGGTTCTCAGGATTTTCTGGTTGTTCATGTTGCCTATTGGTCTAACCCGGGGAAAGGTTTGCATTTTTCCCAAATATAGGGGAAAGAAGGAGCGAAAATTTAGCCCTTCCATTGCTTTTTTAGATAATACATTTTAACAGCAAGGTAGTTTCTTAAATAGATTATATATTTCCTTATATTCATGCGGATAGGAACCAACTATTTGATAGCTATATTGAATAACCTTCCTTTTTCTTTAGTTTCTATGTTGTCAGCGTTGTTTCCTTTGTATTCATATGAAATTGCTTTCAAGCAGGACGTTTCCGGGTAACAGGGAAGATACCAACATCATGCTCTATTTCAGATCCTCTTATTGGGGAACTAATTGTTGAATCATCTGCTGTACCCATTAGCTCCATAGATATACAATTACTTCGTGTTGAGTCTATTCTTGCTGGAGAAAGGATCGTGACCGATACATCTGCTGTTCAGACCACGCAGGCATGTATCCATTGTGCTCATCTCTGTGGTCATTCGGTACAGCTAACATGCATGTTCGTATTATACTGTAGATTGCTGATGGTGATGTATGTCGATCGCTTGTTCTTCCAATTTATGTCATTCTTCCCCGGCTTTTAGTATGTCCTTCATTGGTAGCAGGGTAAGTGCTATTATCTAAATAATTCTACGTGATATTTTTGCGAAAGTAGTGGTCTGTGATATTGTTTAGAACGGTTTATTATTTATTTTGTTTGTTCTTGTATTTTTTCTTCAATGCTTTGGTTTTAACCATTATTATTTTTTAAAAGTTCGATTATGATTGTTCATGCATTTCACGGATTTTATGAGGAACGTATAAAACCAATTACACAGCTGAGTGACCTGAATAAAATTTCTATCTTGAGGCTTCTTGGGATCAATAACTACCTTATGGAAAGTACCATGAAGAATTTCTCGGGGGGCTATTTTCTACTTATCACGTACTAGTTGGTGTGTCCAACTATTATTCTACTTTATTAATGTCCGCATTCAAGATAGTGTTGTTAGGCAGAGTCCTATCAAAATTAACAAAATCAGACAAGGTGGAGTGACTTGTCGACCTACTCGGTGCAATGTCCTGTGTGGTATGTGACCGAGAATATCCTGTCATCTGATTTCTATGAACATAGACTCGTCTGGGCATTTCATGGTCAGAATGCTGCAAATCTGGTGCTGTATCCGTATTTTTCATTCGCATGGAGTTGTTAGTTTTTGTAACCAGAAACTAGCAAACGGCCATGTGTATTGAGAAACGGGGGAAAATAATGCATTGGGAGATGCTTGAGAGGGGGAGAAACAAGACGCATTTCTTTGTAGCTGGATGGTCTATACTTAACAGATACCATTCAACGTAAAGTACTTCTCTTCATGGAATTTACGAAAGACAAAAACTTAGAAAGCCCATTAGAGGAATAGTAGAAGAGGATGATCACCAGAAGAGGAATAGCATTAGAAGATGATTGTCAATACATTATTAAGAAACTATCAGTACATTAGAGGAGTAGCAGAAGAGGATGATTACCCTGTGCAGATATATCCTTCGATTTTGTGTAGTGATGCCCACTTTTTCCTATATTATCATCTCTATTTATGTAATCATGCGTTTTTTTTTCGAGATATTGTGTCATCATACCCCAAATATTTGATTCAGTTCCTGTTCCTCCAGATAAGTCGGTCAGAATATGATAGATTCCCTTGTGCTACCAGAAGGTTCAGAATTGACTCCTTTGAAAATGATGATTATTATATCATTCCTTAGAAAATGCTAAATACTTAAGAATGGCAAAACTCGAGGAAGTGAGAGAATTTCTTCGTTGAAGGTCCATCATTAGTTCATTAAATATAGAATTATGTCTTGGCAGCGGCATATCTTTCTTGATATGTGGGCCTTGATACCGTTCAAATCAACCACAGCCTTTAAGGTTGATCAGCACTCATACTTCAGCGGTTTTATGCTCTTGTATTTACATGATGCGTGTGTTCTCTTTTTGATGGTTGCTTTAACTTAAATGCAGGCCTTTCTCAGTTGAGTTTCAGGTTTCCATCGTCATCACCTTCCAATCAGAGTTGTCCAAACTCTACCCTAAATCTGACCTCAGAACTCCCAGGCCTTGGGTATGCGTCAATTAACCATTTTTTTTTTTTTTTTTCCCTTCTGATGATAAATTTCCCTTTGTAACTTTGTACTATCGTGTTCAGTTGGCGATGCAGACCCTGCCTCTCAGGATATGCTGACTCACTAGAGTGGGAAAATACCTGTAGGCCCCTGTCCGAGCCTTGCTAATATTGCAAAAGAGATGGATCTTCGTAAGGTGATATAGTTGGTCTAGCACTAATTTTTTTTGTGTACCTCAAGTTTATATTCCATCCCGATTTGTTTCTACAGTGTGAAACTAATTGTGTGATAAAAAATTATTACATTGATAAATAAATGATAAGTGGAAGCAGATGGTTGTATAATTTAGATGTGATTATTCGACTGATTTCATTTAGCTTTGAATTGAACTGATTGATGTACCCTGAAATCAGATATTGTAGATGGTCTTGTGTTCCACATACTACTGTCGTTGTCTGTTCTGGCAAAATTCAGATTTGATTCTTTGGTGATAAGTCGTCTCAGAGTGATCTTATATAGCTCAAATTAATTATACCACCACTGAGAAAAAGAGTTGTTGGCTGTGATGTTTGCTTAAGAAATATTTCAACGACTAGCATTCAATTTTAATTGCATTAATGGAAGAGTTTACATAAGTTGGCCAGGTTTGATAGATATGGGAATATCTGTCTAAGTAGCATACATGAGCAAGAAAAAAAGGCTGCCGGATGGTGACGAAGAGATGCATTCAGAAGCAATGGTGAGGAATGAAAAGTAAAGCATCGGTTTCAGATACTTGCACAGCAATCAGAAATGAGCTCTTTGTTCTATGTACATACATGTCGCCTACTTTCCACCGTCGACCAAAAGGTAGAAGAAGAAGAAGAAGAAGAAGAAGGGCTAAAACACGAGGTAGAGTGGCCGCCCCTCCTCACCTCACCTCTCACCAGTGGAGCGAAGAACAAGGAAAGGCTGAATAAAGATTGCTCCTTGCGTTACCCACTGGCGTGGGGTGTGGTGGCCCTGCTGGACCACTGGTGCATTACCGTGTCCGGCGAAGGAGGCTCATCCACTTTCTTCAGCAAGCGCATCTCGTCGATGGTCGTCTTCGTAGGCTCCTCCATCTCCCCCGTCCTCTCCTCCTTCGCATGGTCGTCCCCGCTCTCCACCCTCCGGAGCACCTCCACGACCTCGTCCATGGCGGGCCTCATCTCCTTCTCCCTCTGCAAGCACCTGAACGCCAACTCCGCCACCACCGTGATCATCCTCTTCACTTCCCAGTCCGTCTCGAAGCCCAGCTTCGGGTCCACCAGCTCTGCCAGATCGCCGCTCTGGATCTTGCCGATGGCCATGCTGGAGAGGTTGATCTCGTGCCGGCGCCGGGTGATGTCCACGGCGGGCATGGAGGAGATGAGCTCCACGAGCACCACGCCGAAGCTGTAGACGTCGCTCTTGTCCGTGAGGTGGTAGCACTGGTGGTACTCGGGGTCAACGTACCCGGGCGTGCCCTGCGGGGCGGTGGAGACGTGGGTGGCGTCCACGGGGAAGAGACGAGAGAGCCCAAAGTCGGCGACTTTGACGTGGAAATTGCCGTCGAGGAGGATGTTGTTGGTCTTGACGTCGCGGTGGATGATCTGGGGCTCGACGGCGTGGAGGTAGGCGAGGGCGGTGGCCGTCTCGAGAGCGACGCGGAGGCGGAGGGGCCAGGTGAGTGCGCCGCGGGGGGCGAGATTGCCGTGGAGATGGTCGGCGACGGTGCCGTTGGGGACGAACTCGTAGACGAGGAGGAGCTCGCGGCTGTGCCGGGAGGTGCAGCCGTAGAGGCTGACCAGGTTGTGGTGGCGGAGGCGGTTGAGGATCTCCACCTCGTTCATGAACTGCTCCACGCGCTTGAAGTTGTTCTCGTATAGTCGCTTCACCGCGACGATGCGCCCGTCTCGGAGCTTCCCTGCACACGCACACACAACAACAACAAATACCATCTATATTAAAGAGCAAGAACGGGGGGATTTGGATGGTTGGTTGCTGCGAGTTGCTACGAGAAGAAGAAGAAGAAGACGACGATGATGATGATAATGATGACGAAGAAGAAGAAGGAGAACGGGAGGAGGAGGAGGAGGAGGAGGAGGAGGAGGGGAACCTTTGTAGACGGTGCCGAACCCGCCATCGCCCAGCTCGCTGGAGGGGTTGAATCCGTTGGTGGCCTCGTGCAGCTCCTCGTATCTGAAGTACTGCGTGCCGCACTGCAAGCTGCCACTCTCCGGGTTTTTCTTCAAGGACGGCTCTAAGGAGCCCGACCGGAAGAGCAGATCCGAAGAGTGGGATCGCCACTTCCTGTTCTTCCGTCTGAAGAAAAGAAAGCAAATGAAGCCAGCCAGGAGTGCGCCCCCAAATCCTGCCGACACGCCTGCGCGAAGAAGATGCAGAACTGAGCAACAAGATTGAAGGCGGCGAGGTTTTAGAAAATATTGTTCCTCGGAGGGAAAGAAAAGAAAGCCATATATTGCGACGAAAAGCGACCGCTTTTCATGCAGAGAGAGCGTACCTATGATAATCTTCCTGATCTTACTAGGCTTCTGAGCTGCATAGAAAAAGCCACGCCAGTCAGGCTCTATCTCCATAGTCAATAGTTATCAAGTAGCCAAAACACTAGCCGATAATAGCGGAGAAATATAGGCATGCTTCAGACGTTGACCCACAACCAGAACTCTCTCCATTTTCAGTCTGAACAAACTGGTGGCATTAAACATCGGTCAATGATAATTTAGTGGCACACCGTACTTTCATCACCTTCTGTCCCTAAGAAGCAGCTCATATACTTTCTAGCAAGCCAAATGTCTGCCCATCTTACTCTGTAATATTCCCCTACCATGCATGGAGAGGAATATGATCCTACTGCTGCAAAACCCTAGACTGTTTTATTCTGTACCGCCTGGAGAGCTGAAACAATGGGGCGAGAAGTAGCATGCACGCTTCTTCACAGGTGGATAGTTTCCGAAGAATCCTATCACGCATACGGTGCGTGCGGTCTGAAAAAGCTTCACGTCTCTTGTTCTGTGCTAGGATGAGTGGAGAGAGGAAGAGAAAACGTCCAGGTTTTCTTCTCACCGACTAGTCTTCATAACCTAGAAGAACCGATTGATCCGCGGATTATAGATCGAACGAAAGCATGGAAGAGGCAAATCTAGAAGAACACCAAACCTGGTCATAATCAGAGGGATTTGGAATCTGTATGGGCAGAGAGATTCCAAACATGCGGAGACCAGCGAGCTACAGTTTGAAAATTTTTAACATAGAACAGATAGGAAAGTAAAAACATGAGTACCAGACCTTTGCAGCTGACAGCATGGGACCTGTCGCTGCAGAGACATGAGAACCTGCTCTGCTTGGCATCATACCGACATCTTCCGCCACTCTCCAGGCACTCGCTGCAGTTTACGGCTCGCCATCGCAGGAGAAAACCAGGTTTCAGGATATCCAGGGCATCATTATACTTCTCTAGGCCGTCATCCCCCAGGCCAACTATAGGGAAGCTAATGACAGATTTACAGGCCGATGCGTTCACTTGATCCCTACCGACGAACGACAGGCCCTTGCTTCCATTACGGCAATTGATGGGGACGTAACCAGGAGGCTGCGAATTCGGCTCACAGTCGAGGAGGAAGAAGAGGCTGCTCTGGGCCGGGACGATGGAGAAGGGAGTGGCGGTAATCGAGAGATTATCGCGGGGCACATAGCAGGTTGAGCTTGAGAGGCCAACGTTGGAGACGAGGAACGACTGGTTGCGGTAGAAGATGTTCCGAACGTGGTAATCATCTTCGAAGATGCGGACGACTGGGAAATCTGCCCGGCAGGTGAGCTTGAAAGAAGGAAAACCGCAGTGGGAATGTTGGAAGCCGTCCAGCCAGAAAGGGTAACTCACGTTGACCCCATTCCCGCAGTGCCTCGGCAAGCAGTCGTCCGGCGGCAGGTCAGCGGCCCAGGCCAGAGAGGAGAGGAGGAAAGAGGAGAGGGCGAGCCTCAGGGAGAGCTCTGTTAGTTTTGACCATGCGGTCAGAGTGGGCATCTTCATCTGCAGAGGAGAATCAGTGGGCAGGCTCGATGAATCCATTCCAGGGGAAGAAGAGAAGGGGAGAGGAAGGTAATGGGCGGAGGGAGGACACGGGGGACTTCTTCCTCAGATTTCTGTGGCTGATGCTGCTCGTGGTTGAAGGCGTGACGTTAACAGGTGGGACTCCGACCATGAAACCCGGCGGCTAGTTCCAAAGTCAAACCTTGCTTGCAGTAGGGCTTGAAACGCTACCGTCCGATCACCAGTAGCGAAAGTACCCCCTTTGCACGGACAAAATCGAATCTGAGGTGACCTTGCCCTAGATTTTTATGAAGCAAGCAGACTGGTGGGCACGGCGAAGTCAACGCTTGATCTGGTCACGCTTGGCAGGTGCTGACCCGCCTCCTTTTGAATCCTTGGCCATCTTTCTTCTCAGAAGAAGAAGAGTGAGTGATCGAAAGAGAGAGGTTGTGGTGTGGATAGAGGCTTCCGAACATGTCTGATCCAACATGGACTGCTAGCTAACACGGGCTGATAGAGAGAGAGAGAGGAGACATAAGGCCCCCCGGGGCATCCAAATGATTGACGGAATACCTAAAACTCGAGGACAGAAGGGGAAGCAGAAGCCCACCAGATTCAACGCCGGAGTCAGCCAGAAGCTCGCACAAGGTGGACTTTCCGCCGATGGGCAAGCACCCGAGAGGCCTAAACGACGTCCACTAAAAGAGAGGGAGGAAGCGAAACGGCTCGAAGAGCAGGAGGAGGAGGAGGCGGAGGAGGAAGACGACGACGACGACGACGGTGGTGGAGATAGAAGTCTCAGAGGGGGCGTACCTTTATCTTTAGTCTCTGTGCATCTGCCCAAGGATGAGGATTCCTTACAGTAGCAGAACTGCGCATCGGGCTGGGAGGAATTGTACCCGCAGACTCCCCCAGAGTCGACGCAGTCCCTGCACCAGCTCTCCCCCGCCTTCCACCTCACGTCGAACCACAAAAAAGGGTCCAAGTTCGGCACTTCAACGGGCCCCCTTCGTACTGGTACGCTGCCCATCGAGTTGCACGACGGATCCTTGGCAGGACTCTCCGCCAGAGGGTCATCTAGCACGAGGTAGAACTCGCTCTCCGCGAAGGGAAGGCAAGCGAACATTTGCTGCTGGAGACGTTCTGTTATCGAACAGTTGTAGAGCGTAACGTTGAGATTGCTGGAAGCGTACTCGAAAAGAGAGCCCAGGTCCAGGGAGACGAGCTCAAGTAAGGGGCAACTATCTTTCGGCACCACGCTGAGGACGTTGGTTTCGTAGTTGATCTCGCTGACGAGGTAGTTCTTCCCGCTGATCTCGACTACCAGAGCGTCATCTACACATCTCACCCTGTACTTTTCCCCGAAGCCGCAGTATTCCGGCCGCCCCGCCGCCGTGAAGGGGTAGCTGATGTTGAATTTCCACACGCCGCAGAGCAGACGGAGAGGATGCCGGCAATCGGCGTACTCTCGCAGGTCGCTCAGCGCCGGGGGAATTCCGGCGAAGAGAGAGAAGAGGAGGAGGAGGAGAAGCATGGCACAGAGTTCCGAAGGGAAGCCCCAAGGGGTCTCCTCGAGCACAGTAGAGGGAGAAATAGGCGGCGAATTGAGGAGGGGAAGGTGGCGGAGGAGAAGAGGGCTCGGTCGCTGCCTTCTCCAATGGGTTGTGGGAGGGACACGACGTCAAAGCCGCCGGCAAACTGCGGGTTTGGTGAAAAGAATTCAACGCCCACCAGGAGGAAAGGGGAGACTAAAGATCCAACGGCCTTCCCTCTCCTTCAAAACGCTCACAGAGATGGCGGGATACCCACTGCCTCTAAAGATCCAAGAACTTGCAGGTATTATCTCTCGGACTGACAGCGCCCGACAACCAAATTTAATGACCAGGTCAACATACTACCTCCGAGGTACCAATCGTAATCCTGCAAATCCTGGAAAACCTGGGTGCTCTCTGTGGTGCCTAGCTTCTTCCTAAGCTCGTCGGAGGAACCTTCTCCGAGCCATCTCCGGCAATTCTTTATGAATAATCAAACCGAAATCCCCTCAGTTTAAAAGCCCCACAGTGACGCGCACCCTTGAAAATCCTACCTTTAGATGCAGAGGTAGAGAGAGAGAGAAGTCAAGATAAATTCTCTCTCTCTCTCTCTCTCTCTCTCTCTCTAAAGAAGTGGGTTAGTGGTCGACAGCGACGGCATGAGAGAAACGGTCCGTCTTACCTCGTCTGATCGTGTTGCTTTTGCCGTCACTGTTGCGACCAAGACGAAGGATCGACCCAATCCTTGATTAGGATGGAGAGGTTGTTGGCCTTGCTGATAATGGGCGAACCACTGCGATAGCAGAGGCGCCTCCAAGCAACCCACCCGGCTTCAAAGACGTTACCTTTCCTCCAGCCGATTTCCGCCTCCCCCCTGTCTCGTCTGCCACCATCATGTCTCGTGTACCCTAATCCTCCCCCTCAATGGTGGCGCGCGAACCATCTGAATTTTGGTGTCTTTCTCTGCGTGCCCCCCCCCCCCCCCCCCCCAGGGAGATAACCCGGGCAATCCGAATCTATGGATCCGTGAAAACGAGATGAGATCTGGAAGCATACCTGATGCAGATGTACAAGTTCCACCCTCTCTGTTGCAGAGGCAGGCGAACGCGAAAGCTGTGATAGTCCTGTTGCGAACGTACCCGCATGTCCAATTTTTCCCTTGGCACTCGCGGCACTTGGCCGCCTCCGATAAGTTCAGTGCCAGAGGAAAACCGGTTTGCACTATCCTCGTAAAATCTGTGGTCAGATTCCAACGTTGTTCGTCTGGTTTCTTCACCGGCGACACCACACTTGCATTGCAAACACCCCAAACACCCCAAATTGCGTTCCACGGAGTTTCGGATATGTTCCACTGGAGGCCGTAGGAATTGTCGCCAAGGCAGGTGAGGGGATAAAGAGTTTCGTACCAGGGGAAGATGGGTTTCTCGGAGCAGTTGAAGAAGAAGAAGATGTAACTGACGTCTCGAGCAACCAGCGGGATGTTGGGACTCAAGGTCAGATTATGCCTAGCCCGGGGGCAGTCATCACCCAGCAGGTCCAAGTCCTTGAGGGTGATGGTGCCCTCCTCGTAATCAACGGCGGCGACCTGGTAGATGTCTCCACCCAGGTGGAGCAACGGTTTGTTGTCCTGGCAGCGGATCCCCAAATCGGGATGCCCACAGATGGTCTCATTTGTGGAGGCGTTGGATATGGCGGTGCTGTCGTTGTACCATAGAGGGTACTTGATCTCCACGCCGTCGCCGCAGTCATGGGGGAGGCAGCTCCCGCTGCCGACGTCTGCTCCGGAAGACGATTGGGAGAGGAGGAAGAAGAAGATGGGGAAGGCCCAGGAGGAGGAAGAGGAGCGCGGAGGATGAAGACGGGCACCGGACATTGTTGCTTCTCCAGCTTGCTGGGCCGCGGCCAAACAGTTTAGGGATGGGGAGGAGGAAGAAGAGGAGGCCGCGAGAAAGGGAAGGAAGGTGAGGGAGTCTTCTTCTCGGTCGGTCCCATGGTTTCTGTTCTCCTTCGGCGGCGGGGCAGCTAAGAGAAGATCCACCCCACCCAGAGAGGCTCGCGTGGTCTTTCACGCCATGCGTTGACGAAACCGCCAGGGCAGGATTCCTGTGGGCGGAAAAGTATTCGGCAAATGGGTACTACGTGGAGGCCAGCAGAGCGTGGTGCCACCTTCTAGATTTTCTCTTCCGCTGACGACTGATGGCGTTGACCAGCAGGTCAACGGTGAGCTGCCATGCCGGAGGGGACTAAACAGTTCATGGGCCGGCCCAAAGATTCGATTTTGATCGGACACTGGCCAGGAGGAGGAGCCCCGACGGACAAAACGGACACAGTCCTAGGCAAATCTCCTCCCGATGGGCCACACGCACAGCCCGTATGGACCTTTCCAAATCTGTGGCCCTTATGGACCAGAAACCTAGCATACGACCGAGCGGCCCAACGAATGAAGACCTCGCTGCCCGAAAAGCATGCCTATTTATGGGGCTACGAACCCATAAGAATCTAAGCATTCAGCCTTATTCTAGTGCTTGATTATATCTAGCTCGAACAGCTACTGCTGTACTTCCTATGAAAAATAAAAATCAGACCTTTCTTGGGCACTGTGGGTGCCCATAAAATCTTAAAACCTATGTAAATCCGTGGAGCGAGAAGAGATGGTGTGAGAGTTAGCGTACCTTTCTTGGATCCGCAAGCCGGGTTCTTTCCCTCGCCGGTGGAGCAGCTACAATGATACTGCTGGGCTGTCCGGTTGTACAGGCATTTCTCATTTTCCTTCTCGCAGTGGCTGCAGTTCTTGTCGAGATCGGGGGCTGATCTCCACACGACCTGGAGACCCTCCTCCACGCAAAAGTTCATGTAGTCTGACACCGACGGAGCTACGCTGTGGTGTCTGGTGTCTCCTTTCAGACCCGGCATCTCCTCGCCGATGCCGCTGTTGCCGTCTTGACATGGTTTCATGGATTCGAACCTCTCCTCGCCTCTCTCAAGGCAGGAGATGTTACAAAGAGCGGAGACGGAGAAACACTCGACCTGAAACTTAGGGAAATCGTTGGCCTCAGTGGATCTTGAGCTCTGGCCGCCGTGATCACTTTGGCGGAGGGCCTTGAGGGTGATGATGGTGGCCTTTTCGTAGCTGACGTTGGCGACCATGTACTTGTGTCTTCCCAGTTGGAGGACTGGGTACCCGTCCGTGTGTTCGACATGTAAACAATAATACCCACAGACAATGTCCTCCACTGAATTTTCTTGGATCCACAGAGGGTACCTGATTTGTAAGCCGTCTCCGAAGTCGTAGATTTTGCACTGCTGGATCTCGGTGTGTCTCACAGAAAGACCTCGAGAAGGGAGGGGTAGAGAGTGGGCTAGGAGGAAGAGGAGGTAGAAGACGTAGCAGCCGCAAGGCGGACTTGGAGGACGACCTGTCATGGCTGCTCCGCGTGGGTTGCCGCGGAAGGGAGGGCGAGCGGATCAGGAAGGAAGAGATGGGGTTTCTACGTAGGCTTTGTAGTCCAGTTCCCTCTTGAGGAGTGAGGTAAGTCGTCGGAGAGAGATCTTCCGCGTAGCGACGGCCGACGACCGACGACCGACGGCCGACGACTCCTGGAAGCACTCGCGGCGTGTCTCTATCTAAGATGGACGTGTTCTACACTGCCGTCCTTCGACGGAGGCCATTGAAACCTTGGGCTCGCAGAGCAAATTTATGACCATAGACTTGGTGCTCATCGTCTTCTTTCGGCTTCATCGATTTCACCACAGTCGTATGGGAGAGATTCTCTGGCCTCGCCAAAATGGTGAGTGAGGATCACGGGATCAAAAGGATTCAAATCATCGTTTACCTCGTAGCATCGTCGTGCGACATGCTGGACCTTCAGAACCAGTGACGTCACAGAAAGGCCACCACGCCGTGTGCTCATCTTCTTGTTGGTTAAACGAGACACAGATGATGCAAGCGCCGCGAATGTAGAGACCAAGCTCGACTTTATCGGTCCAACACCCTGCAATTAATTTCGTCTGCAATTAACCAGGGAAGGAGGTCTTTCCTCTCCCTTATCCCCGGAGAAGAAGGTGGCCATTGCAGACTCTCAGACCTGCTTCAGAGCCCCTCGCTTCGTCAAACGGGCAGTCCCCATTGCGTCTAATCCAGGAGGACTAGCCTTAAGAAATGCGGCGCGCCCTCCTCATCTCTTGCACTACTTGCCCTCTACATCAAGAGATGTCCTCCGCAGCCTGGTGAAACCCAACAAGTCCACCCACCCTTGAAAAAGTAGCGTCTCAGTCCCAATCGATAGGTCTGGCGTGGCGTGCAGCAAGTCGCCAGACTTGCTTCGTCCGTCGCCATGATTCCGTCCGCGTATGTTGGACACATAAGAGGAAGTCTCCGCGTCGCTTTAACTCGGTGAAACTTCCAAGAATATGACCAAGAGGTTTCCTCTGGGCAGTCCGAGAGTGAGGCCACCGAGTCCACCATGCTATCCGAAAAAGACGACGTATGAGAGGGGGAGACAGGGAGTCCTCTAACGCTCGGCATTGAATCTTCTCTTTGGAAACCAGTTTTAATTGACTGAGTCTTGTCATGGTGACTGATAACATGATAAATGCGCCCACAATTCTATGCATTTGATATGAGTTTAACCATCTACATTCTGAATTTATCATGATATCAATTAAATTATGTGAATATTTCTGAACTTTATTTGAATATCATTTCATGTATATTATGTATGTTTTTGATTTACTATGCTTGACTTCTATGAAGTCGAGTAATTTTATTATTAATAAATATTCTCAGGTTCCATGTGTACAGAAATTTACAAGAACTAAATGGAATAACTACCAGTGACCTGGAGCTCTCCATGGGATCTTAAAACTTATTCGTTGGGTCAGAATGGATCAGTTCTGGTTTTGGGCTTCAAAGGATCAGTTAGAGGGATGTGGGCCACGTTTTGTCGTCATCCACTAACCCTTGTAATTTTCCTCTTAAAGAGGAGCACGAAATTCAGGTCATGGGAGCTCTCAACCAATCAGGAAAAAAAAAAAGAGGAAGAAATGGCATGGAGAAAAGTCGATAAATGATAGGAGGGCATTTTAGTGATTATACCCCCTGTATAAATAAATACTCTCTTCCTCTCTCTTTCCCGCCTTATTCTGGAGGTGTTCTAGCAGTGGCTAGCTAGCAGGACAAGGCATCTTCCAGGATCCGGGGTATCCACCCTGATAGATGTAAGTCGTTTTGAAGCGTGCACTCTTGTTCTTCCCCTTCTTGCAGTGAAAAACGCCTGATCCTGGCGGAATATAAGGATCAGAGAGGAGGAAAAAATCCTGAGGGCTCAAAGGACGAACATCAGCACCAATCTTCTCTCTATACCTCTGAACCCTCCAGCTTTTTCCGCCGTTTCCCATTGCTCTGTCTTCCGTTCCGCCCCCTCCAACCGCTCCACGTTTCCCTCTGTTTTCGCCCATCGTTCCTTCTCTCTTCGTCTTCTCCCGCAGCCTCCTCTCTCCGCCTTCTCCCGCAGCCTCCTTCTCTCTCCGCCTTCTCCCGCAGCCTCCTTCTCTCTCTGCCTTCTCCCGCAGCCTCCTTCTCTCTCCGCCCTCTCCCGCAGCCTCCGTCTCTTTCCGCCATCTCCCCTCGCTCCATCTGCCGCCACCTACCGCCAGCCGCGATGCGCTCGCTCCCGTCGCTCCTGCAGCCTCCGTCTCTTGGCAAGTAGACTTAAGCTAATAAAAATCATACCACTATAAATCTTAATGTACTACACATGTTAATACTTTGTGTTGACGAGCTAGTTTGTGTTAATTCAAAAATGTTCGTGTCAACCCAATCAAATGATGTGGACCCACTAAAAAAATATCATCACTCAAGAAAAATATACTAAAGAATTACTTAAGAAATTCAAAATGGATTGATTGAAGTCCAAAAGCATACCCGTAGGATTAAACTAATAAATTTAATGTATTGTAGAGGTATGATTTGTGCTACATTATATTTAAATGTTTGATGACACAATAAATTTTGTACTATTTGTATGTGTTTGATTTCAAGGCTACCATAAGGAAACCACATATAAGTGTTATAAAATGCATGTAAGTCATTACAAGTACCTTGGTGAACTCCCTCGCAGCAGGTTCTTGGTGAGTTCCGCAGGTGACGTTGAAGGGTGCTCGACGTTGACTGAGCAACGGTCGAGGCCAGTCTCGGGCGAGAAAAAGGCCAGAAACCTAGAGCCACCGGTGCCTAGCACCAAAGAGGGGGCTACACTCCATTAAATCGGGCCTCTAAAGGAGATGAAGAGAGATATTTTAGCAAAGAGGTGAATTTGGGTCTTTCTAGGGTTTTGTTAGGGTTTACTATAAGACAGATATTGGGGCATATTGAGCTGTTTTGAACCCAATACTATTAATGGGCTGGATGTTGGGCGAGTGAGTTTGGGTCATCGAGGTGTTGATTCAAGCATCAGTGCTTGACAGAGACGGCGGCATCCACAAGTGAGGATGGTGGTAGCACAGGTGGCAGCCGTTCTTCAGGAGAATCGGGTGAAGATGCGAAGGAGTGATGATTTTGATTGTTGGGATGTGCAGTCTGAAGGTAGTAGGGATGGTGAGTGAGAACTAAACGGGTATGTATATTCATTTGATCTGATTGAATCTTTTGTCGCCAGAACTGCATTTGTGTAGTTTGGAACGTAGGGTACTTTGATGTCTTCTAGTTGAGATTTGGATCATCATCAAAAGAAATGAAAACACGTAGCATTGTGTTAGGATTTTGGAGTCTTATGCATGGTACTAGAGTACATATAATGGAACAGTTTGTCTCCTTGTAGCGCTTTAGCTCACTGGCTATTCAATGGAGAGGAAGGGTGAACAACGAGGTAAAAATGATATTGGTATTTCAATCCAAGGTTAAGTGATGCTCAATTGTTTTTTGAGGCTTTGATGAAGACTCGAGAATGATTTTTAGCTAGTGGAATCAATTTTTGATAGGATTTTAAGAGTGGATTAGGGTTTAACAGAGGTATGAGAGAAGGGATTGTTAGCATTTTTTATAGGAATAATGTTTAAATGGCTTTCATAGAGGTGAAATTTGAAGTGGGTTGTTTACTATAAAATTGAAATTTGATTTTGACAGTCACTTAGTGCCGATCAGTGATCTGTATGTATGAATGAGGGCAATATGTGTCAAACATTGTTGTGGCTTATGTGCCTGCCTTTTGTGAGTTGATATAATCTTAGGCTTACTTGAGAATGGGTTGACTCATCTTGTAGTGAGTGAGTTGGCTAACTCATTTAGTTCATATTTTTTGTTCACACGCTTCGTTTTTGAATGAATGATATAATTTTTAGCTAAATTTATCACATTAGCATTGTCAATGAATTTTGTAAATACTATAACTCCATAATCCTATCAACTTAATTAAAATAATTTAGGCACAATAGTTACCAATTAAGACATTAAACTTAAGTTTAGGATATAGAAACTAAATTTTGCTGCTTAGAAAAGAAAGAGATCAGTGATCCTTTTTACGAATAATCATGATCCAATTGTGATTTTTCTACCAGTTCAATGTCTAGTGAAGTGTGAATTTAATTATCCAATCAAATTCAAGTTGTAATATTTGTGATACCATATTTCAAGTTGCATGACCTCAAGAAGTACGTACATAAGAGGGAGAAGATCCCAACGGGATCGCTCTTCTCGTATTACCGGCTTCCAGCTCTCTATCAGTCTACAGCCGACTTGTCTCCTGTTGCCGTCGCACCACAGCCTCCTCAGCTCCCTATGAGCACTGCCCTTCTCACTCCGGAGCTTCCCCTCTCCTGCATATGAGACCCTCTCCGCAGTCTCCGTCTTCTTCTTCAGTTCTCTTGTCTTGCGGAGGGCGAAATTCTCCCCTTTTATAGAGGGAGAGGCCTGGAGAACCTTCTCCGTTTAGATCTTCCTCCTTTCGACACCTTCCTATGCAGACGCTTTCCTCTGTCTGCCCTGGATCTCTCCATGTGTTCGTGAGGTTCTGGGAGTGTCACAGTGCTCCTGAGGCTGTTGAGGACAGAACGGGCCTTCAGCCGGTGCCTGAATGGTATCCTTCGCCCCGAACGAGTCATTGACGGTATTACGAAAGGATTGAGAAGAAGAATACGCGACAAAACGAGCGAGAGAGAGAGAGAGAGAGAGAGACGCACTGAATGCCGTTCAGTCGGCGGCGCGAAGGAGACCTCATGTGAAGTGAGGGCTTCCCTGCCACGGGGTCAAGATCGAACTCGCCTCTGCTCTTACCCCCGGGCGGGCTTGGTCACCCCCGATGGCACGAAGCAGTCTCCACATTTGCGGAGTCCTTTTCTTCACCAATAGACACGCATTATCTCTCTCTCTCTCTCATAAAATAACCGCAGGAGGAGGAAAAGGGCGCCACGCCCGCGTTTCTCCGTTCCATACGGGAGACCGTGCTTCGAGGGCTTTGAGCTCCAACCATCGCGCAGACTACCACACCCCCCGTCATTCCCGTCTTTGACCGGCCGTCGAAAAGGCTTAGCCGTCTTGTTCTGCATGTCTTCAATCTAGTCTGATCGAGTTATTACGGGTCAGCGTACCCCTGCCCGAGCCTACGCCATCCCTTGGAGATTACTGCGTCTTCCATCTTATGATTATCTTGGTTTTATCTTAGGGTTATTGACGAGCTTTCATCTCCGTCTCTAAGCTAGCCCGATATACTGCTTCCTAGGTCCCTATAATTAAGTCTAACACATTTTACTATATCAAGGGCGCTCATAAATGTAAATCTTCCATTGATCTACTTCACATTTGAGTGTGGAACAGCGGTGATCGTTATTTCTTTTGACTATGATTTTAACCATTTTCAATGGCGTTCGTCAAGAGATTTGGTTGATGCTTTATATAAGATGTATGTTGACTTTTCAGGCTGTAACGCAGGAGCGTAGTCGTGCGAGTCAACGGGATCGCTCGAGTCAGACCCACTTTAGGATACATTCATTGATATATTCTGACCACGCCACTGAAATTGCCCACTTTTCATTTTTCTGACTCCACCTACTATCCGGAGGCGTTGTCGAATCATCCACTGCTTCCTCCAATCTCAAGGAGATGGTCCGTAGAATGTTAAGCCGTCTACGTTGACTTTTCCGATCTAGAGGAGGTACGTCGGTGGTCATGTATTTATTATTCTTCCTTGGTGTGCCTCGAGGCGGCTGACCGGGCAGGCCGCCCGGACTCAATGCATGTTACTTGAAAAGGGTTGGGGGCTGGATGCAAGTCAACGCTGCCTAATGTACAGTAGAATAAAGAAAGAAAGAGAGAGAAAGAACCTTCCGTCCTGGCCAGAGCCGACTGGTCAGCCGGAGAAGGTTACCCATTCCCCTCGTCTGTTTTCCTTCAGCTCCCGAAGAATGTTCTCCAGCGCCGTCTTCGCCTGCGATGGCAGTTGGCAGCCCACCATGAGTCTCCTCAGCTCCCCTTCATCTGTGTCCTTTCCGTCGTCGGCCAATATCCTACACCAGAAGCAAACACGGAATTCCCATCTTAGAACAGATAAATCTCCTTCTTAGAACAGATAAATCTCCTTCTTCTTCTTCATCATCATCATCATCATCATCAGCCATTCATCTCTAAAATGGTGGCGATGCTCACCCGTTGAGCTTGCAGGCGAGGTGGGACTCGGCGAGCTGCTTTGTGCTCCGCAGGCCGAGGGACTCGCAGAGGGGTAAATAATTCTTCTGCAAGTAGTATTTCTGGTGGTGGCTCTCGGCGAGGTAGAATTCCGAGGAGCCGCAAAGAAGGATCTTCGTAACGATCCTCCTGTTGAGCTTCAACTGCCACCGGACCTTCGACTCCTGCGCCCACTTCCTCTCCTCCTCGCTCCGGTAGAATATAGCCGACCGGAAGTGCGTACCCGCGCCAAATCTCTGCAACGCGAATTAGGGTTTAGACCTGCTAAAAGACGCTGGTGGTTTGCCCAACTCAAACCAGGTGAAGCTGTTTAGGAGATCATACGAGATAATCCTTGTTGGTGGAATCATGGCTTTCCCAGAAGACTCTGCAGAGGAGACCGTACGAGACCCTCCGCTTGTCGTAGACCACCTTCACAGCCTCCGTGTGCCCCGTGTGCCCCTCTGAGATCTAATATCCCCACACAAAAGATGAGTGAAATGATCTCCGGAATTTCTCAAGGAACGCGGGGAGAAGAACGTTCCCACCTCTCTGTAATTAGGGTTCTTCAGAGACCCTCCGTAGTATCCGACTGCCGTCCTTACGACCCCGTCTAGGCGGCCGTACGCCGCCTCCAGTCCCCAGAAGCTGTCTGCGCGTCAAATACGATCCGATCAGATGATGGATGCAAGGAGGAAGGGACGAGGGGAAGGACGAAGTCGCTGGCTACCTGCTGCAAAAATGGCTTCTCCGAGGAACTCCAACGGCGGAGAAGCGACAGAATCGGCGCCGCCGCCTGATGAAGGCCATTTGGCCGCCAAGAGGCGACAATTATCGTCGGAATCCTCTACTCTGAGCTTGGGCAAAAGCTTATACATCGGGGCGCCTCTCCTTCTCCGTGAGCTTTTGCAGACTTCCGCAAGGGTAAGGAAACTTGAGAGTTGGAATCGAAACTGGCCCTTCTTACGAATCACGTCCGTCGTATTGTATGTCTTCCCACGCGAGTTTTCAACGGGGCGATCGCCGTCCCCGCCGCCGCAATCAGAGAATGGCCATCCCCCTCGCGCCCCCAGAGATTACGTCTGTCCGACCTTTGACCTCTCCCACGCTTGCATGTGAATATGTACTCATCTTCCGGCGATTGCGGAGGAGAGAAAGAGAGGGAGAGATTCACACGGCATGAAAGTCAACGGATGTCGGCATCGTGCTTCTTTCAGCAAGAAGGATTGGATCCGAGAGAGACGTCTGCAGTCATTTACTGGGGGGCCCGTTCCTGCATCTGTCAGCTTTATCAATTGGCCTCTCACGTCGACGACCAAAAGAATATCTATAAATAATATCGCCGATGACAGCTCTTCCTTTTACTGGAATAAAAATGCTGGTCCACGCTAAAAATTGAATGCCGATTGAGATACGTATTTATTTTCTAACTTTAAATCTTCACAAATTATTCAATTGGTGTGATTACAACATCTTGGTCATGTACACTCTATCTAATCCCCTCATCCTCTTTTTTTATTTTTTCAACATTTAAAAAAATCCTTAAATTATCCAGTACCCATGTGGTGGTATTTTAAATACCATCGTCAACACTATATAAGCTACTATAATCTTAATATGATCCCCTCCTAGAAGGTGTTTGATAGGCAGAAATGATGGGCCGTCAGGTTGTACTAGAGTGGTTGCATTTCGTTCTTTTGGGCAGTGAAATGGTGCGGCTTTTAATTTTTTAATTGCTTATCATTCTGTTAGTAAGTTTCACGATAATAGGACTATAAGAACTATTATATCTCGAAAGGGAAAAAAGAGAGGCATATTCATCATTCCAAGATTTTTTCTTGAATTAATACTAAAAATAAATAGAAAAAGGGATGGGATGGGGGGGGAGGGGGTAAGAATAACTAGTAGTAAACAAGAAAGCCCTATGAGGATGTAGTCAGTACTCCCTTGTTCAATATTTTACAAAGTTAAGGCCAAAGTTCCATGTTGGCCTTCTACTTTAAAACCCATATATTTGTTAGATTATTCATCTCTGCATTCGATCATGGTCATAGAAAGGAGGGGTTGGGGTGAGTGTGATGGCATCCGTTTGCTCTAAACCTTATGCATAGATAAGAATGATGTGGGACTTATGATATCAAAAATAGGATGAATGAGCATACTGGGTCCTAGATTATGAAGTGAAGATGTTGTGAGTTCAATTCAATTTAAAGGGCATGGTCCAATTTGGAAGTTTGACCACATGTGCCCATTTCATATGCTTTGAAACTCATGCACTAATATGGCATCGTGAAATGGTGAACATGACTTGATGGAGCAGGATTTGTTGATGGTGGCAACAAGTATTTCAAAGTTTGTTTTTAAAATGCAATTGAAACCATGAAAATTACCTCTAATTATTAGACTTGTTTGGCCTACCATGTGCAATTTTTACTATTTTTGTCTATTGATGGTATGATGGAATCAATAAAATATGGGGATTGAAATTTTTTGCGCAACAAATTAAGGAATAATCCGGAGAGATAGTTTGTATTCACAATTTTTGCAAAGTTTGTGAGGAAAAAGAGGGAGATTTCATGAGAGGTAGATGTGAGTACAAATCAGTTCAACACTTTTATCTTGTTGACTTGTGCACTAAATTTGAGGACTATATTTTATTGATAGATCTTATAAAACTACCCACCCAAATGGTGATTTTGATATTTAACAAAGGATACTAATAAATTGTTGGAGAGATAGAGGAAAAGAGGGAGAGAAGGAGAGAGAGAGAGAGGGAGAGAAGAGGGGAGAGAGAGAGAGAGAGAGAGAGAGAGAGAGAGAGAGAGAGAGGATTTTCATTAATAGTTAGATGGGCGATTATTATTTTCCAAACGTATGAGAGCGGGCTCCCACCAGCAAGACGTCTACCGGCCCGCTCGCCGCCGTCTCCAGTGCGAAATGCCGTACAGCAGATTTAGACAGCGTGGAAGGAAGAGGGTAGGCCCACTACCCAGGACACTAAAAATAGATCACACGCTGCGCATGCGTGTCAGAGAGATGCGGACACATACGCCACTAAACATAGAATGTTTTGTTGACACGGTGCGACTTTTTCTTGTAAGCATGTGCCCACTTTTTGATACGCTAATGAACTCTGCTCATGTTAACCAGCCGGCCTTCTCCGAAATGGTCCCAGCAAAACGAAGCAAACGCTAGCAGGACGCCCTGTCATCGCGTCTCCCGTTCTCCGCCGGGGAAGAACGACCACCGACTTCCTGCTCCAAGCTACGTCACGCGACCGAATTGGAGAGGAGGAGGAGGAAGAGGAGGTGGAGGATCGACTCCGACAGTTTAGATGCCCTAATTTGCGGAGTGGCATTCTCATTCTCTCCGTATTCGGCTTCCTCCGCCGTGTTCTCGCGAGGGCTGCGACTTACGCTGCTCCAGTGAAATGAGGGTCCTATTGTGAGGTTTGAAGGTGCACCGATTGGGATAGCGGAACGATGTCTCGGCAAGCCGCCACCTCATCCCACTTCCGCAAGTCCAAGACCCTCGATAACAAATACGTGAGTTGAATGTGATTTTCTTCAAGTTGGTTACTACGCTTCTTCTTTTTTCTCCTCCTTGTTCTCGGAGATTTGGTTTGGCTGTCTGATCGAGGGTCGCGGGATAATTTATCGATAGATGCTTGGGGATGAGATCGGGAAGGGAGCATACGGGCGCGTATACAAAGGGCTCGACTTGGAGAATGGCGACTTCGTTGCGATCAAGCAGGTTTCCCTGGAGAACATTCCTCAAGAAGACCTCAACATCATCATGGTATGTTCTGTGATCATTATTTTTTTCTTTAAGCCAAATTACAAACCATCAATATTCTACAAGGATATGTGTTTGATACCATGACGAAAAATAATCTCACAAGCATCTCAAGGTGACCATGCGGTATGTCCTCCTGAATTTCAGCTTTAATGGCACACATTGGTTATCCCTTTTCTACTTATTCGTAATGATTTGTTAGGCCATCATGTACTTGCCCAGAATGCATATTGCTTTCATGAAGGCAGACTGATTCTTGTCCACTAGCTGGCTCATGATACATTTTTATGTGCTTTAAATTATTTTCGTTACAATCGTTTGGCACTCTATTGACAGGCCTGAAGTGTGGCCCTCTTTTCTTTTTGTCTCATTTGGCTCTACTGCTTGAGAAAAATACAGTCCAGACAGTACCTCAAACTACAAGATGTAGTTCTTTAGAGCATTTTGAATCCCAATTTGTCAACCTATGAATCCTTGAAATGACTTCGTTCCATAATGGGAACACTCATTGGTTGAACTCTCTCCTTCTATCGGTTTGGGAAATTTCAGTTGATTTGTCTCAGAAAATGAGTGTTCTTCCACTTTCTCCCGGAGAAATAATAACTGTTGCATTTTTTGTTCTTCGAATAATAACAACTGAAGGACTTCTTTGATTGTTATGAATTCTAATATACGCTTTTTTCAATCAGATCCCTCAAATTTCAAAGGTCCATTGGACCTCAATTTCTGAGACAAGAAGTTTATGTCTAATGGAAACTGGCGAAAATGGAGTTTCTTCTGATCAATTTTGTATGCCCACAGATGATAGTCCATTTCTTGTCAGCTAAAATAGTTCTTAGAGAGAAAACATGAAGAACTCTCCTAATTTCCTGTACAAATGGCTGAAAGCAATGCCTGACTCTTGTCTCTATGGCTTCTTTAATTCATATTAAAATTTATACAAACCTAGACCCAGGTCATCACAATTTGATTGTAGTGGTATTCTGTGAATATTTTAAATCCGGAGTTCCTCCTCTTGCTAGCCCTCAAAAGTATTGCCAAAACGTGGTAATAATGACCTTACTTTCTTACATTAGAGTTGTCCTGCAGTGTGAACACGTTAAAAGGCGAAATGCAGTGTGAACATTAGAGTAGTTCCGCAATGTGAACAGGCTAGTCCTACAGAAGATGGGGAAATGCGGTTGAAATCAATATGAACCCTGTGGAACCTAGTTCCTGTAAATGGTGACGTGATATTTTTTGATGCAGCTTCGCATTTGTTCAAAGTTGAGACGGATAGATTTCAGTTATTTCATGATATATTCCTGCGGAAACGGAATTGCTCGAGGTTGGAGTAAAGGAGAAGAACTTCCATGTACGTGGGGATGGTATCTACTAGTGCGAAATACCCTGGGATGGTTTCAGTTACGTGAGTATCGTCAGTTCATTCTGTTTATCGTCTCCATAAAGGAGATAACCTGTAATTAGGTATGAGAGAAACCAGAACTTCTGATGATGGGAGATCATCAGTTTTTGCCTTACCAGACATAATAACATGTTAGAAACATTAGCTCAAACATGCTGACACTCTTATGGCACCAATGGGATTAGTGATCAATAGGACGAATAATAGTGGTTAACTCAGGTTGGCTTTTTTCTAGATGCCATTCACCACGAACTTACACCTGTGAAACAACAACCAAGTTCTCCGTGGAGCTCCATTTGTCGAGCAGAATTTTGGTAAACTTTATCTTTCTATCATATGCTTAATTTAATAGAATCTTTTGCGTCTTTTGAAGGCCTGTATGTTCTATCAGTTACAGTTGTTCTGGGACACACCTATTGTTACTATAGCCTTTTGGACGGGCTTTATTTATTAGGGAAGTAGGCATATTTTTTTTCACTGTAATGTTAGTATTCTGTTAGGAGTTTTTATCTCCTGTGCCAATTATTTATTGAATACAAAAGATGAATATTTAATCATTGAATTATTTTATTTATTTAATTTTAGATATGGATTTAAGCTTTTTTTATATGCAACTAAATGGACATGAATTTGATAGATTTTTGAGCCACCTTATCTATTGCATTTGTCCTTGCTAGCCATTAGATAGTAGACTCAATGCTGGTTAGCTGTGAAAAAAACATTCTTTCATTTTTATCTATTTGTGTTTTGAACTTATGCAACTTTGAGGCCCGAGGATATTGTTCTCTTTTCTGACACATCTAACATTTTTTTTACTTTTGTTGCTCTCTTGGACGTGCCATCTGTGTTTCAACATCTTAGCTAGAAATTGATTTACTAAAGGTATTTCTACACTGTATGCATTCTTTTAATTTTTGTTTCATGCATTCATTTTATCCGAAAAATTATGGCATATAGTTATGAATCATCTTTTCTTAAAAATAAAAATGGGGCTATCCTCCATCAGCTTTAGGTTGGAGTTTTAGATTGTCTTGATTGGGTGGAACTGTCTATTTGGAGTTCTTCAAGAATCTGATCTAATCTGAGTCTCCTTTCATGCTGACGGGGAATGCATGTTCTTGCTGAACTTGAGACTTGTGCAGCACTTGTAGGTTGGAATGCTAAAATCAATATGGAAACGAGTATATTAGCAGGTATCTTGGTTGAATGTGCCACAGTAATCTATGGATCTGATAGAAATGTTGGCCCTAATCTGGAGATAGATCTCGACAAGGAGGGAGAGGATTAGTTGTTCATGATGTAAGCATTACGCAGATTACAACATGATACGCATTGAAAGAGTTAGACAATAGTGCTGACATGTGTTGTTGAGTGGTTATTTCTGTAGACCTATTCTATTCCTCAATCCTCCTTTTAGGAGTTCACTATCTGTTCTCAACTTAAGTGTTGACACTTTTCTCCTGAGTTATATTTCCATGCACAAAATAGGTTATTTTATGTGGCTTTCCATGAAACTCTGAAAAGTCAACTTTGTCAAATTGAGTTAATGTTGGGCATTTTTGGCCCGTAGAACCTTTGTTTTGTCACCTCAAATTCAATCAAAAAATCTGTATTAAATCATCAAAATCGATTTATTGGGTACAATAAGAAGATTGGGTACTAAATCGTTCTGATAAAGGAGGTTGATTATATCTAGATGTGGAAAACCAAATGCCTATTTCAATAAGGCATGCTCATACTGTACTTTTCATGATTGAATGTATACTTTTAAGCTAAACATTGATTAATGCTCTGCAGAATTTGAACCATAAGAACATTGTGAAGTATCTAGGATCATCAAAGACAAAGACTCATCTGCACATTATTCTCGAGTGAGTTTTCAGATTCGAGCTACTTATTAGTCAATAGTAGTTCCCTGCTCTCCAGATTCAGTGTCATAGTTCTTGATGCTTTCTGTATGTACAGATATGTGGAGAATGGTTCACTTGCGAACATTATTAAGCCAAACAAATTTGGACCATTTCCTGAGTCTCTTGTGGCAGTATATATATCACAGGTGTGCCTGAGCTACAATTAATTGATTCCTTTGCTCTCTTTGAGATCCAAATCTTAATTTTTTGGGTGAATAGGTATTGGAAGGATTGGTTTATTTGCATGAGCAAGGTGTGATACATCGAGACATAAAGGGTGCAAACATTTTAACAACCAAGGAGGTATTTTAATTTGTGGATATTCATAGTTTTCCATCCATTTTTAATATTAGAGCTCCTATCTGCTTGTATCTTTTATTTCTTTATGGAGATTCCAAATTCGTTGTACTGTAACTGGTTATCGTAATCACACTTCCACATCAAATGTGTAATTCCCTCAAAGAATTGATTTTTCCTAGACAGTGAGAAAGAACTCGAAATATGCTATGCCTGAGATTTTTGGGGGTAGTGCTTTAGCTGTAGTTTTTGAAGTTGATTTTTGGGGTTGTATAAGAGTAACAGAAACTCCAAGTCGTTAATGCTTGAGAGTATGAGCCATTGTTCAATGCATTATTTAAAGTTAACATAGGATGGTAGCTTTTATGTTATATTTAGGAATTAAACATGCTGAACTTTGACCATCATATATAAATTTGACAAGGTTCAGTGGGACGCAATACAGTCTATGAGTGAAATACTTATTTTGATGTACCAAATTCATGGCTAGTGTTAGCATTGACATTGACACTTATTTGATCGATGATTTAATTTTAAAGAATCCTTATGTTTTTTTGTTGTATCTGTATTTTTTGGGTCTCAAGAATATATGTACATTTGTATATACATCTACATATAGGTGTTTGTAAGAAATACAAAACGTGCAAAGAGAGCTGATTTTTATTTTTGAACTTAAATGTAACTATATTTTCATCTATGATGATAGTTGAATTCATATAGTTCTTTATCGTGTTATAAATTATGCGACCTTTAAAGATGGTCTTCGTGCATTGTAGCTTAGGCGTGGTATCTGTGGTTTCCCACATTAGCCGCAATGGTCCATTTTATTTGGTCTGCTTATGCGGTCCTTGATGTCCTCAGAAGATCACCCAGCATCACGTTTGGTAACTAGAAAAATCATCAAATCCTCTTTAATTATTCAAGACTTCTTCTGCTCCAAGGTCTCATAAAGTCAATAAATCTTAGTGAATGATCCCACACTTAAGACAAATATTTCTGAGGTTTTACAGAGGACCCTATCTCTATATTTGATATTCCTGAATTTCTTACCTGATGTTGGTTTTGGAGAATACTTCCTCATAGGGACATTCTGTCCTTAATCTATGACGTTTTGTGATACTTCTTCCCAACACCACACTCTATACAGATTCCAATGAATGGTTTTACCCTTGGAATCCCATCTGTAATATTTTCTTGTTAGAGGGGTGTAGAAAAAAGGTGGTACGTATGATCCCATCTATCTTGGAATATTTTCTTGTAATATTTTTGGAATACTTATCTTGGAATCCCATCTATTTTTGGAATCCCAATATTTCCATTTTGCAAACCTTTACCTTCTGCAGTAGCACTTCTGGACTGGGTAATTTGCCTTAAACCCTGTAAAGTTGGTACATTGTTGAAAATTTGACTGACTGACAAGATCCAGAAACTAATTGATCTCACCGTGCGCTCAAAGATATTCCATCACCCATCCGCAAGTATGTAAAAGCTGACCCTAAATCTCCTTGTTTGGGGATATTGAACCAAATATTAAACCTTCGGAGTTATGCTTCATATGCTACCCTGCCCGTAGAGCTTTCCTTTTAACTATTTTCCACAAACTAATTTTCACTCAGCCTTCACAACCACAAATAGATCATTATTAAAAATCGTAAAACTAAAGACGTGTCCTGGATGTAACAAATAACTGCCAGAACACTCTGATAATCCCACTACTCTGCACCGCATTTGTATGTGAATGCGTCTGTGTGTGGGTATGCACAGTGGTGGTGGGGTCGATGGATATATCAGGGTGTTGTGTCAGGGGATGTGCTGAGGTGCTGTTTCTGATATATGATCAAAATTGTTCTTCTTGTACTGATGGTGGATATGATATGGACACTAGATATATGCGCGTTCTGTATGCATGGCTGTTTTAATGCTGGAGAAGTGTATTTGTTCTACTAATCATAATTGAAGTGGATAGTGTCTCTATCATAAATTGGAATATCTGTTTCACTCTCTCATTGTTTCCCTTTGTATCTAACTTTACATTGTTTGGCCACATGCACATCACAGGGTCTTGTCAAACTTGCCGATTTTGGGGTTGCCACAAAACTAAACGAGGCCGATCTCAATACCCATTCTGTGGTTGGAACACCTTACTGGATGGCCCCTGAAGTAAGAAGCACTGATTTTTGCTCAAATTTTATTCAGTTCCAAGCTTTCTGTTTTTATTCATCTTAGTATGACCTTCTCAGAAAGGGCTACCTCTGTCTATATTTTTATCATTTTAATCTTTTGCTTTCACAAATTTATGATACCTTCACGCTGCCGCTATTTGATCTCATATGCATTGGAAACATCCTATAGAATTTTGAAGTACTAAGCATTGGTTTTCGATCATTGTTTCCAATGTATATCTTAAAAGCGTTTTGGCATGGAACGTAATTTGTAGGGTGGGGGATGCGGTCATACATCAAACACTCATGTGTTGTACCGCATTATATTTTTTGTTGATGGGTGTTTTCAACCAGAGTTCATTGATGAATAACATCTTCTAGTGATAAGATGGTTGTGGCCCGCATGAAATCAGGATACACATGTTGAAGACAAGAAGAAAGGCTTCCCGTTCTCTATTTCATCATGGTTATAGTCGGCCTTGGATCAATGTAGAAAAATACTGGGCAGCCTAGCATGGAAAATATTGGAGTATATTATACGAATCAGTTATGTCACGTGACTTTGACTTGTCAAGATAGAGTTTGACTACTTCATTGCTAACTCTAATAAGGTCGTGTAATGCTTCCTGAAACTGCATGTTCCTTTCCAACCCAGAGTGCCTATAAGACTGCAAGCTTTGAATGGCAGTATGAGAATGGATGTAGAGAAACGAGATAGAATGAATCGGTTATAAGGCCCTTCCCCAATGTGGGATCTCAGAGCTTTCTTTATATGCTTTGTAACATATAGGAAAAATAAATCATTACAAAAGGAGACAATAATAAGATATTGGAGTATCCCAAATAATTAGATACGACTCTACCTGAATAGAGAAGATTAAAAAAGGAACAAAAATTAATCCATTTTCTAGCCCTTATTCCGCAGGCTACTCAGTGACAACAACCATGAGTTTTTTCATGGTCATTGCCCTATATTTCTACCACAGATTCTTCATGTTTTATGCCCTGGGCGTTTTCCCCATTGGAAGTTCATAACTGGAATTGTTAATCTCCCGGTTAACTGATTCGTCAGTCCAGAATAAGTGCTGCATGGTTCCTGTTTGGAAACGTCGTAAGATGTCTGTGATAACTTCCTATAGAAGTAACCTCCTATATTATCTACCTTAAGCTTAATGTCCATTTCAAACTAAATCGAATCATCAGCAAATTGAAACAGTGTCTCCTTGAAGTTATCTCTTCCAATCTTGATGTCTCTCGTGTGTTCCCGAGTTGTAAGTATGTACCACATTGAACTTGAGTTTTTCTCTATGAATATAAAAACGAATGATAATTTTCCCTAGCCTCTTTAACTCCTGAAGATGCAACATTGTTGATGGGGTTATCTACGATTGACGTACAGCTATGACCTTATCAACTCATTCTTCTTATACTTTAAAATTTCTTACTGAGGCAATCCCTGACTTACTGCGGCTCATTGTTGAGACCCCATCGGGCATTTTCACATTTGACACTGAAATTATGATCATTTTGGGAAATGTGATTAGTCTTGACAATTTGCGCGCAATTCCTCTGAGTCTCTTGTACATCATCTTGTAACACTAAGTAATCCTATTGATCTGACTGTAGTCCTTTCCGCAGCTCCATCCGTTAAAATAAAACAAGTAGAATTCAAAAGTTTCATTGGGAGTGGCTGCCTTGAAGTTGTTATACCATAATCATTTAATCCTGCTCGGATTGTCTCCTAACATGTTGACAAAAACCTAAGGAAAATGCGTCAAGTTTCAGAATTTCATTGTTACCTATACGACAATCTGATCTTATCAGTTCCTTCTTAAATGGAGTCATTCATGTATGTTTCTGTAGAAATAATTCATTGATTTTTTCGATCAATATGTCAACATTCCTGTGCCTTTTCTTATGTTTCCTATCCGATTCCTATTTTTTCCGCTTATTCCATTGACGCAGTCTCTTTGTAACCGATCTAATACCTTTCATAAAATTGATTATTAAGTTTTAAATGGGTGTTTCAGTTCATCTCTGATTCACGAGTCCTCGAATCCTTCTCTACAAAAACTTCTCTTTTGCTGCGATTTTGGGACCTCTTACACAAGATTTTGGATAACATTGATGACTTGTATGCAACAGAAAATCTGTCCAGTGTCAATCATATAGTTTGTATTTACGTTTTTTCCTGATATGTCTTATTTTGGATATGCATCTCTATTTGTTTATTATCTTTCAGACCCCTTTAGACTGTCCACGTCATTCCCTCTGAAATCGGATACTGTTAAAATCCCCTCCCAGACTATCTTTGCAGAACTTTCTTTTGACTTTCACATCTCCCTAAATAAACTAAATGCAAAACTATTGTTTTCTGCTACTCATTCAAGGATCAATGCCGTTCTGTTTTCTCATCTTTAACCTCAATGGTAATGATAAATTCACCTTCAGAGTTCTTTTGTACTGAATTCTTTTACCCTGTGATAATTTGCCCTGGTGCATCCTTCTTCAGGCTTGTATTTTCATCTAGTTAGTGAAATCCTTTCTAATTTTGGGTGAAATCAGGCTACCTTTCTCAATGATTCCCTGACCACCGATGATATTGGGTACGTGGTATGCAATGTGGACTGATAGCCATGACTCTCCCCTAGTTGCACCATTTAGACGATCCAATGCACTTTAAAAGAAGCAGATTGGTGCTGGGCGAACGTCCAATGAGCTCCTTTGAAAATATCTTACCTAGTCCAGATGGCAAAAGAGCAGACATGTTATCAAATATGACGAAGTCCTAACAGAAATTCCTGGCCCTTGTACCTCTTCTCATCACATGCAGTTTACCTTCCACAAAAAATTAAAAAGTCATTGCTGCATGTCATTTTCATGGAAGTCAGGTCTACTTCGATGCTTGTTGATTCTTACTCGGGATTTTAATACAATAAGCTTAGCTATATTCTTTTCATTTTGTAGTTGATTTAAAGGGAAACTACGATCACATTCCTGAATTCTTATCCTTCTAGTTCTTCTGCCTGTGTAGTTTCTAATTTATACTCTGGATGGATAAAAGTTCCCAACATCTGCATCAATTTCTAATAAAATGAGCGCTATTTTTAGAATCATGCCTTCCATTGTTATTTGCTTATGTTTTTGTACATACTAGCTTCTTATAATTTTATCTTATCTGTTAGATTAGTTTTCTTTAGTGACATGAATGGTATCTGATTCAGGTGATTGAAATGTCTGGGGTTTGCGCAGCATCTGATATTTGGAGTGTTGGATGCACTGTAATTGAGCTTCTTACTTGTGTACCCCCATATTATGATCTCCAGCCTATGCCAGCACTTTTTCGCATTGTCCAGGTCACAGCTGCTTTTCAAATCCTTTCAGTTGTGATTCTGTCAGTGATATTTATTACTCTTTTTTGTTGGTCTATAATTGTTGTTTTAGAGAATGCTTCTTAAATATTATCATTTTGTACGGGTACCAGTCAGCTTGATGAACAAGCCCAGAAACCTGGGCCTGGGTCTTCTAAAATAACCAGACAACATGAGAGAGTTTAGGAATAATACTGTAGCTTTAGTCGGGCTGGAAGAGAGATCCTATCTTCTCACACATCTTTAAAACCGGAAGAGCTTAGGATGAGAGATCCAATCTTCCTATTAATTTTTTTTAATTGTTAGTCGAACTTTTATCATCTATGGAATAATACTGTAGCTTTAGTTGGGCTGGTTGTTGTCAGGTGATGATAATACATATAATGGTGGAGTTAAAAAATCTGAAACTGCCAATTCTGTTAAATACAAGAAGTTCAAATATTGCCAATGTCATGCAGTTGTTATCGATGTCAAGCATGAGAGAGTTTCAACTGATAATGGTACATTGTTCTGTCCTCTTTTTACACTGTATACTGGACATCTCTTTTGTTAGAGAAGAGCTTTATTTTGGAGGACTGGAGTTTCATAAGGAAAAAAGCTTGACAAAAGGTGTGAGAGCTGGTTTTGGTGACTACTTGAAGATATGGATTCTATCCAAATCAGTGTTATCCAACTTGAGAATTACTCCGTGATGATTTTAAGATCCCATACCCAATAGAGAGATTGATCAAAGCTGTAGAAGCTTATTCCTTTGCGAAGGGGGAAAGAAAGACACTAGAAGGCTCTGCCTTGTGATGTGGATAGAATTTGGAGAAGGCAATAAGGAGAGGTACAAACTGTCTACATTTGTAAATTTAACTGAGGCACTTTTTGTAACCTGGTTGTGGATATTAAATAAAAAAGGTTATGCCGTGGAAAAGGATTGTTAAAAGCGGATATTATAAGACAAACAAATCGGACATGAAACTACCAATCACTCCTCCAAACATCTAGATTTTTCTACATAATTTACCCTTTTTCAATTCGATTAATTTCATGTCAATGATGTCACGTTAGGTTTTTGTAAGACAACTGTTTTTAATGTAAGTCCCTCTTAATGCAAATAAAGAACAATAGGAAATCATCCATGAAATTCCTGGAAGAATGTGAGGTGAGCACTTTTGAAAATCTCTTTCAAAATGGTAAATCAATGACTTCCAGGATCTGCAAGAAGCAGTGCAGATTATTCAGAGAAGAGGGATCACAGGGGTACGTTTCCTGTTCCACCCTCTATTTGAGTACAACATTTTGTAAAGAGGAAAAATTTCCCTGTTAGCCCACTTGTTCTAAATTAATGGTATATGTAGAGCTTGGTGGAGGATACTACTGTGGGATTAGTTATTGCCTAGAAAGATTAAAATTTTCCTATAGAAATTTTTAACGGAAAATTACTAAGGGTAGCTGTGGTTTTAGAATTTTTGTTTGTGGTTCGTTAAATGATTAATGAAATTTGGGGCCAAGTCATCAGAAGATAGCGTGGTAGAGTTGTTGAAGTTTTCATATCTGTTTATGAAAGGGGATGAAGGGTTGTGGTAGTGGTATGGTTTATTTGTGGATAAAGGAACATGAGAAAGTTCCATTTATCCTATGAGCTTATGGCCAGAGTCATTCACATCAGCTGAGTTTCTTATGAAATGAAGTGTCGCATGTTGCATTTGAATTCTATCTTCATTAACAGGCAACATAAACTTCTCTAAGCAGCGAGTGCTTCTTTTTCTGAGTGCGTCAGCTCAATTATGAATTGTTCAATTTTGTGAAATGCATAAGCTGTGGGCTTGATAGAGTAGGTAATGCTGAGTTTGAACAGTTCTTTCTTTCAAGTTTATTATTGGTTGGCTGTTTACCTGAAAGCTGTACCTTTTAGCTGTGTTCAATGAAGGTTTTAAAAAAGATTTAGTCTTGATATTATTTAGGTTAGAGATATACAATAGCTGGAGTGCAGCTAGTAAATTTGCGCCTTATGACCTTAAGCTAGCCATTTATGACCTTAAGAAATCTTCGTTTTAGGATTTGCCAGACTTGAAAAATCTTTATCCATACTGATGAAAAAAAAAAGTTTATCGATCACGTACCTAGGATACTCCTTTGTGTGATGAATATGAGTACCACCTGCAAAGGACATGCTTAAACGTACAATATCTGTGTTTTAAGGACCAGTGATATGAGGTTAACTTACGCTATATTATATTAGGTTCTTGTGAAGTTATGCATTCTGATCTTTACGAAGTTGAAATTTCGACTGTAATTTGAAGTGAACATTAAATGCTTGTTTCATATGCTAAATTAGGCTTAAAGACTGATATGAATGGACCTGGACTTTGTCTAACATTTGTCTTCTTTGAATGTCAGATATTTTATAGAATTGTGGGAGTTTATATTTCTAGAAATGGTTCTTTTGCCTTAATAATCTGCTTTAAGTTTCTATTTCTTTCATATGCTTACGTTTTGTTATGGTGTCTTTAATTTCCAGGATAAGCACCCTCCATTACCTGATGGCCTAACACCTGCCATTACAGATTTTCTGCTTCAATGTTTCAAAAAGGTTGTAGGAATATTGCTTGAAAGCTTCTTATAATCGATTTATATTCTTCTTGCTATTTTGGGTCTTATCATATCCTTTTTCTTGCTATTCTTTACTCAAAGTTTCTCCTTGATTATATGTCATAAATACAATCACAGTGATGAGTTTGTTGTTCCTTTTGTTCTCCCAACTCGTATAGTCTACCTGCCCATTTTACTAAATTAACTTTGAGATGCATCTGTAGGATGCTATGCAGAGACCAGATGCAAAGACATTATTGTCTCACCCCTGGATTCAGAACACTAGGCGTGCTTTTCAGTCCTCACTCCGGAAAAGCGGAAGAGTAAGGTGGAAATCTATCCCTTGGTTCTTATGGCTCCTGTAGTAGTTCACTAGGATCCATGTGCTTTCTTTACTCTATCCTTGTGACTATTTCTTTACCAGATATGCTCTTTGATACGTATGCAATCTCTATGTAGTGAGAAATTTGTGATGATAAGGTTGCGTTTCTGGTTTATAAATCTAGTAAAGTTTGTGTACGGCTTGTATTACCCTCCTCAGTCCTTGCTTTGTTATCTTACCTTGTTAGTGATAGAATGGTAGTGATGGCAGTTCATCAATTTCATAATCACAACTACCTTAATTTTCATTGTTCTAATTTATAGTTGGATATATGGGTCCAATACAGGCGCAAGCTATCTATACAAAGCTACATGGATCTCCTTGGACCATTCTATGTCCATAATTTGTATTGAATTCGATAGATAATGCGTCATAATGATGATGAATTAAAGTAATTTCATTTGTCCTTGTTGAAGAACCATCAAAGACAAAGTCTAGGACATGTGGCCACATCAGTTTTTTGGTTTCAAATGGTTTTCATGCGTGAGCATGTCAAATCTCTAATGTTGAAAAGCAACAGTCACATTATATTCCATTACAAGTTGTAAACACCATATAGAGCATTATGATCTATAACATTCATGAGAAAAATTGTCATCATTGTAGTGTCAAAGGTCTAGTCTGTGTATGGAAGCTGCTGGTTTCGTTATCACGAATGGATGAATAAGAAGTGGTGGTTATCATACTCATGAATGGCTGAACGCGATCTCATGCTTGAGTGAATGGTTCTTACTTGATGAATAAGAAGTGTATGGAATCCTTTGATGTGAGGCATTTAGGTGACATTGATGTGTACATATATCTATATATATATATATATATATATATATATATATATATATATATGAACTCATACTAGACAATAATCAATTAGGTTTTGACGAAAAATCTTTGTATGGAGGGAGAAAGGTGGAAAACCGAGAAAACCTCAGTGTTCTTCGGGAGTTGGAAAAACAACTTAGAGTTGGAAAAAATCAAATCTTTGATGACTCTCTCGTACATGATTGAGTTGCGAATCTTCGGGATAGGAATCCTACATCAGAACTGAGTTCCTTCTAGATAAAGAACCTCTTTCTAGTTGCTCTGAAACAATTGGGAGATTCTCTGGAAGAAATGCATGGTTCTGCTTCTGACAATAAGATGCTATTGGGTGTTGGTCCTGCCTAAGTGGTTCAGTCCATACGTTCTAAGAATAAATATTTGAATTTCAATCTCATCATTCTCATAATTATCATACCAAGTTCCCTCAATCCAATCATTTTTTCGAGAAATTTGAGACATCTTACTTTGATATTATGAAGAAGAACCTTCAAATGGAGGGAGAAAAGCGGAACACTTGGAAGACCCTAGGTGTTGGCGTAGAGAATATAAGAGAATAGATGGAGGCCCAAAAATCCCAAGGCCAAATGGTGGAGGTAATCTCTATATATTATCCTCACGATTCATTCTAAAGGGTAATGCTATATGTATAGATTCCACAGTACATGTTTAGTGGACCCATAGTAGATTGGGGACTTAATAGGTTAGCGAGTCCAAACAAGATATAAGATTAAATGGCCACAACTAACACTAATACAAAGAAGCGAAGAAACGATAATTTGTAAGGGTTGGATAATCAAATATATGGTAAAAAATGTTAACTATGCAGCTGGTGGTGGATTCTTGCCTCCATTGCCTTGTTTATCTTAATAAGGTTTGTGACTATTGTTTAAACCGTCAAGTAGGCCACAAGGTTGCCAAGCTGCTATTTTCAAGTTAGATAGCCAAGCGACACTGTCATGATCACATTCTATTGTGCATTTGACAAGTGAAGGGTGGGCGCACTGATTCAGCTTTCTTGTTGATTGTGTTGGATGCTTCACTTTTGGTTGAAAGATCCTGCATTTGAATCATTGTTAACATAGGTTAGGAACATGTTAGAGAGTTCCACGTATCTCTCCTTTTCTTCTATGTCACAGCTACTGATGTAATAAAAATATAGAATGTTCATGGTTGCCTTGAATACGTTTCAGATTAGTCTTAGGTAGCTCTCTCCACCCTTGCAAACTCTTTTTGGGAATGCCATCACTTGGTTTAGTTTTTTGTAATTTGGATTGATCTTGGTCTGTTTTAGGGTTGTTGAGGACTCCGCAGTAACTGAGGAAAGCATATCCAGGGGAGATCATTCAAGTGAAATACCCTCAGAAGAGAAAATAAGAGATCATTCTTCCCAATTTGAAAGAGTGAGTACCCTTCGTGCTGAGGAACTTTGTTTCTAACTTCAAATTATGCTTATGGTTACTTAATTAAGAAAATCTAATTCATATGGTCTCATCCATTTTCTCAAGTACTTTTTGATGGATGTGATGCTTCAGTAGATGATGCTGACATGTTTCAGTTTCTGTCTGCATTATTTCTCACAGGAAGAGTCAAGGAAAGAGTTATCACCGGGAACTAGTGAGACGAGTGTATCTGACCAGGATAGAATTTTGGATAAAAACAACATTGAGAAGTCTTGTTCAAGTACGATGAATAATTCAAAAGATGACTTATTTTCTAATCAGGATCCAACTCTGGTTTTTCGTGAAATACCATATGAGAGATCTGGTTCCCTGCTGGTATCTTCCTCTGGAGAAACTGATTGTAACCAACCAGATGGCCCTGCCAATCCATCAAACAGAATTGAACATGAAAAGCTTCTTAGTAATGGAGAGGTGCATTTTGCAGAGTCAAGAAGGAACGATGCTTTTGAAGATGAGAATGGGAGGCCCAGTCTTGGTGAAATTAATATATTTGCCTTTGGGCCTGGAGTCCAAGATGTGCATACTCAAAAGGTCAAACCTTTTCTTTTTTTTATTCGTCAAATATTTCCTGCCAACTTGTAAGTGATTTTTATAAGTTTCTTTTCCTTATTACTAGAGTATTTTATTTCAATTTATTATTTAAAACTTTTATTTTATTTTTATATTGGTCAAATGTGCTTTAGTACTGAGTTGAAGAAGATAAAACTGTGTTACGTGACTGAACCAATACAAGTTTCAAATCCCTGTTACCTGCAGGTTGAGTATTGGAAAACTTTAAGTCTTTTATAGAGAATTTATTATTTCATGAAATTCTTGACAAAAGTGTATACGAGTCAAATCGACAGAGTTGTTCTGATTGACCCTAATTCCCATTGGAGATGGTAGTATCTGGAATACCAAGTTTACCTTTGTGGGTCTCACCATCTCCAGTCTCAGATGCAACATTCAGATCACTGGGTTTGCTGTGTTTGGAGTATTTCTTGATGTATTAATCTTAACATCATTCTTTCTGTCATTTTTTTTGTTGACCATTCAATGTGATGAATTTTATTTGGTAGTTGGCTTATCTGTGGGATCATATTTTTGCTAATTAGAACGAGATATTTTCTCACAGGAGGCTCTCATTTGCGATCTTAAGGGAAAGCTATGCCTGCTGAATGCTTTCATGTTTCTTTGGTTTAAGTTCTGTTTCAGTAATTTTCATGTAGCGTAGACAGCTTTGTTTCTGTAACACGCTTTCTCCAAATGTTATCTCATAACTTTTTTGTATCTACTTTGCAGGTTACAAAGCCTTTAGTTGTTTCTGGGAGCAATGAGCTCAGTCGGTTCAGTGATACACCGGGAGATGCTTCCCTGGATGATTTATTTCAGCCCTTAGAGAGAGTGCATGAAGACCAAGCTGCTGAAGCTTCAATCTCTACCTCATCATTACATCCAGGCCAAGGTAACTTGCCCATTGCAGAGGGTAAGCACGACTTGGCATCGACCCTGAAGGCTAGAATAGCTCAGAAAAAAATGGAAACTGAAACAGGACATAGAAATGGTGGAGAGCTCCTACAACTAATGATGGGGGCTTTGAGAGAAGATGTGATTGATTTGGACAGCTCGGTGAGAGTTTTTACTGCCTCGTTGCATGTCTGAAAATTACACTATTTTGTGTGGGAAGTGGATTTGAACCGTTTCAAACATCATTTCTTTCATTTGTCATAGCCGCTGGTGCTGAATTATAGCTTTGAAGCTGTCCTGTTTTCCTGCTATGACTGAATAAAAATATAGTCGTGTTCCTGTTTTCCTGTTTCAAACATCAATTCTTTCATTTGTCCAATGCTGGTCATATACTACAGTCGCGTTCTAGTTGCCTGGGCTCGAATAAAATCATGTAAAAATGGGTAATTGGCGCTGAAATATCCTAAGAGGACTCTACCTCTTTGAACATCTTAAAATTCAAAACCGGAGGATACAATCTTAGAACAAGATTGCTTCTTCTTTTTCTCTTTTTTGGATACACCTTTTAAAACACTTATTAACATTTTGCATTAACCAGATCTGGGACTGGATTGGGCCCAACTTCTTGAAACTTTGCAGAATTACTGCTCCATAGTGTATTTTGGTACGAAGTTGCATTCCATCTTAAGTTTTTTAGAACAAAAGGTGACAGTTGTTACAGCTGGAGCTGTAATGTTGTGCTCTTTAATGAACATTCATAAAAATGAGGGGTCCAAGTTAACAAGATATGAAGCAGTTACCATTTATGAAGGCTGTCTGTAAGAGATGATTCTTAATCAGGCATTTACCAACACCAACGTGGGGAAAAGACTTGTTGGTCAATTGACGAGAAGAGAAAAACAAACAGAGCTGCTATTGTTCTGTTTTGATGTTGGATAACTCATATTTTCATCGCTGATAGAGTGAGATTTATATGGTTAACTGATACAGATATTTGTTGGCCTTCGTGGCATAGAATATAGAGAAGAGAAAGGATTTTAACCGGCATATTTTGTGTCTTATTGGCAGGTCTTTGAAGATAACTTGCCTGGAAACAACCTTTTTCCATTACAGGTACTGGTTTTGATGTTAAAAATTTTCCTATTTTTTCTGTCGAAGGATATGATGTATTTCAAATAATGTTTCTTTCGTCTGCTTCACGATATTTTTGGCTAATTACAAACTCTCAAATCGATTTGAATAGTTTGTAGCATGATTGACGTGTTACTCTTGAGAGCCATACTAAATCTTCATGTTCTGTTTCACCTTCTCAGGCAGTAGAATTCAGCAAAATTGTTGGATTATTGAAGCCTGAGGAACCTGAAGATGTAATTGTATCATCTTGCCAGAAGCTTATTTCGATTATTCATCAACGCCCAGAGCAAAAACAAATTTTCCTCTCCCAGCATGGTTTTCTGCCATTAATGGAATTGCTTGAAGTCCCCAAGAGCCGGGTATGCACGATCACTTATATTGTTTTACGGGATGGATTATTCAATACCCAGTCTTTTTATATCCATATCTATTACTTGCATTTGGCTGAACACAAATGCCATTTGTAATGCCATTTTTATTTGACGCGCCCAAACATTTTCAGTTTGACATTATATTTATTTTTTCCCGATCTCCAGGTTATTTGTTATGTCCTCCAAATTATCAATCAAATTATCAAGGACAATGTTAGTTTTCAAGAAAATGCGTGTCTCATTGGTCTTGTAAGTATCAATAATAATTTTTGGACAACTAATGATTCCAAAGGCGTCTATTTTTAGCAATTTCTTCACACTTTAATAACCATTTCTTTAATGACTTTTGATTTTAATTAGATTCCAGTTGTAATGGGCTTTGCAATGCCGGATCATCCACGTGATGTTCGTATGCAGGCTGCATTTTTCTTTCAGCAACTGTGTCAATCAAGGTTCGGGGAACATAAAGTGTGAATGTTTTTTACGGCAGTCCTAGCATGTTTTGAAAATAATCTTGTATCTGCTTGTGGTTTAGCTCATTGACTCTGCAGATGTTCATCGCTTGTCGGGGAATACCTATCCTGGTGGGGTTTCTAGAGGCTGATTATGCCAAGTATAGGTTTGTATTTGTGCCTGACTTGGACATCTGTTATCATATGTAACTGTTATCCTTTTGGCTTGCTAAAGTTCGTGTGAACTGAGGTCTTTATGTGCAGGGAAATGGTTCATCTCGCTATTGATGGAATGTGGCAAGTCTTTAAGTTGCAGCACTCGATACCAAGAAATGACTTCTGTCATATTGCTGCAAAGAATGGCATACTGATTAGGCTTGTGAACACACTTCACAGTCTAAACGAGGCAACTCGACTGGCCTATGTGTCTGGATGTGGATCCCTCCCGACAAGTGGTTCAACTCAAACGTCAGAAATCGATCGAGTAGGTATAAAAAGTTTCGTGGAAGAGTCTGAGAAACGTCCAAGCCATGTTACACTAGAGAACTCACTGTCAGCTAAGTTCTCTGAGACATCACCCATGGAAAATGTTGCACATACGACAAATAGAATTTCCATGGCAGGTGTCAAGGACTGGGAACATTCTGATTTGCGCAAGCCTGACTCTTCTAGAGTAGAAGTCGATGGAGTGAGGCAGCAACGGGGTTCGTACTCTGTGAATAGAAGTTCAATTGATAAGGCACCAAAACTGATAGAACTTGCACCAAATGGACATAGCACTGGTATCAATGTATCTGGGTCTCAACAAGACACTGTAAGACCGCTTTTGAGCCTATTAGAGAAGGAGCCTCCTTCTCGACATGTTTCTGGGCAGCTTGAGTATGTACGCCATATTTCTGGACTGGAAAGGCATGAAAGCATTTTGCCGCTACTCCATGGATCCGTAGAAAAGAAAACAAATGGTGAACTTGATTTTCTAATAGCAGAATTTGCTGGTGAGTTTTTCTAAGCGTCTGATTGAACTTCTTTTTCCTAAGGCAGTATCATTGCCGACTTTTTTCCTGTGTGGTCGTGGAAACATTGAATATTTTCTTAAATCTTGTCTTTTTCTGCATCAGTTTTATGAAGGATGTATATAAATTTGCCATAGAGATGTATAAGCATCCTTGGGGCGATTGGGCATTGAACAGAAGTTATAACAATATTTACGGTTGTTGACAGCAGATTTATGGTTTTACAATTCCGAAAAATCTTCTGTCGAATGGGACCAATGTCTGTGTTTGTGATTTTCTTTTTTTTTCGTAGAAATGTGAAGTCTGCTGGGACACTGGGTGAAAATTTAATATTTTAATGATTTTTTCTACATATGTTTTATAATGAATATTTATAATTTTTGTGTAGTATTTAGAAACCTTCTTTGTAAATTTCCATTTTTGGACAAGGAAGAAAAAGTTGTGGTCTTTAACTATGGACGTTTAAGTTAACTTCCTATTGTCAGGCTATTTCCCAAAATGTTTAATATGATGTACAATGGTTACATTGGATTCGGGATGATGGGTTTATATTTGCTTATCACCTTCTTCTGTTGAAATCAAAACATGGCAAGTGTTCATAGAAGAATATTTATGAGAGGCTTTGAGGTAATCTGAGTGTTCAACGATCATTTCTTATATTTTTTTCTGACAAATAAGCTTATATTCCTTTTCTCGCATCCTCTGCATTCTGTGATTAAATCAGTTGATAATGCTCAAAGAAACTTCTATTACGTCTTCCGTATGTCAGTTCATTATGTGTTAACGAAACGTCATTCATTTCGTATTATGTGGTCCTCAGATTTTTCTTATGTTGTTACAGAGGTCTCAAGACGTGGACGGGAAAGTGCAAGTCAAGATGGCATACAGAAGATGCCAAATAGAACACCAAATGTAAAGATTCCCACATATAGTGTTGGGTTGGCGACAATCAATGATGGAGTAGCTTCCTCTTCTGGAGTTGCATCCCAGACAGCATCAGGTGTTCTATCAGGATCTGGCGTTTTAAATGCAAGGCCGGGAAGTGCAACATCCTCGGGATTACTTACGCAGATGGTGTCATCGTCCAGTGCTGATGTGGCAAGGGAATATCTTGAAAAAGTAGCAGATCTTCTGCTTGAATTCTCCCAAGCAGATACTGCAGTAAAGGCATTTATGTGCAGCCAAAGTTTGCTTGCTCGTCTCTTCCAGATGTTCAATAAGATAGAGCCTCCTATTCTTTTGAAGGTTTGCATGTCTTCTCCTCATGAATATTCATGGGCTATCTTATGCGTTTTCTAACCCCGTTTTCTTCATCTCTAAATGCAGATATTGAAGTGTATCAATTTTTTGTCAGCTGATCCAAACTGTTTAGAGAGTCTTCAACGTGCAGATGCCATCAAGCATTTAATCCCAAATCTAGAACTTCATGATTGTCCTCTTGTCTTCCAAGTTCATAACGAAGTGAGTTTTCTTCCTTTAGGATCTTCGTTGGCCACTCAACTTGCCGTCTTTCGAAGTACTGATTATTTTGCTTTTTGTGGCGTATAGATAAACCTACTGTGAATGCGTTTTCCTGTTGCTTCTTTATTGAGTTCATTGCCTACAATTGCTCGACAGAACTGAAGCATTATTCGATCCCTTTCATTAAGTTATTTACAAACATAGTTTCCATGTACCTTTCACCAATCAGCCCATTTCTCGTGGCTGGGAGATACGACGTCCCCATGATATTTTTGTGGCCTAGGTTTAGCCTAGATTTGCTGTGGGAGAGACCCGGTTTTCCACCTTTAACTTGTCCAATCACGCATACTTTCTGACATTATATTCTTGGTAAGTCTGGAAATGGTCTCCATGTTTCTGACAGCTGCTCAATTTTTTTGAGTTCCAAGAATCAATGTCTACATTTTTTTTGATATCTTATCTATGTCATCCTCTGTATATCTGCATGGTTGCCTAGGAGAAAAAATATTGTGCCAATCTGATCCATCTGGTTTGGATACTGCAAGCCGTGTCACATCTTCTAAGGATATGTCATGTGATTTACTCTATCATGCTGTGGAAATTGCAGAACGAAGGTATCATGATACAGAGGAGAATTTTGTTCTTGTTTTTTCTGTCGAATGACTGCAGAAGTTGTTGATGTAAAGATTTCAGTGCACAGTAGGAAAAAGGTGTTTCTCTCCAGTTTTTCGTGTTTTCAGAATTCATTAGGGTTCTGGTGCCCACATAAGCTGTAAACCACTGGTTGTTCACATAATTTCAGGGATTTGCCGAAATAATTATTATCTCAATTATGGCACAATGCAGATAAAGCGTGGTTTAATGCCTCGCCACGACACGTCTCTCGCCGTATGAGTTGCATCAGCTTTTTATTCTGATTTCTGACATACATTAAGGTCAACTGAGCTGCACGAACTATTGCAAAAAATTCTCATTACTGTAGGAGGGTAGATTTGTCAAGTGGCAGAATCTGACCGTTTCGGAGGTCTCGTTTCCCAACCTTTATCTTGAGGGTAGCCTGATAGTACTTCTCCAACCGCATCTTCTTCTATTTTTTGATTAAATGGTTGCCGGGTTATGCGATTGATTTGTCAATAAATGTTCTTTACCCCCTATTTGTCATCCTTTCCTATGAAAACTGCCATCATGTTTTTCAGCGCACTTTAGTCAACGATGAACGGGAAGTTCTGTTCAGAGCTCTGTGACAGATTTCGTCATTTTTTCTATATGTGAAGGTCCTCCATGCACTGTTCAACCTTTGCAAGATAAACAAGCGGAGGCAGGAGCAAGCCGCCGAGAATGGAATTATTCCGCATCTGTTGAACTTCATCATGTCGGGTTCACCGTTGCGGCAGTTTGCGCTGCCTCTGTTGTGCGACATGGCCCATGCGTCTCGTAACTCAAGGGAGCAGCTGCGGGCCCACGGGGGGCTCGAGATATATCTGACCCTCCTGGAGGATGAAGTGTGGGCAGTGACGGCGTTGGACTCTCTCGCAGTGTGCTTAGCGCACGACAATGATCATCGGAAAGTGGAGCAGGCGCTGCTGAAGAAGGAAGCCATCCAGAAGCTGGTTAAATTCTTCCAGACCTGCCCAGAGCAGTTTTTCGTCAACATACTGGAACCATTCTTGAAGATCATTACGTATGCTCCCACCCCTCTTGGGCTTCCTGCCTTCTTCTTCTCTCTCTCTCTCCTGCTTCGCTCTCTCTCTCTCTCTCTCTTTTGATTCGGTCTGATGCCCGTGGTGTGCTCCTACGTGCAGGAAATCGTCCCGAATAAACACAACTCTGGCGGTCAACGGCTTGACGACGCTGCTCATCGCCAGGCTTGATCACCAAGATGCTATCGCCCGCCTGAACCTACTCAAGCTGATCAAGGTAACTGGGCTGTTCAATTCTTCACATCAGCAATACCCGTCTCTTGGAAATACCTGCATCTAAGATTTCAATTTTATATCATCTTAAGCTTACTAAAAAGAGAAAGGTGGGCCCATTCAACATCTTGACTTCTATGACAGCACCCATCAGCATGATTTTATTATATCGCTTCTATAGTTTCATGATCATCCCAGCCGTCAATGGCCATTTCCATATTCGAAAAAAAGAAGAAAAATATGGCTGAAAAGCACCCCCTGCCATTTTTGCTTTTCTGGGTGTTGACGGTCTTCTTGCCCTGCCCCTGCTAGGCCATCTACGAGCACCATCCCCGGCCAAAGCAGCTCATAGTGGAGAACGACCTGCCTCAGAAGCTCCAGAGCCTGATTGAGGAGCGCAGGGACGGGCAGCGCTCCGGAGGCCAAGTGCTGGTCAAGCAGATGGCCACTGCACTGCTTAAAGCGCTTCACATCAACACGGTTTTGTAAGGCCTACACCTCCTCCTCGCTGCCCTCCCCTGCCTTCCCCTCCCCTGTAAATCTCTTTCTTGAGGTACTTGTACATATGGGGCTTATATGCCTTCTAACTCTGTCCTCATCGTCACCAAGCGAGCGAGGCCGCCTCTGCCTGCTGCCCACTTTCCTCCCAAGGGGGAAAGGAAGATCCTTCTTCTTTGATTGACACACTTATTGAGTATTATTGAAGCGTCTATTGATTAAGTTCTGCTTGTGAGCTGAAAATCTTTGACCAGAAGCTACAGCGAGAAGTTCTGCTCCTTGTGAGCACGCTACCGCTCAATCGTCTGCCCACCCAACCCCGGCCAATCCGTGCTGCTCTTGCTGAGGTGTGTGCATGAGAGAGACCAGCAAAAGAGTGCACTGAGGGGCAATCAATTGGAGTGATAGTGTGAAACTCCTGCCCGGGCCTTTGGGCAGCAATCAAGTGATGCTGTACTGTAGGTCTCTGCAGAGCTGGAGCCAGAGCAACCCGCCCCCATTGACCTTGTGCTGAGCTCCGTTCTTCTCTCTAGAGTCCAGAGTCCAGAGCCCTCTGCAGGTTTCATGAGATCAAGGTTGTGTGAATGCACAATCTTCCTCTTGATAGCATGAAATATAGGGTGTACCAAGCTCACCAGTTTCACCTTCAGTTCACAGATGGATTGCTGCCTCTGGTAGTAGAAGAATTTGAGAGACTGAAGAGTGAGAGACGAAATGGGTCAGTTAGTCAAAGATCTGGGGGTGGGCTAGCTCTGGCCAAAGCTGAAATCTAGGACGGTAAAAAAAGGGATACCCCTCTTCTCTGTATCTCGATAGACCGCTCCATTGCCTCGCCTTTCGAGAGAAGGTTCTCTGGTAATAGCTTAACAGGAGCCTGGTGATTCTTCCCACGGTAGATGATAATTGCATGGCCTCTTCTCAGCTTTTCCACAGCAACCAATATGCCACCACTCTCAAGCTCAAGGAGGCTGGCCGTGAAGGTGATGTGAGAGATTTTCCGCTGAAATGTGATCACTTTCACCACTTCTCTATGCTTCCAGTGCATGTGGATGCTGCCAATGGTCCCATCATATACACCACGTCTCCCTATAGATGTGAGTCTGCAGATAAGAATCTGATGGGATGCCAAGGATAATAAATTATGCAGAATAGCCTGGTCCTATAGGACAAAGATACCCAAGCTCAAGACACAGTCCGCACTCCAAGATATTACATTAGAATCTCTTGCATCCACTCTCACACAAGAATAAATACAATAAAACTATTGAATGCCTAACTATAGGCATATATTACCACTTTTCATGCTCTTGTTGCATGTTATTGAATATCCCATTTTTGAGATCTTACAGCAGCATACCGGAAAGAGAGGTATAGACGACAAAAGTAATAAACATGACAAAGTGTTGGAATGAAATGATGAGATTATCTGAGGGATGCAGTGATGCATATTATAAACATTACTTTAAGGCAACAGCTTAACTTATGTTACCCAATGAGCGAGGCGCTCATCCCAACAAACCAACGACCAAATAGAGCATCTGGATAATTTTAGATTCCCTTTCTTTCGCATCCACTTTTAGTAGAGGAAGAACAAGAGCAACAGTCGAATAGGGATAAAGAGTTCTATTATACCATCGCACAGAACACTCTTGAATGAAGATACGGACTTCAGAATCAAGAGATAGATTAAAAAATATAATTAAAAGCAAAAAACTCTGATTCACATTTAGAGTTAACACTGCGTTAATCATCTCCATAATTGTGGGGATTTTGTGGGAACATTTTGTCTTTTCATTAGAGCATAAGAAATACCATCTTCATTAGAGCATAAGAAAAGTCAACTTGTTCCTTTTAAATCATTTGTAAATATAGTTAAAATTAAAGTAGTTTAAGGATCTCACCAAGCCGTCTATGCTATAATGCAATGGTCCTGCCTCCTTGCTCATCTTCAAAGCTATGGGCATGATACTAAAATTTGCATACCAGAAGATATCCTTGTAATTCTATATGCCGGCTTATAAGGATTATCCATGAATGGCATCTTTCAAATCCTTTATGATGGGAACCATATCCATTGGGTCCAAATATTCGCCTTGTCATTGTTTAAAATTAAAGCAGAAATTAAGGAAGAAACTCCATCCACTGGGTAGTCAGTACCATATATTATTTCCGAAGTGGTCGAAATAACTCAATTGAAAAATAAATATTTTTTAGTCAGTTATAAATAGTTATGTAGATAGTTCTTTCGTCCTCAGTAAATCAGAAAATCCGTTACACTGTCCTGAAGAAGATTTTCTTCTGTGATCAGCACAAAAGTTATAAAAAAATCATGAAATAATTTTAGAATAAGAATGTGTATGACTGTCTCTTGAAGAATATCAAAACGTAACTGTGAAGTTCCCAAATGACCAAGCAGGTTTTGTACTACATACCTAGAAGCAGGGATTCATCCATTTTAAGACCAATCTTTCGAAGGGATTGTCTTTCTTCTTCAGTGAGGAATTCCTGATCAGGAGCTTGCTCTGAAGGTCTCCATTTAAAATTTAGCTTCAGTAGCTCTTTCTCTGATTTATCTAGCTTCAACTTAATCTGAAAACAGAGAAAAAAAATCCTCATTCTAACCGTGCTATTTTTCTTTTCCGATAAGTAGCATTACTTGCCTCCTCCTGTAGCTAGGAGTAGAACCTTACCAATTGAAGCTGACGCTCCTGCCTTCTGAGATCCTTCTTTAAGTTTTCTCTTTCAGCATCAATCTTCACGCTCACATCAGAATTTCCATTTCTTAATGAACTATAATTTGTTTCAATGTCTAAAAATTCTTTGACAGTTCCAATTTCACTTGTGCTGGCCACACTAACATCATCAGGCATATACAGTGCCGTCAATTTCACTCGGGCTCTTTCTTCATGAAGTTGTATGTCACTCAATATTTTTTCCCTCTCGAGAACAGAGCTTGCAACTTTGGGTGGAATAAAATCCTTTCCTCTGTACAGTATGATGAAAAATTTGTTCCGCAATAACAGGACACCTCCTGTTAGACGCTGCATTGTGATCTTGAACGTCAAATATTTGAAAACGTATAACAATAATATAGTCATGGGGCACAGGAAAATAAGCCAAATAAAGATGTGTCGTACTAAGTTGTATTTTTCATTTTTCCCTTTATTGAATATTTTATTTATTACTAAAGTGTTGAACCGGACCAGACTGGTCCGGTCCAACCCCTGTACTATGGGCTTGGTATAAATACCAGACCAACATGTTAACTAAGTCAAGACTGTCTTATTTTTCACCTTCCTGTTCGGGTTTAGGGTTTTAGGGGTTTCAATGCCTATAACACAGTGCTCAACATGGTATTGGAGCCCAAGGTATGATCGACTTGTTTTTTAATCTCTGCTACCTTGAGACGTCTCTATGAAGTGAGAGTTCAAATCCTTGACATCTTTCAATGAGGTAGTGATACGAGTTAGTGGTGAAGAGAGCAAAAGAGGTTTAATGCTTGGTTCTCAAAGGATGGAAAACACAGCGTTTGTGGCTAGAGGCAACAGTAATCCAACTACAACTATGGAGAAAGCCAAAGTCACTCCCACCCTAATTGGAGAGTCAAAGAGTCAAAGACATGAACACAGGAGTACCCTAAGGTGTACCTACTGCAGAAAGGCAAGCCACACTCAGGAGAGATCCTGAAAGCTTCATGGCATACCCCAAAATCAGGAGTGGGGTCAAACGGGAGAGAACAGCTCAGGAGTAGTGCTCATGCTCATGTCCCAGTTGTGCAGCCAAGTAAAACAGGACCACTTGAGCTAAGTCATCTCATCCTGGACGAGGTTGTAAAGATACAACTCTCTCTAGCCTCATGTTCTTTAGCACATTCAAGAGAGTTTCCTTTAGCAAAAATAATGACCCTTATATTGATGTTGTGCACCAAAAGACCCTTACATTTTCTGTCCTTTAAACGTCTTTCACCATCTCATGGAACTTTCCTTGATGGTTCGAACATTGTTACTATCCCTACCAGTGTATCTGAGGGTTTATCTAAAGAAAAATAGAAATAAGTTATGGATGAAGAGATAAAAGTTTTAGAGAAGAATAAACCTCAGGGTTAGTGAGACTACCAAAAGGAACAAGAATCATCAGTTATAAATTGGTCTTAACAATGAAATATAAAGCAGATGAATACGTAGAGAAATACAAGGCTTGACTGACTGCCAGAGGGTATATTCAAATCTATAGGGCTGACTACCTACAGACTTTTATTCCTGAGGCAAAAATGTACAATGTCAGAATTTGCTGCCATTAGATACTAGTTATGACTGGGATATATAACAATGTGATGTTAAGAATGTATTTCTGCATAGAGAATTAGACCAAAAAATCTATATGAAAGTCTCACAAGGATATGAGAAGAATTTGACTGCCAATATGGTATGCAAATTAAAATAAACATTTTATGAATTTAAACAATCAGCTTGAGCCTAATTTGGTAGATTTAGATGAACTATGATTGAAATAGGATAACACACTTAATATATGTCGATGGCATAATTGTGGCTGGAAAAGAAAGAAAGAAAGAAAACAACTATGTCAATGTCAGACCAAACAATTTGAGATCAAAACATTGAGAAGGTTGAAATACTTTCTTAGAATTGAAGAAGCTCACTCAAGGAAAGGTATTTTTATCTCTCAACAAAAGTATATTAGGGATCTCAGGAAGGAAATAGACAAAACTGTATGTAAACTAGCAAATGCTCTAATGGATCTAAATCTCAAACTTAGTGGAGCAAAGGAGGATGCTGTTGTAGACAGAGATATATCAACAATTGGTTAGAAGATTAATTTATTTCTCATACATGACTAGTTTAGCATGTGTGGTGCGTGTCATTAATCAGTTTATGTACAATCCAAAGTAAGCACACTTGCAGGCAGCTCACCAAGTGTTACATTATCTCAGATGGAAACCAAGGAGAGGTATTTTGTTTAAGAAGAATGGAAGATTGATACTTTAACACGGTGAAGGGCCTATAGTAGACACGAGACCTACTTCAGGATATTTCACCTTCTTTGATGAATATCTTATAACACGGTGGTGCAGGAAGCTACATATGGTAGCAAGGTCAAGCAAAAAAGTAGAATTTCGACCAATGGCCCAAGGAATATGCGAATCATTGTGGGTGAAGATTATATTAGAAGACTTACAGATCAAGAGGGATGGTTCAACGAGAGTTTACTGCAACAATAAGTTGGCAATAAACATAGCCCATAATCCAATAGAACACAACCAAAAAAAATACATTGAGACCGATTGGCACTTCGTTAAAAAGAAGCTGGAGAGTGAGCTAATTTGCATTCCACATGTGTCTACGAATGATCGAATTGCAAACACACTAAAGGCTTGTGTAATACAAGTACTTCAACATCTTGCAATTGGGAATTGATGATATCCATTCACCAGATCGAGGTGAAGTATCGGAATAAGTTGTATTTTTAATTGTTTCCTTTGTTATAATCTTTTCTTTATTATTTAAGTGTCGAATTGGACAAGACCGGTCCAGTTCAACCCCAGTATTATGGGCCTGGTATAAAATACCAGACCCAAACATTAATCAAGTCAAGAGCGTCTTATTTTTCGCCTTCCTAATCAGGATTAGAGTTTTGAGGGTTTCAACGCCTTTGACACAGCACTCAAAAAGATGCAATAAAGAAAATAAAAACTATGAGCAGAAAATGATTTTTTTGGGAAAGGTTATGTCCCCGAATCTGCTTTAATCAATGTTTCTTCAAACTTTGGTTACACATATTAGAAAGCCAAAAACTTTAATAAAAGAAAAAGACGTTCTGAAAAAGAAAGATACTGGTAAAACAAAACAAAAATTATCAGAAAGAAAAACAGTTGGCCATTTTTTTGGTTAACTTTAAAGTAATAGAAATGGATAAAATCCTACATAAATCACAGACTCATCATTATGACTTGGTGGTCACTATCCACAAGGGCATTGTGGAAAAAATGTGTAATCAGGAGTTAGTTTCTGTTGGTCAGTTTCCTAGTTGGGCAGTTTCCTAATTTGTCAGTTTCCTAGTTTGTTAATTTCCGAGTTGGTCAATTTCTTAACCTAGGCAGTCTCCTTTTTTGTGGCCAGGGTGACTGTGCATCACTAGAAAATTTTCTATGATTCAAGAAGAAGAAGACATTCTTCCAGAGTGTTTATCCCTATATGGTTTGCGTTGGGCATTAATGTCAATGAGAAAAAAAAATTCGGGGAATGTTTGGCAAGTTTATTTACAATATGTGACAAGGACCTACGAGACAATGAATTTTTTTGACGTAATCTATCAGTTAGAATTCAAAATTCATCATTCCAGAATTTTTGGAGATTGAATTGAGAAAAATTATAGTTATAGGGGTCTTCCTTTTCTATCAGTTGGAATGCTCAGGTTTTACTCGAACAAAGCTGTAAATGAAACTGCCCACAAAATGTATCTGCAGATCCTACAACTGCAGATGCTAATTTCATGGCATTTGGTATAGTCAGTGCGCAAGCAAAGGACTATAGAAATTGTACATGAACCATTTCCAACTTGCCTTAAGTTCATTTGCCATTTTTTCGTTGTCAGTGTTCAAGATACCCCACTTCACAGCCACTTTTGCTATTGGACTTTTCTCCCATAGCTTGATAATGGCAGCAGCTACACCTTGCAATTTTGAGTTTTTACCTTCCACGGAGATGAAGAACATTAAAAAATTATCCCATAACTAATGAAAGGCAAGAAGGTTCTTCTGGATAAGAGCATTCGCGAACTTCCGAAAAAGATAACATAATTCTTATCCCGTAAACGGAATAGGATGCCAAGAGGAAACCTAATGTTCACTATGAGAAAACTAAACACAGAAAGCAGATTTTACCTAGCGCAAAGTGAGTAGGAAGAGGATGTGCAAGCTTCCTCAAGTGCGTAAGCTCATCATCTGTCAACTTCGATCTCACATTTGGAGGACAAAGCCTAAAGGGTGGCCTAAAATCAGGAACAACGTCTGGAAGCAAGTCAGCATCCACAGGCAACGGCGTTGACCACCACCAGTCGATAAATCGAGGACCCAATCCATCCAACAACCTGTTTACTTCTCTCTCAAAGAGTGTTCCAGTTATTGACTCAGCACAGTCATTTAGGTCGTCGATCCTGCTTTCTGGCCTAGAATGATCTTCAGTGTCTTCTAAAAATGGCATGCTGGAAGTAACGCCAGTTTTTGGAGAAGATAACTCAGAAATCGGTGATGACAGTAATGATTTCTCACTCTCAGAATGTGGAGATGCATGAATATATTTGGAAGTATCCTGATCATTATTTCCTCTGAGAACAACAAGGGTGTCCTTCTTGCTCCAGATCACTAAACCTCCAGTCTTAATCTGCTTGATATATTCAACACAAGTTAACATGCGGCCACATGAAAAAGATAGGCTTCAGTTAAAACAAGACTTTAACACAGTGGGATAAGCCCATCTGGACTCATACTTTTCATGGATGCAAATAATCGATATTCACTGCCTCCATTCATTGCATGATGTTACCAAAGCCATCTGACCCATTCAGTCATTGACTTGGGAACAGCATTTGGCAAAAACAGAAGGTCAACATAAAAAATATTCATGTTCAAAATGGTCAACTATCTTTTTCTACTATTGAGAAGAACTTTATGGTTTCAGAAAATGCACTAATATACAGCACAATGTCAGTATTGGATTCAATAATCTGGTGTCGACTCTGTTTCTGATACAGTGAGGCATATAGGTACTAATTTATGGCCTAAAAATTCTTTTTTCACACCAAGAAGCAATTTTCAACATGCAGAATGAGGTAATACTTATCACTGTTATCCAGAACGTTAAAGGTAAAAAAAAGAAAAAAAAATAACAATGATGCCAACTAGAGAACGATATCTATGGTAATGCATTTTTGTCATCCATTAGTAATTATGTAAGCAAAACTAATATATGATCTTAATTTTCAAAATGTGATAGAATACCTCCTTCTGAGATCTTCTTTGCTAGCAATAACAGAAAGAAGATAGAGTATCTGGTTCCTTCCTTCTAAGACTTGACTATGATTGAGCAACTTTTTTGGTTTTAACTTTCCTATTTTTTCTGTCATCAAAAAGCAGCCAAAGACTTGATGTCTTTATGATAGAGCAACCAATTTTGCCGACTGCAATTTGAGTAAGTTTAAGGAAAATCTAATATCATCTAGACTTCCACGCACTAGTCATTCAATTTAAGTAAAATTAATCTATGGGATTAATTCCAAATAATTCCAAATAATTAACCTGGCGTTTCCAAGTGGAGACAAGTCGAAAAAAATACAGCCCCTGACCTCTATGATCTCCCTTGCTCTATCCATATTGCGGCATAGGGGCTCCACAAACCTAACCATGGCAAGCTCTTCTCTCCTCCAGGTAGCTCTAATCTCATCCACAACGTCATCAGTTACACCGGCCTTTTTCGCCTTCACCCACTTGTTCAATTTCCGTGCTTCCATCCTCAACCTCGCGAGGAGTGGCTCTGGGAGGATTAGCTCTGCGGCGGTCAGCGTCCTCGGTTTCTTCACCCTTGGAAAAATCAAGGGTTTTTCAGAACCAACCCACGGCATTTTCCCACTGAACGGCTGGTTCCCTATCGCCGGATCTCCCTTCGTTCTTATTTCGTCCTCCTTTTCTTCTTCGTCTATATCGCTGCGGTTAAGTTCCCCAAGACGAGCAATTCTTTGAATGATATTCTTCGTGGCCAGCCTGCTCCTCCTATCTAGGACTTCCTCCATCGGAGACTTCCCTCCATCAGAGACCTCACCTCTCAACTCCTCCATCGATTCATCCTGTTCTAGATGACTGAGCTCTCCAAGACGAGCAATGCTCTGAACAATCTTCTTCATCGCCAGCCTGCTCCTCCCGCCCCTGACTTTCTCCGTCAGAGACTTCTCCCCAGGTTTCCCATTCCTCTTCCTGCTCCTGGGTTTTGAGAGGTCCAGCACATCCCCGGGGGGCAGCACCAGCGGCCCCCTCATCCAGGGAGCAGTGGGCATCCTGAACCCCCCGCCACTCTGCGCCCACGGCCTCTCCGCGGGCGTCGACGAGGAGTCGTCCCGCGCGCCCTGCCGCGCACCGTCATAATCCGAACGGGAGAGGAGGAGAGCAAGGCAGGGCCTCGACCTTGAGGCGGAGGCGGAAGCAGTGGCGCTGGTGGTGGCGACTTGGGTGTTGAGAGGAGAGGATAGCAGACGTTGGGTTCGGTGCGAAATGCAGTGAGGGAGGTGCAAGAGGGAGGAGGCGGCTCCGGCCATCGACTGAGGGTACCTCTGGAAAACGGAGACTGACAGGAATCTGCGATGTGGCCAGAAGATATGGTCTCAAACCAGTATAGATCAATCATACTTCTCCACAGTCATCCTGTTTTTGGAAATATTTACATCATCCTAGTTTACCCATTTTATTTTCTTGATTAATATTGAAAAAGGTAAGATCTTGAGAGGAGCATACTCCGTCCCCAGATCAACCAAACCCCGAGATGAAGGGGCACACAAAAATTGGGGTTTGGAACGAGGAGGATTTGAGAGCATCAATATTTGGCATATGCTTCAACAAAGTAAACCATCAATATGGCAAAGAACCTACCCTTCCCCATCCTTTTGGTTTGCCATTTTACTTGTCTCAACAAGGGTACAGGAGAAACCTATATAAATCATATCTCTCGATGTCAACCCATCAAAAATTTAATCAGTTTTTATTGATATTAATTCATGTGAGATTTAGGTGCAAAACTAAATAAAATCAATGACTGGTATCATGAAAAAAATGTAATTAATTTTATTTCAAAAGGATTTGGATTATAGGTAAATCCTCCTTTTTGAGGCTAATGCTTATAAGTTTTAAAAACTCAAGTCAAGTGATTAATCAAGATGTCCTTTGTGAAATACATGTTATCGATTTTATGTCAGGCCATATCGTCATTAGCAAATATTCTAAGAATGTTTATAAAATAGTGTAAATAGGTTCTGACAATCTATTTTATGGACTGCATGTCAACTCAAATATATAATTGGCCTTTCACACAAGGGCCCACCTGCCTTAATAATCTCCTCTTCTAATGAAATGTGAGCTCCAGATGCTATTTTTTGGATCCACTACTTAAAATGAATTATTCTTCCACAAGTTTCATCATTCTAGTGCTAAATAGCCAAATTCTAAGAATGGTCTAAGAAAGTGCAAACCACATAAATCTTATTTACCACATTATTTTAAAGATGCTATTTTTGGGAGATGGTGCATTACTAGAAAAATAAGTTGATTCTTTCTATGTCTGTAGTCTTCTCAATTTTAATCACGTTTACTAGATTCCCAAACGTTTTTCTTGTTGCATCTCTAGAAAGATTAACTAAATAGAGAGTTGTAATCTAATAAAAATACATACGACATTTCCTTGAACATCTTCTAGTTGAATGAGATGCTAACCATTTGAAGTGTTTGATGTTGACACTTGATTCCCGTCTTCATTTCAAGTAAGGAAAACTTTGGCTTGATTGATTAATGCTGTCTCCGAAGATATGACATCAGTTATTTGTAAACTTTTAAATCATTCTTGAGAGACCTTTTTCATAATTTTTCCACTATTATCTAAATTCCCTGCATTATTTTCCATGTACTAACTTGCATAATTTATTTTATTTCTCTCGTTAATGGCTCTTAGCTCGATTTTCTTCTCGTATTTGGTACGTAGCCACTGAGCCATGCCACATCGTTCTTCCATTCTGAAGCTATTGCTAATCTGCGAGAGGAACATCTATCAATCAGGCTGCGTACAGTATATCCTGCATCAAGAACATAGCACAGCTGAACGATTTGGGTTGGGAAATGGGATCATTTAGTCGAGGTCAACGTTGAACTGCTGATTATGTCCAGCACAACAGAGTATGAGAAATAGCATATGCCCAGTGGTGGTGATACATCGAGAGAGAAGGAACGACGGACAGGGTCTCTCTTTCTAAGAAGTCTTCTCCTCAACGTCGGTCCCTCAAGGGTGAGGGAAATAGCTGGAGTTGGGCAGTGGTTGGTTATTGATGAAAGAACTGAGCATGGCGTACACGTCCTCGGACTGATCCTGCGCTGCCTTCCTGCCGGAATTCTTCAGCGTCGCGTAAGTTAGCCCGTCCTTGTACGAAACGGTGTACCCAGCAAACTGAGAGAGAGACCACAGCTCAGCCCAAGAATGGATATCTCTCTCTCTCTCTCCTTGTACATGGTGCCCTTCCTCTTCTTTGGGTTTACAGAAGGGGAAATATATCCTTCATTGACTCACCTCCACGGGGGATTTACCAAACCACGGCCGCCACGCTGTATCCATCGTTAAGTTAACCTTAGACAGTACCTCTTGTGGGCCGATGATCGGCAAGTTGTAGTCCAGGACGCCGCTGCACCGTCCGTTACACAGCGCGACGAAACCATTCAAAATAAGAAGAAGGAGAAGAAGAACGGGAGGAGGAGCAGGAGGAGGAGATGATGATGATGATGATGGAGAAAGAAGAAGACGAAGAGGACGAAGCAGAGGAAGAAAAGAAGAAGAAGAAGAGGACGATGTAGAGGAAGAAAAGAAGAAGAAGAAGAGGAAGAAGAAGAGGAAGAAAAGAAGGAGAAGAAGAAGAAGAAGAAGAAGAAGAAGAAGAAGAAGAAAGAGGAAGAGGAAGTTGACGATGACGGTAACGTTAACGGCCATGAAGAAAGAGGAAGAGGAAGATGACCTGTAGATGAGAACCTTAACCCCTCCGTCGAGCACCTCCCTGAGGGGGTTCACTGCAGACTGTAAATTGCGAGTCCAAGCGCTTCCCCTGCCATAGGAAAAAAGAGAAAAAACAACAACAACAACAAAAAGGACGAGAATGATCGATCCCCCCAGAGTCATCGTCAGGTGAGCAAGGCTGCTGGTTCTCATCTCAACTAACCCTTTCGAGGGCATCCAGACCGGGGGATCCGTCATCTCCGGTGGCGACTTCACGTGGATGGCCTTCTGCACGAAGGGGATGCTAAAGTAGCCCGCCACGTACTGGTCGCGGCAGATGTACACGAACTCCTGCGAGCAAGGAGAGGAGAGGTCAACGCGCCGGAGGAGAGGACCGAGCTGGAGGAGGAGGAGGGCGGCGGCGGACCGTGAAGCTGTACGGTCCCATGATGTTGGCGATGTCAATGTCCGGGCAGGGCGGCGTATAGAGATTGAAGCGTTCGAGGAAAACAGTGTTGTCGTCGACGGGAGCCCAGATCTGAATGCATTCGGGTGCGACGAAGCCGGCCCCGCCGCGGACAGTACCGTTTCCGGTGGGCTGCGTCACGTTGGCACACCTATCCATGTACGTCTGGTACGTGGAGAAGGACATGAGGCCCATCTGCAAGTAGAACTCCACTTTGCTGATCTTGTTGATCATAAAGTCCATGTTAGGATCCCCCATCTGGGTCAACAGGGAGGAGCGAGAGGCACGGAGTTAATAATGCGGCCCTCTGTAGCTTTTAGTTTCATGATCCTTTCCTCCATGAAAAACTTACGATGAGGCCCTTGAGGTTGATGGCGGGGCTTCCGCGGATTTTGTTCTGATGAAGCAGGCCGACGGCGAGCAGCGGCCCGATGGTGCCAATGTCGCCCTGGCCGGCGATGTAGATGTCGTTGTCCCGGTACTCCGGAAAGCGCTCCAGCCAGAGGCTGAGCAGCTGTTGGGCCTGCTCCGCTATGGAGTAATCGGTAATATCGGCGACATACGTGTTGTTGGTGGAGAACGAGAAGCCCACGGAGGCCGGAACATCCAGGAAGAGGAGGTTCGCCGCTACAACGGTTGGGACATGCCGGTCACCGGCCTTCAGGGTCATGCAAATCAGGGAGGATGAAGAGGAGGAGGGGGGAAGAAGTTCACCCTTGTTCCAGGAGTTGGGGTTCTCGAGGAGACTCTGACCGTCTGTGTCAACCGTGAAAGGGCCCAACTGCTGGAAAGCGGCCGTCAACGGCGAGCATAGTTTTACTGTACACACAGACACGTAAAAAGCCACGCTCAAGCAAGAACAAGACCCTTTGAGGAAGAAGAAGAAACCCTAGAAGAAGAATAAGAAGAAGATGAAGTATCTATCACCATGGCAGCCCAGATAGAAAATAATGGGCTTGGTGGTGGGATCCTCGGCGACGGCTTCCACGAAGTAGTAGAAGAACTGGGCCTCGTCGGCGAGGCCGAGGGTGAGGTAGCCGGAGTATTGACGGAATTCCATGCTATCCGGCCCGTTGGGAAGCCAGTCGATCATGTCGTTGCTCCTCTCCTCCGTCGACACGGCAGCCGCCGGCCGGAGCACCGAGAGAACGACGACGACGACAACAGCGGTGGCGGCGCCCATCATCTTGCCTCCGGCGCCGCCGAGATCTCCGTGCCTCGTTGCACCGGTGAGGTATGCTGTCGAGGGGCCTCTGGAAGAGGCGCCTTATTTAAGGCCGGAGAGGCCCTCCCTTCTCCACGTCTTCGTGGTCGCAGTTCATGCAGGGAAAGGGCAAGGGCGTTAGCTCCCTCCGCGTGAGGACAGTTTCGACCCCACCCCTCGGGCCATTCCTGTGGCTGTTGTTTGTCGGTACGCGGGAAACTGATTGAGCGGCCCGGGGCTGAGGGTGGGTAAATGGGTGAGGCTGGCCTTCTTTCGCGCATTGATATAGAGGGTTTGACTTCGTCAGATCTGGGTCTCCTCTGGGCGCCATCCTGCGGTCGCTGGCATTCGGATTAGCCTGCTTTAGAGGGGCAGGAAGATAGATGGATGGGTTAGTATCCAAGTTGATGGGTCCTCTTTCAAAGGGGTGTCAAAGCGTTGGTGGGTCGTCGAAGGGGCCTACTTTCTGTCCCCCAAACGGCTTGACGGTAGGAAGATTCGATTAAAGAAAAAAAACCCTTTTTTGTGTATTTAAAATGTGGAAAACTAGGTGCATGCACGCTAAACACATGAATCATTAATACTTTTTGCTGAAAATAAATTATAACATAATATGTACATTTTATTTTCTCTTCCAAAAGGGACCACGTACGTTCTCTCAAGAAATATAAATTAATTAGTGAATAAATCTACTTGAGAACGTCAAGGAAGAATGTCCCGCAGTGGACATTAGAATATAATCACCAAGTGAATATTCGTTAGAGTAGTGGTCAATGGCTTTAGATCATGTGACATAACCATGACCAACAAAACAAAGCTTCTTCTATATCGATCATTATACGCAAAAAAGATACTAATTGAGAAAAAAAATCACCCATCAAGTTAGCCAACTAACCAAGACCAAGTGGTTGATGAATATTGAAAACTATATTGGATTTGCTAGTCATTATTAGGGTCAGGCCAATAAGCCAATAATCTTCCATCGGCTTGCCGTCCGTGTGGAAGAGACAAACGGCAGCATTTCTAAAGGAAGAATAGTCTCATTTAGGAGTGGAATGATTATCTGAGATGATCTAAGAGTATCTCTACTACTAGGCGTTGATTTTCTAGCCAAAGTTACTCAAACTCTCTTCAGTTTCATACTCCAAATTATCACTTTTAATCCATCCGACCAATCATTATTGTTCTCATAAGGTAACCCATCCATATTATGTCTTGGTGTCGAAGTTCTGATGTCCACGTTAAAATAGATAAAAGACCATAAGAGCAGCATTCTTACAGCACATAGACACTACGAGTGTAATGAATATTAAATTTAATTACCATAGCCCTCACTATTTTCTAAATGAAAATGCCTGAAGAGAAAAGAAAACTACATGATTTTCACTTTCGATGGACAATTGCAAAACCTTTCCTATAACAAGAAATATCCATTTCAGGAGGGGACGTTGACATGGCTTCTTGGCTACGCTAAATTCCCAAGAAGTGAAGCTTGAAGAGAACTAATCAGCTTTTAACTCTGTACCATCTGGACCTCCACACACTTCTCATTCGATTTAAGTAAAATTAATCTATGAGAAAATAATTCAAAAAATAATTCCAAATAATTAACTGGTGTTTCCAAGTGGAGACAAGTCGAAAAAATTGCAGCCCCTGACCTCTATGATCTCCCTCGCTCTATCCTTATTGCGGCAGAGGGGCTCCACAGTTTGCGATTCGTGGGGAAGGGGATGAGACCCAGCTGCATGCAGAACTCCGCCTTGCTGCACTTGTTGACCATGAGGTCCAGATTAGGGTTCCCCATCTGGGTCAACGGGGAACGAGAAGCACAGCGTTAATACTGCGGCCCTCTGCTCTTCGGGAGTCAAAAGTTTCGAGTTTGATGATCCTTTTCTCCGTAAGAAACTTCCGACGAGGCCCATCATCATGGAAAGTCAACCTAGCGAACGCCACCAAACCAAGGTCAACCAAGTGAATGCTCAATCTTCATCACAAATTGCACAAACAGAGCAAAAGTCGTTCCAAATTGGGAAGCATCCAGTAGAACGCCACCAAGGCAGGCATTTTGATAATGACTAGTCCTTTGGCCCTAGATATTACAGGCGAATCAAGGTACAAGAAGCACACTTTTTCTTCGGTGGCGGGTGCTTCTCATGGAGAGAGAGAGAGAGAGAGAGAGAGAGAGGAATAGCTGAAGGATACTCGGCTGGGGAGGGAGGGAGGGAGGGTGAAGGAGGTCAGTTGGCCTTCTTCATGTCCTCTTCAGGGTAACGGAGGGTGCCGAACATCCAGTCCATCCAGATGGTGTAGTGGCCGTAGTTGTGGCGGTACGTCGTGTGGTGTATGGTGTGGTACCCAGCGCCCATCACGGGCCACACGTCACCGTGGACACAGTCATGGATATTGGCCGTCCACACGCCCTCGCAGAAGAGGAGGACCATGTGGGTCATCAACTGGGTCGGCACGAGGAACAGCGCGATCACATGCGGCAACGCCTGCAGTATCCCATCTAGCGGATGGAACGCCAACCCTGTGGAGCAGAAGAAGAAGAAGAAGAGGAAGAAGAAGAAGATCATCAGCCGGTGTTTACCGATAAATGAAAAAAAATCCATGACTGTCTTGCAATAATGCGAGCCAATGTCGATCTCCAAAGTCCAATCCTCTTGCAGATCAGTCGTCCGAGAAGAACCGCCATAAACCCCCTAACTTCTCAGTAAGAGGGTTAATGGGAGGTTAGTGCTGGCCCAATGGCAAGGTTCTCAGACAACTTCAAATGGACGAAATTTTGATAAAATGTTTCGCAGTGCAACATAGAGACAAGTTCCAGGTGAACGAAAACTTCCTAACAAGGTTCGTAGCGCAGTACTACTAGAGGCAAGGCCATATATTTGATGAGAAAAGACATCATCTCAGAAATCATTCAGAAGACAGATGTTTGAAAGAAGTTCTACTAGACAGCGAAGCATACCAGCAAATGGAGAAAGTGTATTCTGTTTGTTGTAGATGTGATGTGTCGCATGTAGATACTTGTAAAGTGGCTTGATGTCATGCAACTCTCTATGCATCCAGTATATTCCGAACTCACATATCACTAAATATATAGATATATAGAAAATGTAGAGAACCCAACCGACGTCACTTATGGCTGAAAAACAACGAGTCCACCCTTTTTGAACCATGTACTCGGATAATGTTGGAAGAACACAGTACAAAGGCATCGCTTTCATTGCAACAAGTATTTGCAGAAGCATGGCTTTATTTGAAGGGATGGAATCTGCATGAAAAGCAGAAATTCAGACATCAAGCTGAAAGAAGAGATTCAGACAAATGTCGAGACATATTTCTTCATTGCGTAAGTAACCAAATGTCTAACTGATTGCGTGTGACCAAAGTCCATACTATTACTTTTAGCTAATGATCATTGGGTTGCAGTGCTTTATGCCAAAGAGATCAGAAAGAAAACATTGTTCTTTGATCCACTGCAAAATCGAACTGCAGTAATGTAAGGATTTGACATAATAACGTAATTTTAAACAGTAAAGGACAAAACGAAAGCTATGTGACGGATTCTATACCACATCATCCAAGATGGCCTTCCATAACTTTTCATAGCTCAACCCCCCACCAAAATAATTTTAAAGATGAAATTTTAGAAGAAAAAAAAATCATGATCCAATGAAAACATGGGATCTCTGAACATCGAAGCTATTATCATACAGAAACCCCTTGTAAGAAAAATCATTGACAAGTGAGGAAAAACCTCAATATATGGGCTTGAAGCAGAAAGAAACTGATGAGGAAACACGGAGATGCTACGTTGAGCAAATTAGACCAGACTTTGCTACTCATGTGACAACATAGAATGCAGTGCGTGTCTAGATTATGCTAAGATTGTAATCTGAACATGAAAGTGGCTTCAACCATGGAGAAAACTTCATTATAGAACAGGAATAATTCCGAGAAACATAACTAAACGATTTCATAGAAAAGAACACCTTATATTAAATGTTTGAAGCACGACAACATTAGTGCAGAAATTTCTTTTGTCCAAACTGTGCAATTCAAACTTTGGCCTCCAGAAATCGCAACATCCAAATCTTGTTTAATTATGTGAAAATAAAATCTGCAGTCTGTGTTGAACATAAAATCATACGGGTCACCCAAAAGGTTGGATAAACAGTTTCTAGTCTAATACACGGTCTCATTTGCAAAGAGATGAAAGCCATCAACAAGGCGACATACACCAAACCATCCAACCAGAAAAATTATGATGCCTGCATCAAATAAACCCTTTTGTTCTAAGTGCATGGGAAAATGAAGAAATTCTATGAAATGATCTGGTGGACTAATGAACTGATTCTTTGTTCAGGTATCTACTTTTTATCCCAGTCCTTACATTCTTATCGTCAGAAACCTCAAAATCTGGTGGGTAACTATCTTACAGTCGCATTATTTGAGATCGAAATTACCACACTATCACAGTGTTCTAGAGAAGGTGGTTCACAAAACCCAGAGAGTATGAATTGAATGACCATTTAAAATTATGACGATGTGACACATAAGTAGAGTCAGAGTTCTGGTTTCGGGTAAAACAACACCATTTGCATCCACTGAAAATTATATCTAATATTTCAATAGATGCACACAAAACGTAACAGTACCACACCACTTTGACATTCTTGTGGAGTTACTAGAAATTCATTGTTCATGTAATTGTACAGCGTAATGTAATACATTTTCACACGAGTAATGACTAAAATTTTGATCCTAGAAACGTTAGAAAAGGTCAAAGATAAATTGCATCATTCAATCCATTTCATAACCATAAGAGAGCCTGACTAAATCGTCAGTTTCTTTTAAAATGCATGCAATTGCTGATTTAGTTTTATGACCTTTACAAATCTCAGAATAATTTGAAGACGACAGTTAAAGACAATGATACTTGATTCTTGTATGTACGCAGCATGGTCGAACTTAGTTCAGAGGATAATATAATTAAAATCACGACAAAAATATGCATCCTATGTCATGTTAATTTTATCAAAAAAGTAATTATATTTAATAATATTCATCAAAGTTAAAATATATGTTGAAAATAAAAACTTTCATCGCTGACTACCGAACATTTTATCCATTTGTTAGCATAAAATGCCTGGATGTACCTTAAACTCATACATTAGCTAAGAGATAATTTTATGTATTCACGAATGTATGGCAACACTGTTAGCCAATGGGTAACAGTAATGCATATTATTTCGGTAAATAAGCTCTAGAATATTAAAGAAAAAACTTTCAAATTAGATCGAATTTGCTTTCTGAGCTAAAACGTTAGAGAAAATATACTGATATTCAAAGATTCCGAATCTTTAAGAAAAAATCATACAATTTCCCAGATAATAACAGTTTCTCACATTCATTCTTTCACAGAAAATAAATTTCATCGACAGATGAGATTTTAAGAAAGAAAGCATCATTGAAGAAGCTTGCAGGCGTTTGCAAGTTGGCGGGTATCCACGACAGATAACTCAAACCATGTTACAAGGAAAAACAGTAAAATAGAATGTACGGAAAGAAATTATATCCTATGAACTACTGCCGAGGACTGGAAGACAGCACCCAATGCATAACCACTATTAACCAGAAATGATAAAAAACGAAAGCGCGGAACAGAAAGATGGTAGGAATCAATGGGAACTTCAGAGAAACGAGTGTTACAGAGATCTACAGAATCGATTGCGACGGTGAGCTCACAACCACTGGAGATCCGAAATTGGGGTCAAACTTTAATAAAGAGAAACGAAAAGTCTACCTTTTGGAAGGTAGACATTGCGCTTCCAGTGGTAGAAGTAGAAGCAAAAGAGAAGGCTGGAGCCGAAGTAAAGCAGAACACCGCCGATGTAGTTGCGAAGCCACGACCGCGCAGGCCGCGGAAGAGACTCCCACGCCCACTCGGGAAGTAGCGTCCCCAGAACAATGCGATCGTACCAGTCCCCCTCCTCCACAAACAGCTGCAGGTAGTCCTCCCCGCGCCGTCCCGCCATGTCTGCCGCCCGCCCCCTCCGCCGCGGCGGCACCACTAGCCGGCCGAGGAAAATGGAGCTCAGAATGAAGCCGAAGACTATTAAAGAGGACCGGCTTGTCGCACCCGTTCGAATATAAAATACCCACAAGCGCCACGTGTCGATCGAACGAAATGATGGCGACAACGCTGCGGCGAGGTGCAGGAAGATTTGTTTTGCATAAAAACAGAAAGTTCCTCGGTGACCCCCAGAATTCATATATCGCATAAAGGTTCTGTTATAAATTTTATTTATGCCCCTTTCGCGCCGGATAATGGACGCCCTCTGCCCTGTAAAGATTCGCTGCCACCCTGTCGCATCGATCTTCTCGACGTGGTTGATTGTCGACCGTCCAATAATGGGGAGTTTGCAAATCTCCAGGCGAGCGGGAAGAATCTTCTCAGCCTAGAGTAATTCACGGTTCCCAATCTTATAGGAGTCGTTGGGGATTAAGAACGTCCACAGCGACCAAGTCCTGAGCTTACTTCGTACACACCAGAATATGCTGGCAAAAGTTTTCCACTTGTTTCCAGATGAACTGGGCTCTTTTAAATCACACTATTAAATTAATGTAATTATAGAGACACATTTGAAATTTATATTTATATCATTCTTAACATTAGTATTTTGTGCTTGATATATATTCCTTCCAGCTTGTTGACCGCTCTTGGTTGATCTGACCTTAACTGACCGATTCCATCTTGACAAAATTGGATGTGGCTGTTCCAATGACTCTAAGAAGAAAAAATTAGATTACTATTGTGAGGCAAGTGGGTGCAAGCCAATGTTGTGTATTGAACCTTGTTGAACATCGTTCTGGAGCTTCAAAGACATTTCAAAATCTCTGATAGGAAGGCACTGAATTAATAGTAAGAAAGGCACTGGAAAAACCCTTAGAAAAGTAATTCAGTGCCCAAGGGTTATCTCTGATAGAAAGGCACTGAATTAATGCAATCAATCAAATTAGTTTTATTGATTTTTTTTTCAGAATAACCCTTAGAAAAGCCATGAGTGATTTTGGGATTGATTGCATTACCCATTGTCTCTCCCTTTATTTTTTGAGAAGAGAGTAGACTACATAAGTTTTATACTAATGGTAAGAAAGACACAATGTAGAGGTAACATGATAATTTCAAATTGACATGACTGTACCATTTACTCATAACACAATCCCTTACTTTCAGCTTTCAAGATTTTTCTCTTAGCTTAATTGTACAAAGCAAGTCAAAAGTTACTTTCTTTGTGAAGTGATTGATCAAATATTACAGAGAGAACTCATTCTATGTGAATAAGTCTTCTCTCTTAAATGACTTATGGATTGACTCAGCTAATAGGAAAAAGATGGTAATTTATCACTTCCAGAAATAAATGAACTTGTTTGATAAGAAGATGCTTTATTTTTAAGGAAAGTGCATACAAAGGTAAGGCAATGTTTCCTATTACGAAATATTTGATTATTTACATTATACTTGATTGCATTTTCACTACACTAATCCAAATTTTATAATAGTTTAATTTTAGGGGTTATTTTCTTCTTATTTTCTTTGCACTTCTTTATAGAAGTAATAACGCATATGTGAAAAAATGGGGTTAGGGGTGCAGCACTATATGACATATTATGAGTAAGATATGTTTCTCTAGTATCTTGAAACTAGTGTTTGCACACTTAAGTATTGCAATGATATTTTTGACCTTTCAAAATGTCAAAATCAAGGAAAATCGTCTCTATAGATGAATCAACCTCTTCGATATCTTATGATAGGATTCAAGACTCCATGAACTTATTTTCATGTTCTTGTTCAAACATTCATGGCTCTTTTCTGAAAGATGTTTTTACACCTCCTGTCATATGAATTAAAATCAAATGAAATAGTGTTGTAAGAGAATTTACTGTTGTACTCCTGAACTTGAGTATTTCTAGTAATTGAGCTTACCTAGTTTTGTGAATATAGAAGATATTAGTCAAATGTTAATATTTTTAGTCATTGAACTAGGAATTTTAAAAGATGATTATGCACTAACAAGAGTAATGAAAACAAAACATAATCTTCAAAGCATTCAGCAGGCTACATGAATCAAACCACAATAATTCTCCATTCTAAATATTGAGAAAGAATTTATGTTGAGATTTGAAAAAGATCAATTCACCTCTTTGGTTCTTCTAGTAACCTCCATCAAATAGATAATCTAAACATTTAAACACTTGAAAATTAATTTTTCATGGGTTGCATTTGATTTTGATCATAACTTTTGCAACAAGCTTTTGTATAATTGAGAAAATATTTCATACATAAATTGAATATCAAGTTAGCTTATGAAAAATATATTAATACGAACAAGTATAATTTATGTAATTTATCTTATAATTAAGGCTACTCATTCACACAAGTAACCTTAATTAGTGTCCAAATAACTTCCCAATCTAAGCTGCACTAGATTGAGAAGGGGAGGTCGAATCGATCAACTTTGAATTTAGACTTTGGTCAACTATCTCTAAGATCTCTAATTTTCTCTTCAAATCTTAAGTCCTAAGGTACTCCTAGATTTAAAGATATTAGACTCAAATATTTTTTACATTATTCAGCCCCCTACCTATGTTCATTCTCCAAGATCAGCCCTATTCATGGGTTCTATTGGATTATACATCCAAATCACAATAACTAATTATTGATTTCGTTTTTTTTAGAATTTCACCATATAATTCTTAGATTCATAGCTTTACTGAGCAACAACTGATTAAAGGGTTCAGCTGCATTGAGTGTTTAAAATAAATTTAATCACAGATTTACTATACAAATATTAAGGAAGAATTGACCTAGGGTGACCTCAAGAGGATTTCACTACTTGAAGTACATCTAAAAATTTGATGAAGAGGAAGATGTTGTAAACTTAATTCTGCAATTATTTTCTCTCAATGATGTTAGTTGAATGTGTAAGATATTCTCTCTATGATCTCGTCTAGGAAGATGGCTTGTTGCTTGAAAATAGGTTCTTAACTCAATGTCGTCGTGTCATTTGACTGATAGGAAAAACTTCTCAAATTTTCACATAATTTTCTACATAAAGTGCTAGTAATGATCTCATGGTCGTAGAGGGGTGGGTTAGAGGTAATCAAATAGAGATAATAAGCTATTAGAAAGGTGCTTGATTTCTAAAGAAGTAAAAAAATTAATCCTACCACACTAGAAATTCAGAAGACAAGAAAGCCAAAATGATATTTTCATTAAACTTTCAAATATATTTTATAATAAATCAATACAACTTACTATTAGGAAACATTATTTATATTCAAAGAGTTGATCTTTTTTATCAAGTCCAATAAATATTTGATATTTTCAAACAGAAATATTAATACATCTCTAAATAGATTGATGATTTGGCATTCAAAATATTTAAAATATTTTTAAATTCATGCATGATAGAATGAGTGATACAAATTCAGTGAATTAATTCTTTATCAACCTAAAATCATGAAGACATAATAAGTAAAATTTCATACACAAACATATTTTATCTCAAGAATTCTCATTAGTTTGGATTTACTAATTTTTACTTTCTCATTATGACAAAATTTGTAGATATTGAAAAATTCTGCAAAAATATAAAAAATAATAATTCCACATAGTAGATTTGGGTCGAACCATAGGGAAAGTTTGATGTTATATAAAGCTGAAGTAATTTTCTGAACAACACTTGACCCCAAAAAAGAAATCAAGAACAAGAGGGAAATACAATTCAAGAGTTTGTGTAGAATGTTGTAGATCAAAGATGCTGGTGTAAGAGGCAACTCTTGTGCAGCTCTATTTGGCTCTAAAATTCTTCTTCTGCTCATGAATCCATGTGTTCCATGCTTTAGCTCCTAAGGGTGTTTCTACTCTTCAACCATGTAAAATCCAAACAATGATATGATATGCTACTAGGAGAAAATTTAAGTAAAGCCTGACTTAATAGAAAAAATAAATACAAAAGGAGATAGTGAAAGACATATAAAGCTCAAAAAGATGGAAACACCTTTGCCAACAACTAGGCCACTAGTAGATAATTGAATTTTAGTTAAAAGAAAACTCTAAATGGTATTAATATTGAGAGAAATACTGGAATTATAGAGAGAATATTGGAATCTTCACAAATTCATTGAAGTCACTAGGTGATAGCAAGATTCATAGAAAATAGTAAATGATTTAAATTATAGAGAGAAACCATATGAATCAAAATCTGAGATTCCATCACATAATTGCTTGCATGTCACCCAATAGAAGAGGGAAGATTCTACTACCCAATAGTAAGTGCTGAAATCTTTGGCACCACTTGACTTGATTTATCTATTTGCTATTGGAAATATGATAGATAATTCCTACATCAAATCATTTGACAACTTCTTCATTGACAATTTTTTTCATTTTTAGTTTCAGCCTTTCTTGCATATCTGTACTTTTTTGGTGTTATCCTACATTTAAGTATGACTTCTAAAAATATTCAAACTTATCTTTTTAGATGAGCTATAACTTAAACTTTACTTTTTATAATCTTCAAGATGTCTAAAGATAGTTTTCTTGTGCAATAGTTAAAGCAATGATAATTGAGAGATTTTCCAAGGAATGCACATATAAGGAATTCAATAGTATCTTGGGTTCAATATTTAGAGGACTTTTGAATGAAGGTAACATTGCTTTGAATTGTAAAAAATGGTGAGGCTCAGCCCTAGACTAGTAGTATAGGAGTTGTGTCATGGATATATATTCTACTCAATTTTTATTTATCTCATTATTAATACTTTCATTTATGAAATGAACTAGGTTTGTTTCTTTTTTTTCTTCTTCTTCTGGATTTTTTGAGCCCTAAAACTATTGATGAAACCTTCCAACATCCAAACATAATATCCACAATTTATGTTAGATTTTGTAGTAAAGAAAAATGGTTGACTGAATGATAGGGGTTTGGTTTAGTTTTTGAGGATAATTCATGTCAATAATTAGATAATC